AGGCTTCAAATATGACTTTTGGAGGAACACCATTCGCTCCTGATGCTGAATGTTTGAGATAAAATAGTCACAGATGTTGGTAATGTGGTCGTTAAAATGCTTGGTACATGCTGGGCTCTGGGGTTTGACCACTTTTATATGCATTGATGCCATCACCTGCATAGACCACTGCTTACAGATTGTATAACCTTGGGAAAGTTATAGAATCCCACCAAACCTCAATTTCTTTACCTGTAAAAAAAGAATGGAATGATACCCTTGAGGTTTATTGTTGTGCCTGTCACTTAGTAAGTTTCAGCTTCTATGCAAATGCTAGCAAGTTTCACGTTTCTATGCAAATCATTTTATAAAGATACATAGAGCGCTTCTTCCTAATTTTACTTATAAATCTAACAATTTTGATCTTGTTTATTGTGTAGACACATAAATATTGTACATATAAACTATGTAGTACTCTTTCGCCAAAATTCAGTATATCCGCTATGAATTCATTTATTGTGATTTTTTTTTTTTTAAGACTGTAGCTCCACAAACCTGTTTTCTATAGTCCAGATTAACCCTAGAAAACTTTACGGTGTGCTGTGAGGGACAACATGGAGCCATGGAGCCGGGCTCAAGTAGTGTGAACTGTAGGGAGAAGCTGGATGTTGTAATTAAGAACCAAATATAACCCAATAGGTAAAACTTAATATAGTCAAAATTAGACATTGAACTTTTGTATTTCCTTAATCCTAATCTAATAAAAGCAACAATTATATGTATAAATAGCAGGGTCTGTCTACTCAGTCATCAAACAGTGCCCAATCACCTGCTCTTAATAAAATGAGATGCTTATCTCCATATTTTCTTAGCCTTTATAGACAAACAGAAAGGAATTCTCAAAGGGAATAAAGTTAACTGTTAATGGAACATTTCAAGATAATAAGGTATGTACGGACTGTTCTCTAGTTAGTGTCTTCCATAAAGAAGAATACAGTAGAGATGGTATATGACTAGGGAAAAATATCAGACTTAAAGAAAATTAAAAATTAAGAAAAGAGAAAAGAAATTGTCTCACCTTCTAAGATCTGTTGGGACACAAACTTTTCAGCCATGGTTAGAGCATACTTAGTTTTTGCCAAGTCAGTATGAGTGTGTGTGTGTATGGATGTGTGTGTATATGAGTATGTGAGAGAGGGGGATCTTAGGAAAGAATTATTTTAGCAGTAGAATGCTGTATGTAGTTTAAAGCTCAATGTCTGGATTCTCCTTCAATTGCTAGACAGGCTCTGAGATAACCACACAGAGTATAAAAGGTGAGAAAGTGACAAGCCTGGGATTACCACCCAACCTAATTCCTACTCTGGGCTTTGTTCATAGTACCATTTGGGGCAGGTAAGGAAGGATAATAACACCTCCTCGGCCACCTCACAGCATTGCGTAACCAAATCTAGAGAAGCCATGAATGGTAGATTGTTTGGAAAGATGTGGAAGGTGATTTGATTGCAAGGGACTGTAGTTATTTATGAAACTATTGTGATCAGCAAAGATGTCTCTGCATAGGAAAAGAGAAGATTTGAACAATGATCTCGTAACTTTGGATTTTGGAAATAACCTTTTGTCTTCAGTAAGATTACTGGCCCACAACATCTTGTTTATTTCATACTTTTGTCATCTCTTCTTTCTGTATCAGTACCCTGGATGTGAATACAGATTCTAGGCCACTTGATACATGTGTTGAATCGTAAAGTTTATACTTTTTATAACTTAGGTCTGTTTCTTTTAATGAGGGGAAGAAGGTTACATGTTTGATGAATAATTGAAAGAGCTGAAAAGAAAATATGAAAGTTAGAATTTAAGAAAAGTATTGATTACCTAAAATAAAAGTATACTGATAACTCAAACCCCCATTCTCTAAAGCCTCAGTCTCATTCATTTGAATGTAAATTCCATGGTTTTCTGAAGTGAGAGATTCACAGAAGTGTGATGACTCACGTCTGGATTTACAACATTTCCTGAAATGAAATGGAGAAAGATCTCTGCTCCGAGCCACCTGGCATGTGCTTCCAATATTGGAGGTGCTCACTGAGTCTTCTTTTGGCTCCCCTCTCCTCTTGGAAGACGTTATCAGTTCCAAGCCTCTTATTCATCATTTCAGGAGGTTCTGGGTGTCAGCGAGAAACTCCCCGTAAGAAGGAAACCAGCTCCTTCAGCCTTTCCTCATAGTAGAGATTCTTTAGCGATGCAGTCATATTTTGGTTCTTTTGTTCCACCCTAGTGCCACTTCCAGTCCTGGGAATGTTATCCATTTGGGCTAGATTTGGGGTTCATCAGAGTATGTTACACAAGTCAACAATTCTATTGTAAGACATCAAACTTTCTTACCACCGAAATGAGAATGTATGGTTGGGGCACATTTCATATAGTCAGAGCAGATGAAAGATAAATAATTAGTATTGGTATGTCAGTATTTAGAGGACACTTTTACAGATGGAGTTGAGGAATCAATGATGTTTGAAATCCAGCAGTGACTTTTACAAGTTATAAATGACTAAGGCTTTGATTTGTTTCAGGTATTGTGGTTTAGAACATAAAAAAATGAAAAAGACTACTTATATCTTGACTTTTTAATTTACCTTGAGAACTTGTTTGGGATGTTATTCTATGATAAATAAACATAATCTGTTGTTAAGGTCCATGTTCAAGAGATGCTGACTTTTCATGGAATCTCAGGAATTACCTGCTATAACCATATCATTATAGTGACATACAAATGCAAGACCAGCTCTCTTTAACTGGAAAGCTTATCACATACGCTTGGAATTGTTCTAAGCATTACATACACACATACATGAGCTACCTCTAACTCTTACAAAAGTTGTACGATGTAGTCTTAGTATCCCTATTTTACATATTAGGACACTTAGGCTGAGAAAAGATAAGTGACTTGCCCAACATGACATAGCTATTAATTGTTAAGTCAAGATTTGGACCCTAATCTATCATATGCCAAAGTCAGGTGTGTTTCCATTACACTGTGTTCTTGCAAAGACAGGAATAGAAACAAATTTCCTGTCCTCTTTCTATTAAGCCAGCAATTTTCAACCTATTCCATTTCATGGAACACATAAACTAATTACTAAATTCTGTGACACATCAGAAAGTACAGTTTTTGCCTACCTAGCAAAAATATAGGTGTAGCTTTGATTTATTCACACTGGACAGCTATTGTTGTGTTGGCTGCTGTCATTTTATTATTAGACAACCTAAGGGAAAAGAGTTTAGTGCCCCTGACTAAATAGCCAGGCATTTCATGTTTTAAAATTTCCTGTGGCACACCTGTTGAAAATCACTGCTTTAAGCTATGGTAGACACCAATTTTCTATCCTGTAACACTAGTGCAATTTGAATTTGCTTTCCAGGCCACTAATTTTACTAAGTGGCCTGAGAGACAAAGCCAAGAGACAAAGCTAAGAGCACTGACCTTGAAACTAATGATTGTACTTTTTTCAGGGAATAAATTATTTCACAAAAAAAAAAAAAGAAAAGGAAATAGTTTGGCTTTGATGTTTTTCAGAATGGTGACATGATCCCCAAATTGTCTAGCTTTAGATCAGCTGTTTTGGAAAAATCTCTAAAAGGGCTTTGATCTCATAAAGTTCAAAACTTTCCTTTGATGGGTGCGGAGACCCTGTGTAGTACTGGAATCAAACATTTTGGTGCTGGCTTCAGTCATCTTTGTGCATTTCTTCGGGTGCTCTTGAACTTCTAGAGTAAAAAGAAGATACTGCCCTGGCTCGTGTGGCTCAATGAATTGAGTGCTGGCCTGCAAATCAAAAGGTCATGGTTTGATTCCCAGTCGGGGCACATGCCTGGGTTGCAGGCCAGGTCCCCAGTTGGGGGTGTGCAAGAAGCAACCGATCGAAGTGTCTCTTGCACAGTGATATTTCTCTACCTCTCTTTCTCCCTCCCTTCCCTTCTCTCTAAAAATAAATAAATAAAATCTTTTTAAAAAGTTGCATTAATATATTTATAGTTTCAAATATTTTATTTCTTTTTTTTCTTCTTGGGAGACTAAACAGTGAGGCAATATAAGAGTAAACTTAATTTAGAGGAAAACTGATGGAACCAAATTTTTCACACAGTAACTTGGGGAGCAGTGGGCTGTGTGTAAAGTTAAACCTTAAGTCTCCAATGTTTATGATGATGATGTGTGACTAGACTCTAAGATAAAGCTTTAGAATATAAAACAGCCATCAGACTGAGCCTTTTAAAAAGTAGGTATGTGTAAGCTTTGATTTCACAAAGCTTCTGCCTTTGCTAATCGGTCATGGTAAAGCGGTATATGCGGAGCTGAGAAACTGTGGGCCTTGTGGTTTCCTTTCAAGTGCCACCTCTGCTTCTGCCACCTAAACTGTGTGTCCATGGGAAACTCATCACTCTTTCTCTGAGCCTTGGTTTCCCCATGTATTCTCGTGTATTCGGTGTTAGGACTTCGCTAGTCATCTATTAGGATTGCTCATCTCTCTTACCTGAACCTGTAACACTGAGTGGGGACACTTGGAACATCTGTAGACGGGAGCACCAAGGCTCCTAGCTTCTCTCTCTGTGAAGCAGCTTTCTCCAGATGTGGTGAAATCTTTACATGTTTACCTGACTGGTGGGACAACTAATCTGTCTTCTTTTTCCCTTCCCTCCCGCTTAGGAAGGGGGCCCAGCGAGAAATGCATTTGTCTACGAGGTAATGAGTCTTATGTGGCTGAAGAATTCAGTTCTTAGAGAGGACTGCATAGTATCAAACTTTGAGTAAGGTCCTTGGATTCAATTGATTGCCTTGTGAGGTGTAGGTATCGTGAAAACATACTAAAACTACTTTGTAAACAGACATTATCTGTTCAAATCTGCCCCCTTGACAGGATCCTAAAGGATGGAAACTAAAGTGATGTGGTATATTCAGTCTAGCAGGACCTTGAACAACTGGTTTTATAATGTTGCCTGTTGCTATGGGTGTGTGTCACCAGGTATATATAAAGTAAGCTGCATCCCCACGGGCTCAGTCCTAGAGCACCAGCTGGTGAGCAATGCACAGAGCAGACCTGTAACCAGCTTACATCATCTTTATCATGAAGGTAGCCGCAGTGCCAGTACTTCTGACCCTGGCTCTTTGCTTCATCCAAGGTAAGCAATTTGCATGTAATGTAAGCCTCTTGCCACACACCACAAAGCCCTGGGCACAGACTGGCCCCCCTCCACCTGCCCAGTGTATATGTGGTATTAAAGACTTTCTATATGTGTATGTAATCCTGAAATATCTTGCCAGACACACAGCTTTAAAGAATTATATATGTGGTTTTAACAACTATGTTGTTATATTTAGAAATGGCAAGTAATTTGAAATGATCTGAATTTTATCCATGAGGAATTATTCCACGAGTTCTACACTAGTTCTAAAAAGCTAATGGATTCTTCTTTATCTGACCCCTTACTGAGCATACCAATTCATACTAATAGGAGTTATGTATATAATAGATGTTTAAAACTTAGATGTATGTTTTATATATGTATATATTTAATAGCATATTTATAAACAAGATATTAAAGAATTAAATTCAAAAAATCTATTCTTATTTTAAAGCAGTAATGCCTTCTACTGCTTTATTTTATTCTTGTGTTTTTAAGTCCTAAATAGATCAAAGGTACTTATAAAAGGTAAGGAACTTTTGTCAGAGCTGGTGGTAGGTTTTTACATTTGCTACTTGAATTTGAAGGGAACACGAGTTGCCTAGAGTTACCTTGCCCTGAGGCATTTACATTTTTAAAAAGGAATCCCTTGACTGAATTTCAGGAGAACATTATACACAAATGACACCCATTTTCTTAGAATAAGTGTGTGGATATAAAAGTTTCTCTTAATGAGAGAGTATAATAAAGTCTATTATTTTGATTAAACTTAATTTTATCATATCTCTAATTTTTGTAGCTATAATAAGGGGGTGGTGTTACCAGAATTCAGAAAATTTAATTTTCTGTATATATATATATATATGGCAAATTTTTATGCTACATTATACTTTCAAATTATAATTGCTATATCAATATTTGTTATAATTATAAAAGAGGTCTGATGTACTTTGCTATGAGAGGAGTTTAGAAATTAGATATTTTAAGGAAGTCAGAGAGCATATGAATATTATTTCCCAAAGTAATTGGACCTTTCTGAGTGATTGGATCTTTGTGAGTGTTTATTGCAATTTCCTGGCTCAGTGCCCTCATTTTATTTGCCATGGTAAATTTTAATATGTTCAAAAATAATTTGTGGTTTTCTAACATATTTCCAGTAAAGTAAGCAAGACAATGTACAGAGTGGATTATTTGCTTTATTTATTAAATATTTTACATTCCTTTAACTTTAGTGTTTGCATTTTTTTTTGGGGTCCCAGATGCTGCCAGTGAGGAAGAAAATCAGGTTAGTCCTGCTTTTTCTGTTCATTGAATACTTTCCAAGATCTCTAAAGAAAAGTGGTTATGGCTAAAATCTTAATGTTAATAATACAAACAGCTAGTAATGTTATACAGACAGGTACTAACAGCTTTTGCTAAAAACATAAAAGCAGGTCTTTATGAAGGAAGGCATGAATCTCAGACACACACACACATATCAATGCATTAATAATAATGGATGTCAGCAAGAGGCAATCTACCGTACTTTAGGAAATGCTTTAAAATTCCATAAACAAACCAACCTGTGAATCAGTATTATTCTCTTTAACATCCGAAGAAGTCATGACACACACAGGAAGCAGAAAGAAGCTTTCTTGTGATTATTATGTTAAAAGGGGGTTGGCTCTATCTTGTATATTGTCAGTCTATGTGCTTCATTCAATAAATATTTCTTGAGCATCTGTTATGCCTCAGACCTTGTTTGAGATGCTGGAGATATTCACAAGTTAAAAAAAAATAATAGACAAGAACCTGCTCTCATGGAGCTTACATCTTAGTGGAAGAAAACAGACGAGTTAATCAGTAAATTAATAAGACATATCGTACATTAAATAATGATTAGCGTTAGGAGAAAAATAAAGGAGGATGGGAGATAGGCATTTGTGGGGATGGAGGTGGTATCGGCGCTTCCTGGGACAGTCAGGTGACTTCTCCCCAAAGTGAACGGGAGAAGAATGATCTGAAGGTGAGGAGGAAGTGAAGATACTTGCAATATATAGCAGACCAGGCAGAGGTCCTGACCCAGGCTGGTGCTTTCCTACCTCTTTATTAGAAGCCTTTTATTTCAGAGATAAAAGAATCATTTTCTATAGAAGTTAATGATTTTATCTATCTGAAAAAATTCAGCACTTAAATCAGTGCTACATTACGTATACAAGCAAATATTTGCTATGTCTCAAAAAAGTCCTGAACAATAAAACAGTAAAAGAACACTTTTCTACAATGAAGCTATTAGAACCATGGTAAAGTGTTCTCTTGCTGTATTTTATTATAACAGTATTTTTTTTTCAAAAAGAAACTTCTTACAGGAATGGGCTCCTTCCTCATAGTCTCTATTATTTCCTTGAAGTTTGCTGATGAAGCGGAAGCGTAGAAACCTCTACAGTATAAGCCGCGTGGTACGGGAGAGCAGGGAAAAAAGGCTGGAATTTGGGGAGTCAAAGAGCATGCTCACCGAGGTGTTGTATAGTGATAAAAAGAAGGGTGTTGTGTAAACCTCGTTGTTCATTGAGGCCATCATTTGTTTCAGAGTTTGTGAGAAGGGGTGGTGATTTCCAGTGGATATATCAAAAATTTGCCCTGATTTTTTTATGCCACTAAACTGTATTTCACTACAAAATGTTTTAGCAACCTAAATTTAGCCCTCTCTCATGCTGGTATAAGCAAGAAGAACACCAAGAAGTAATTGTTTCTCTGGAGCTATTTCTGACCACAGTCCTTGGGTATTTTGTCAGAAACAAAAACTGTCGATTTAGTCTTTCTTAAGAGCAGGAGGCTAAGCTCAGTCCGTAGCTCATGGGAAGTTACACACATGAGCCAGAACAGCACGGAAAAGCACTGAAGTGATCTGCCAGGACCTTTACCATGGGCTTAAATTTGTCATCACAGAGGGTTATGCAGAGTCAAAAGCAGCCTTGCGGGTGCTCTAACACAGAGAAGAAGCAGTGCCAGCTCCCTGGGACATTTCATTATGGTGCCTGGGGAGGGACAGTGGAGGACAAGGGACTGTATTGCAGCCCATGAAGGAAACAGAGGAGCTTGGCCCTAGAGGGCTCCAGTTTTTCTGAGAGGTGGAGAAAACACAAAGAAGAGCGACAGTAAGGAGATGAAAGGAACCAAAGTTACAATGCAAGTAAGCAGTTGCTGGAAAGCCATCGGCCCACCTCCCGATGCCTTTTTGGTCAAGGTCTGCTTCTATCCGGGTAGTTGGGACCATGCTACATTTTTCCCAGAGAAAAACCCAACTGCTGCTTTCAGTTTTTACAGACTTTTCCTGTTTCATAACTTAGTCTCATCTTAACTAATTAAACATTGTGAACAAGTTCCTTGACCTACTCTCTGGGCCTCAGTTGTCTGATAATTAAAAGCAAAGTGGGTCTTCGTAGAAATTATGGGCTCATCTAATTGTGGCATTGGAGATGTCCAGTTCAGGAATTATCCTTATTGATAACATTCTTATTCAATCAACCACTAAATACTATTAAAGCCGCATTCTAATGTTTTAAATATTTTTTTAAGACCTACCACACAAGGGATGCATTTATTATTATTATTTTATTGACTGATTTCAGAGAGAGGGAGAGAGACACACAGACACAGACACAGACACAGACACAGAGAAAAACATTGATTTGTTGTTCCACTTATTTATGCATTCATTGGTTGCTTCTTGTATGGGCCGTGACCAGGGATTGAACCTGCAACCTTGGCCTATTGGGACAATGCTCTAATCAGCTGAGCTACCCAGCCAGGGGCACAAGGGATGTATTTCTGTTACAACGACACTAGGCTCTTCTCTGATTCTATGACAAAGTTTCTGTCTAGATTTTATAGAATCATTTCTATCTGGCAAGCTAAGCAGTAACTTGCAGTGTTGACATAAGATACGATAAAATTAGAGAAAAGACACAGATATGGAGAAGCCCAGTTGTCTTTCTGTTTTCAGAAATTATTACTGTGCTACTCAGATAAGATCACTGGGTGGTGATAATAAACTTAGACATATTAGTAGGTTGCTCTTAGCAAAATTTCCCAGGGCTGGTCTCTGACATTACTAAGTTACTTTTTTTCCATCATTACTCATTCTGCAAGTGCTGCCTCTATGTTTAAGAGCCTAGTTAGATTCATCATAACCCATTAGATGGTAAGCAACATTTAGACAAGTATCCTTCTACTTACTGCTGTATCTATGGCACCTAGCGAAGTAATTTTTTTAAGTTTCACTGATTGAATAGTTATTATAAAGATATAGGAAGCTGAATAGAGTTCTATAGTCAATCCTTTGGAAGAGGTTGTATTTGTCAGAGTTGGGGTGAAGACTTGATTTAATTTTCTTCTGATAAAAGCATCTTGAAGTAAGATTTTTTTTTTTTTTTGGCAAAATCAGAACAAAACAAAACCCCCAAAAACTTAGATTTCAAAGACTTGCCCTAAAGGTTTGGTGGATTTGCAAAACTAATAGGGAATATAAATCATTTTAAATAATAGAATAGGTGAAAATAAGGACAATGGATAGAATTTTAAAAATGAGAATTCTCTTTTCACGCATTTCTTAATTCGATATATTTTATTGAAGGACTCCTATATAGCACTCGGTGTTTTTTTTAAGAGCTTAACATCAATGGTGCATTTGCATTACCTGGTAAAATATTATTCAAAACGATCTCCACGGTCCTCTTTACATGGGGGGCGGTGCTGGCACTGGCATCAGCCAAAGAAAGCCGAGGCCAAGTATGGGCTCCGTGTCTTGAAGCGCGTCACACAAATAGTAGAATAGGAGTTACAGAGAATATGCCAGAAATTAAAAATGAAAGACTAAATTAATGAAGGAAAAAAGAGAAAGGCTCAAGCCGGTTTGGGGGAAACTGGGCGGTGTTTTCGTAGATCCACACGGTTTGGGTCTGCTGGTAGTGGCGGTGTTAGTTGTGGCGGTGGTGACGGGGCTGATGGTGGCTGCGGTGGGGGCGGGGGCCTCTTTAAGAAAAGAACACCAATTTTTGGAAATATGAAATGGCTAGGCCCCACCCAGGATGCGACCGTGAAGGGCCTGGAATCAGAGGCTTCCTTAGCGTTTAAGCCAGTCTGTTCCTGTTCATAAGGCCTGAGTGGATCTGAAGTTTATTTCAGACGAGGAACTAGTCTAGAAATGTTTTCCAAACATATGTGACCAAGGAATCCTTCCATTCAGCTTTTAACTTTAGTCAGCTTTTTAATTTAACAACTGGTAGCACTTCTAGGAGCTGGTGTGTTGCGGTGCGTCTTTTGGGAACGTGGGGGGCGAACTAAGTTTCCGGTGTTCACCACACCTAGTCTTGGTCCTCCAGCAGCCTCTCAAAGTCCTTTTTACAGCACTTTATGACCTGCTGTGTGCTAGGTGTACTTTATATGTGTCATCAGCCTCTTCCTATAACACTGTCTACAGCACCGAAAACAACAGCGATAATAAAGGAGGAGGAAGAGGAGAGAGGGAGAATCTGCTTATTGAGTATCTGCCATGCATCAGGCATTCTTTGAGGGCTTTTTACATACTTGTAATATGTCAACCTCAGAAAGCCTGTGAACTGTATACATTTATAACCCTTATTTTTACAGATAGGGTAAGGGATCCTTGGAGAAGTTAATTTTCTGAGGTGACTGGGCTTGCAAATGAGAACCCTGCAATATAAACATCAGTCTTTTGACTCAGAGTGCCCTGTTCTTTCCACTTCACTAATTGTTTTAGATGAACGCTTATAAGGTGAATTTGCAATCCCCAACAGACAATACAGAGTTACCATTTTTTATTTGTGTTACTTGTAGCAACTGAGCGAAAGTCTTCCATGTAAAGGGAGTAGTGGTTATTAAATAATGTTGTTTTAGGAAGTTCTTAGAAGGTAAAGCCTTGCTTTGATGAGGTTTCAGCAAATACAACATTTTTCTTCTTTCCCTTAGGAAACCTGCAGTGCATATCGGGTATTGATGAAACACGGGAAGTTGTTCTGTCCCCAGGATGAAAAACTTCTGAAGAGCCCTGATGGAATCAGGTTCCTCAACAGATGTGCCACATGCAAAGTGATACTGTGAGTAAATTTCTCTTCCAAGTGTTTGAGTTACCAGATGATCTCTGAGCCAGTGAATGCATTCTTTTTAATTTCCTGTCAAATTTATCTTTTAAATCTAGAGGCTTAAATAAAAATAGTTTGTAGATCCCTCTGGCATCTCTCATCAGATACAGTTGGATAGGTGCCGCCCATCTGGAAAGATTTGATAATCACACAAGTGGTATTCCAAAACACCCGGAGGGCCCACTATTAATACCATCTGTAACACTTAATAGTCTTTTGAGGATGTAGTTCCAATCTGAGTTTCCTGGCTCTGAAGAATTAGTTTAAGAAAGAAAGTCAGATTTCTTGGGCCTGTTAAGACCTGACTCTTGTACCTCAGGACTAAGAAAAGCCCCTGAGTGTGACACCAAAGCGTTCTGGTGGCAGCCAACCAGCGGAAGAGTGTATGCGGGATACACCCTGATCTGGGAGCTGCCAGTGCTTTTAGACATTCGGGATTAAGCTGGGATGAGATGGACTAAAATGTTAATTGTAGCTTGCAATTACCTGCAATTCAGAAAGAATTAGTGTCCCGGAAGTGAACCAGCATCTTTACAATGCACCTTAACGTCATTTCCTTCTTTCCAATTGACACCTCAAAAGTGGAAGGTGGCTTGAGTTAAGAATTGCAAAACCTCCGATCCAAGGGTCTCAATCTGATTTTTGAACAGGGAGGTCGTTCTCAATTCCTGACCAACACCAAACCTTCAACACTGGTACCAAGCCGATACGAAGCTTACCCATTTGTGATAATTATGTGACAATTAGCTTTTTAAATGCCAGGCTGCTATATGTCAGGGGATTTAAATTGACACAGTCAATAATAGTGGCATCGTGAAGCTCTGATCACATGTGCTGCTTCTAATAAGAGACCGTGGGAAGATGCGGGAAGGCAGGGCAAGATTTTGGGTGGGGTGAGGCCCAGGGAAGGTTGAAAGCTGGGTTATTTACTCTTGAAAGAGGAAAGCTGTGTTATTTACTACAAAGTTTCCTTCTTGTCTCATAGGGTGCTTTGATAGTCGACTGAAACTATAAAATAATTTACAGAAAACTAATTTAAAACAAATGTAAAATGCCTTAATGCCCATAAGGCAATTTACCACTTTAAAGTCACTCACTCAATTATTATTTTTATTACCTATGTAAATTATATTGGAGTAACCTTTTTGTTTTGTTTTGTTTTTTTTAACCTGGAAAGAAGACGATGGTACAAGGCATAAAAACTATCTTCAAATTACTAAATTTGCTCTGTGGGTCCTTAGAGGTTGGAACCAGTACAAAAACAGGAAGGTGGATTTTGGTTCAGGGTTAACATGGCTTTTCAAAGAGAGCACCCCAACAATGGTACAGATGGCTTTCACGTGGGTGCCCATGTGGGTGTGGGATGTATTTATGGAGGGGTCATCTGCTGTGCAGTTAAAGGTAGAGGTTCTTGCCTCTAACCATGGTTGAGGTATTTTTCAGCCCTGAGGAGAGATTCATGGTACCTGTTCTTGTTTCTAGGCATATCTCTATTTCTGACCTGCCAGAGTGGGCTAAGGAGAAGAGTCAAAATTAAGTTTACTATGTATGCTCTTATCCCTAAAGTTGGGGCAGAGCATGTGTGAACTAGGCTGTTCCTCGCTCTCTTCCAGGGAACAAGAAGCAGAAACCCAGAAAAGGGCCAGGCGCTTAGCAAGAGTCACCGGGGCCGCTGCCCCAGCGAAGGTGAGAGACTATTTGGAGTCAATTTGCTATACTTACTTTTGAGATTATGTTTGAGTCTATGTAGAACTATTTATTTCCTAATTACTAGGTCATACCTGTTGTGAAGCCAACTACTAAGAAGGGAGGGAACGTGGCTTAGCTCATGGGTGGGCTAAATATCCGGTACAGCTAGTCTGCAGGCCCAACCCATGACCCAACTCTCTGAAAACATCTTGGGCCTTGACAGACGCTAGGAGGTGGAGTCAGTGTGATGCCTTCCTTCCATTGTCCTTTCTCATTCCTTCTGTCCTGTATTAGCTCCAGCAACAGCCTTCCGGGGACTGTACAGCTAAGTTCAAATCTCAGAACTCTTGAGTGTTGCCTATGTCTCTTGGACCATTTAATGTATCTCGCAGTCTTATTTTTTTCATCTGTGCAGTGGGATGTGGGTCAAATGAGAAACCAAGTTTAAAAAGCCAGCTACAGTGTTTAACATGTGTTAGCAGGCATTGGACTCTATTTCCTTTTTCTTTTCCTTCCGATTGCCTACCTTTTCTAGTACCTGGAGAGTTCTCCTAATTTAAATAGAGTTGCTTGTTTTTATCTATTTTTCAGATTGGGGTTTAGTCCAATATTTGTTTGAGAAAAGTGTTCTGTGCTAAAAACATTTTTTTAAATAAAAAATGATATAAAATAAAAGATGCACAAATGCAACCTACCATAAAATCATTTCACTTTGTATGTATCTTTTTATTTATACAAAAAATAAAAATTCTAGGTTCGGACTGGAGAAAATTTCTAGCCTACAATGTCTCACAATAAATGATTGACAAAGCTTTGCTTATTGCCAGGTATCCTGACAACTACTCACATCTCTCCAGGTCTCTTAGTAGCTTCTTCTCCAGTGTCTTCTTTCTCTTCTTCCTCTCCAGTCGCTACCAAATCATGAAAATGATCAGTCATGGCCGGCACACCCAAATTACCGTAATGTACTGGTCTAACCAATCTGCCATCTCCCTCGTCAATGTTACCTAGGAATGTCTGAGAACCTTGGCCTCTGCAGAAAATCTAGCCGATCAAATTCTTTGCGTGGGCTCAACCAGTCTCACTTTTAAAACAATCACACAGCCACCATTCAATTAGTCAATTTGAAAATCCTTTATCTGAGCAAAAGAGACCTGCTTCTGTGTTCTACGACCTCTATGGGGGTCAGAAAATGTTATTGTAATTTTCAGATCTACCTTTGTCTGTCACATTTAGACAGTGGCTCATTCTGTATGATTCTTCTCATCCCTTGTCCTCCTTTTTCCTTTATGAAAAACTGAAAAATCAATGATGTTTAAAAATACAAAATACAAGCAATGACAAAAAATGAAATAGACACATATCCCAATCTTAACAAACCTGCTACTTAAAAATATATTACTAGTCAGTTGTTTTCATAGGTAGGCACACACCTACTGAATTTTAATCAAATAGGATTTTTGAGAAAGAAAATTAGAGAATTGTAAGACAATTAACATTTCATGCCTGAGTTAGAATTTTTACTTCTCTGTAAAGTTTTTATGGTTACATGTTTTGCTCCCCAGGAGACTACTTATAAATTAAGGCAATTAATGTTTGGCCAGTGGCCTTTGAGGTAATTTGTTTAGGTTTTTCTTGTCTGTTTTGGAATAGGTTTGTGCCATTACACTGTCTGTTTCTGTTAACATTTCTCTCCGCTACAAAAGAGAATAATCTACCCATTTTTTCTGCTTAGATTCCTCCCACCACAAATTAATGCTGACACGCTCAGAATAATGTGCTAATTTACCTGTTCAAGAATTCCCCTCCTATAGACATCCCCTCTCTCGCACCATCAATTTCTTCTTCACCAGGAGGTCATTCTGTCACCTCTCGGCTGTCCTATCCAATCCATTCATAAGTCTTGTTGGCAGTCTCTAAAGTATTTTATCCCAAATTTGACTTCTTTCACGGTTTTCATTCCTACCATCCCAGGCTTGTAGCTGGAGAGCAGGATGACAGCTGGGGGCGGGGGGGGAGGGGAGGGACTGAGCGAAAAGGACTCATGGACACGGGCAACAGTGTGGTGATTGCTGGGGGCAGGGGAAGGGGATATAGGGAGACTCCGTGGCAATGGAAAAAATACAATAAAGATTAAATTTAAAAAATAATTTCTAACCTCTAATGTGTTTGGTCCATGTGGAGACTTGTTTAATTGATTGGTTGGTTGATGATTCCGTGTTTCTCGTTGATTTAGGCTGCTACCTTTGTAGGATATTAGGGTCATATGTGTATATGTGTGTTTCTGAGTTATCTATTCTGTTCAGATTAGTTTATTGCTTTGGTAACTAGTAAGATGTTTCCTTTCTTGGTTCATCTTTTTCTAACTTTATTTATGCATAGATTGCTTTTTCATATAGTTATTATAAATTTAAAAAATTAATGAGTTTATGAAACATCTAGCTTGACTTTAGGAACCCAGTGTGATTAGGGATACAAAGAATTCATAAATTAATTTGAGTAAAATTCACTTTTTCCAATATTAACTTGCCCAACTCAAGAGCACAGAATACTTTCTCATTAATTTCTATAGTTTCTGTGTACTTTATTAAATTTATAAAGTATTCTCCAGTGATTTTTATAATTTTTTCTAACATCTAGAAGATTTATAAATGTATTGCTATTTTGATTGGTATTTTGTTGTTTATGATATTTCTATCTGGTTATTGCTGGAATAGAAAAATTCTGATGATTTCTATAGATTGGTCTTATATCGAACAACTCTTTGATACCTTCTGTTAATTCTGATACCTTATTTGCTAATTCTTTTAGTTTTTTTCTTGGTAGCTGATCACATTATCTGTATAGAATAGGAGATAATAGGAATTTTTAACTTCCCTTTCAGTCTGATCACTTCTTTATTTTTTGTCTATATATCATTGGCCAGGATCTAGTGTTCACTAGTTAAACAGTAGTGAGGATAATATCAAACTGCCCTGTCTCCCATGTAATAAGGGAGTACATCTAAAGTTTCTCCATTAAATATAATGTGTACTATAGGTGTTTTTTATATAAACTGTAGCAAGTTGAGGAAGTTACTTGCTGCTCTTAATCTTCTGAATATTGAAATAATTTTCAGGCTTTTTGTCTACTCATGTAATAAATTTCTGGATGCATTTGCTAATGTTAGAGTATTTTGGTTTTCTTAGGGTAAATCATACTTAACCATAATACATTTTTAATATATTGTTGAATTTGGATAGTTAATATTTATTTAGAAAATTTGAAATTATTTTTTACAAGTAAAATGAGTCTATACTTTTCTCTTTTTAATTATTCTAATGTGGTTTAGGAATCAATAGACAATTACCCTGACTGGCTGAATAAAGAGGTCAGCAAGTCTTTTCCCCAAAATACAACTATAAATCTAAACAAATTGACCAAACCAATCATTGTTACGACTCTGGAAATCGATGAGTGGTCTACATCAACCTGACAAACATTTATGCTTGAAAAACTACTGACCTTTGGATTAGAACCGTGGGAGTCGGTGATGCTCTTGCTTTAGGGATGACTCTAACCTCTGCTGCCTCCTTGTTGTAGAGGTCCTATCAAAGCAGGACAGGCCATGGGGGTCAGCGACTGCACTGCTGTTGTTGAAAGGGGCTTTCCTGGCTTGGGGTTGTGGACAGCACTCACGCTCAGAGATGTTTTCAATGGAAGCAGCATCTTTCATCAAGAGTAAGGAGCATGGCCTGAGGTTACAGCGTGACTGGGGCGACCATATTTCTGGCTGAGTTTTCACACACTGGCAGCAAAGACCAAAGAGAGAGCAACCAGTTCGCATAGTTCTGGTTGGGCTCTGCACAAGCACGTAGAAAACACATAACACAAAAATCCCAGGAGAAACCATAGAAAACACATACAGAAAAAAAGTCCCAGGAGAAACCTGGGGCCCAGGAGAAATACTGACGTGGATGTAAAAATGGCCTGCTCTTTGAATGCCCTCCCCAATGTATACGGGCCCGCCTGCAGAGGGTAGGGGCCTCCCGGGACTGAGGTGTTTGAGCACAAACTGTGTCCAGTCGTTGGCCTAGAACAGGTTATACAGATGTGAGGGAAAAAACCCTAGAAAGCCATGCTTAAAAAAAAAAAAAAAACACAACTATAAATCTTTTTTAGCAGAAACATCATCAGCGGCACACTAGGGGACAAGAAGAAATCATAGATGTAGCCTAGTCAAAGATAACGAACAAAAATAATACAGCAAAAATAATCTTTACAGTAAAATCATAATCCTGAGTGAAAATATTATCCAAAAATGCCTACTTTTCAACAAAAAAAATATGAAATGTGCAAGTAATGGGATGTGTGACCCATATTCAGGAGCAAAAAAAAAAGTTAATAGAAACTGACTGTCCCTAGGTGTTTGATTCGGCAGACAGACTTGGAGTAGCTATTTAAAAAGTGTTCACACACTAAAGAAAACCAAGTTTGAATATTCTTTAAAAAGTATAACAACAGTGAATAAAAAAATAGAGATTTTCAGTGAAAATATGTATATTTGAATTATAACCATAGTTCTAACAACAATTCAAGACTTATGGGTTTCAGCTAAAGCAGAGTACAGGTGTACATAGAGTCATACCTCGGTACTCGTCAGCTTCAGAACTCGTCCAACCCGGTACTCGTCGCATTTTGACAAGGAGAAATGTTTCAGCACTTGCACTTGCTCAGGACCATCGCACTTGCTAGAACTTGTATGAGTCACAGCGCTGCCCCGCAGGAGAAAACGCTTCATCATTCATCAGCTGTTGCTTGCTCACCACTCGTCGGTTTCAGCACTCGTCACGAGTTCCGGAACAAATTAAAGAGTACAGAGGTACCATGTATACCAAACTGTAAATTCTGGAGTTGAAGAGAACAAGAACTCCAATAAAATATTTAATAGAGAGCTCAAAAGCAGCTTGGAAGTTACATAAAAAAGAATTAGTAAACTTGTAGAAAGATCAAAGTTAACAGTGGAAGTACAAAGAGAAAAAATACTGACGAAAAATGAACAAAGTCACAGAGTCCTCAAGATAACAACAAGCCTGACAACGCAAATAGGAATACAATAGAAATATTCAAAATACAGCAGAGAGAAAAACAGAAAATTTATCTGAAGAAATAATGTCCTAAAATGTGTCAGATTTGAAGGAAAAAAAAAAACCCTTTACATTCAAGAATGTCTACAAGTCCCAAACAGGATAAATACAGGGAGATTCATATCTAGGCCCATGATGATCAAAATGTTGAAATTAAGAGAACATTTTAAAGTGACAAAATAAACTGACATTTTATATACAGGTTACAATTAGTGAATGGCTTCTCTAAAATAATGAACACTAGAAGGCAATGGAATGACATGCTCCATGTGCTGAAAGAAAAGAGTGTTAATCAATATTCTATATCTACCAAAATTATTCTTAAAAAATTAAGGCAAAATAAATATATCCCCATGTTAATGAAATATGACAGAATTTGTTGCTGTAAATCTGCTTTACAAATAATAATAAAATTAGTCCTTTAGCTGAAAGGAGATGACTACCAAATGCTAACTTGGACATACAGAAAGAGAAGCACCAAAAATGGTAAATATATGGGTTAATATGAAGTACTCTATAAAAATATTTTTCTTGTTTTCACTTAGCTTCTTTTAAAAATACAATATGGTATAAAGCAACAATTATAATGCTGTTTTATTGAGTATATAGTTATAATACATATGATAGCAATAGTGCAAAAGGGGAAAAAATAGAGCTATACTGAGGCAAAGTTTCTGTATTTTATCAGAATTACGTATTAATCTGTAGTAAATTGTGATAAATTAGGATGTATATTGTAATCACTAAAGTAACTGCTAAGAAAAAGACATGTAATAAATATATAAAATACAGGAAAGAATTTAAAAATCCCACTAGAAATATTTAACCCAGAAGGAGGCAGTTGTGGAAAAACAGAGAAATAAAAAGACAAGAGCATATTGAAACAAATTGAAACGACAATATAAATACAACCACATTAATCATTGTTCACTGTACATGATTTAAATATCCAGTTGAAAGGCAGAGATTGTTATATGATTAATAAGCAACTATAAACTGTCTCCAATAAATACTCCTTATACTGAAAGACACAAAGAATCTGAAATGATCAAGGGGTAACCCCATGCCAAATACAAGGGAGCAGGATTTGCATTACTACTACCTAACAAAATAGACATCAACACAAATAGTAGAGACAATAGGACATTTCATAATTTTAAAAGTATGAATATTTTAGGAGGTAAAACAATTATAAATGTGTGTGTACCTATAGAAACTCAAATAGAAAATGTAACCATAATGTTTAGAAGTTTTAATACTCTCATAAGTTGATAAACAACTAGACAAGATATCATCAAATGTATAGAATACTTGCACAACACTATCAATTAACGCAACCTAAGCTGATAGATATGGAATGCTCCCCCAGTGGTTGCAGAGGTGCATTTTCTTCCAAGTAACAGTGGAACATTCTTCCACGTAGACTATATAATAGCATATAGAACATATCTCAATAAACTTTTTAAAAATTAGTTTTTCTTTATGTCTTCTATGAGAGTTTTCTAATCTGATCCTCTGGTTCAGAAATTCATTATATTCGTATCTATCCTATCTTTATTCTTTATATTGGCTTACTTATTACTATTTAAATATTTTTGGCTACTAAAGCTTCTCCTTTTTCTTCCTTTATAACTTTTTTCTTGCTTCATATTGCAGGTACCTTCCCTTATCTCTCTAAATCATAGATACACTCTCAATAAATTATTTTTTATGCATTCCAATAATTCTGCTTCAGTTGATACTGAATGTTGTTCATATCACCATATTTTTATGTTGTTTTCCTCATCAGATATGCAGATATTTTTACTGTAATATTCCATAATGGCTTTATTTTGTTTTCATTTGCTTTTTTCTGCTAATGTAAGTTAGATAATATTCAAGGTCAAGCTCTTGTGCTTTCTCTCCTGGCGAGTGTAAGCAAGGAAAAGGGTAGACCCACAGCTGAAGGTTCTGGAACCAGTGTTGCACACTCCAGTTCGCTGCCTCCCCACCAGGTCAGCAATCTGTCTGTAAGCTCTCAGAAATTGTCAGCATTAGCAAGAGGTGTTCTCTGTAGGCTGTGATCCACCAGGCCTTGGGGTTTGGAGGGGGAGGAGGAGGTGGAGTAGTAAATGCTTGCACCTGTTCTCATTGCCTCCCAGCTGGGCTTCGCTCTGCCCTGTCGTCACCCTGCTAGCACCTGTGACCTGGTATGCTGCTGTTGACTTTCTGATGAAGGGGGATGGCAGGGATCGTGGAAGCGAATGATTTTGATTTGTATTGCTGATGCTTCTCTAGTTGCAGCAGAAATGATTTTTGAGAGAAAACCAGCAGCTCCCCTGCTGTTTCCTTATACTTCGTCCATACTTCTCTCTGCCCACTGAACAGAACGATCTAGTTCCTACCACAGATCCTTTGCAATGGTAGGTCTCTATGCCTAGAATGTTCCTCCCTCAGATCTTTCATGGCTGCCTTCTTCTCCCTGACCTCATCTCACCACGAGTAATACCGCTGCAGCGAGATCTTTCTTGACTCTATGTTAAAAACAGCTGCCCTTCTACATGCTACCTCAGTGTTCAGTATATTTCTCATGACACTTATAATTTAAAATTATTTGTATTTGTTGCCTATCTCTTCCTATTAGGATATTTCTTAGAGCATGTATTTCTTTATTGTTTTGTTTTGGTTTTCTTGTAGTGCCAGTGTTACATCTAGTGGAATGCCTAGTCCCTAATGAATATGTAAAGGCTTTGATGGAATAAATGAAAAACTGAATGAAAGAAAATAACACATAGAACCATTACTTTTCTTGTTTTCACTCTATTTTTTACAGCTTATGACATGAATAGTGGAGTATGTTCTCTAGCTTTTCTTTTCTATTTTAATTTTTTCCCTTTTCATTGGCTTCTAGGAATGTTTCTCAGTGTAACCTTCTGTTTTATAAACTCATTATATATTTGCATTTATGCTACTTTTATTCTTTTATTTTACTGTTGTTCAGTTGCAGTTGCCCCGCCTTTTTCCCCATGGCTCACCCCTGCCCCGGCCCTCCAACTCCCACGGTCAGTCCCCCCCATTGTCCGTGCCCATGAGTCCTCTGTTTGTGTTCCTCTGCTTTCCCCTTCCCCTTCTTCCCCCCCATCCCCCTCCCTCCTCCCCTCTGGTCACTATCAGTTTTTCTTTATTTCCAAGTCTCTGGTTCTATTTTGCTCATTTGTTGATTAGGTTCCACTTATAGGTGAGATTATGTGGTATTTTTCTTTCATCCCCTGGCTTAGGACAAATACCATTCTATTTTTATTCTGTATATTGTAGGACATTCTAGGTTACAGGTCTGTATTCTAAATGTTTCATATCTATAACTAAAATATTTTTATTATGATAATAATGACATCAAAAATTTTACTCTGCAATGTGACATCATTTAAAAAAACCCTCCAGTTTTATTCTTTGATTTTAGATAGAAAGTAAATTTAAGTTATCTCTGTATCTCTTTTAGTTAGCTTATGTCACAATACTAAATTGCCAAACAGTGTTTCATCAGTGTTCATTTGGTCTTCAGCGTAAATCTGTAATGTGGGTAGGGCGTGAATTCCATTTTTCAGATAAAGAAAGTGAAGTTCAAAGAGGTGAAGTGAGTGGGTGGCTGATCTGAGATTTAAACACCGATCGTCAGTTATTACCTAGTGCGGTTGTTTTTCTCACTACCCAGATTTGCTCCTAAGTATATGTGATATTACCAGAATCATGACTTGGGGATTTCTCTCATTATTCCCAAAAGGTAATTAGTTTTATTGGCTTGACTGTCAGTAGAGAAAACAATAGTGGCAAGAAAAAATGACAATAACAATAAATGGTTACGATGTACTAGATACAGTTTTAAATGTTGTACTTGTATTCATATATTTAGATCTCTTTATAATCCTGATGATTTGCTAATATTTTATGCAGTTTACAGATGAGGATACTAAAGCACAGAGTGGTTAAGTAACTTTCCCAAATCACACAGCTAGTAAGTGGCAGAGTTAGAACTATGAACCTGAAGATCTGGCTCTTGATCACTACCTTAATCTGTAATAATAGAAACTTTATTGCAGCTTGTAGTTTGTAGGGAGCTTTCAAAGCACTTATCTCCAATACCCCTCTGCAGAGTGGCAGGCAGGATTTGGTAGTCAAACAAAGGTGATTCGGTCTATCTACCACAGACAGCAAGCAGCTGAAAAACTGAACCCTTATTTCTTAAATCCAATTATACCTCTGCTCTTGAATCATGTTTTAACTGTCCATGATTTTGTTAGCTCATTATGGTTCTCCTTAACATGTTTTTCTTCTCCAGTGAGTTATATTGTTGTGGACTTAAAACTACCGTAATTATGTACCTAAGGAATATTTCATCTATTGATATTATGATGGTCTTCAATCATGTCTCTTGCAGTTGAATTGCAATGATGTCAGGACAGGAGAAGGAGATGGGAACTTTGCCTGTCCCCTTGGTAATGTGGCTGTTTGTGGCACAGATGGGAAAACATACAGCAGCAGATGTGCCCTGTGCGCTGAGAACCTGTGAGTATTCTCCGAAGCAGGCCTTCTCCCTGAAGCATGTTCTCTAATAATTACATGACATTTTTTTTTCTTACAGTCTTTAATGATTCATTTTGTGGGAATCAGTCATCCATAAATTATTAGGACCACTTCTTTTACTACATGTAAAGAAAAAATAATTATAACACTTTATATTTTATAAAGCACTTTTGTGTGCTAATTATCAGATGGTTATTATTATCTCTGTGAAGTAGAGAGACATAAATATACACACATATACATAAACTTATATATGTATGCATACACAAACATATGTATGCATACACAAACATATGTATATTTACAAACAATATACTACCCATACTCATTTACTTATTTTCTATTTTTGAGTATACTATTTTTCACAGAGAATTCAACTTATGTTTATTAAGTGCTCAGTAATTTATAGTACAAGAGTAGGTAATTGAGACTTTTATTATTGAACATCTTCCCATCTCTTCAACCTTTGCCACATCACTAAAGCATCTTGCTGTCCTATATTTTGTTCCCACTTGGTTCTTTCTCCACCCTCAATAGTAGGTTTGGTTATTGATTGTCTTCAACTAACAAGATAGTGTACCTGCTTTGCAGGTTCTGACTTGTGACCTCAATCTTGAGCTGTGCGCTCTTTAGTTTTTGCAAATATACAACCAATGTTTGAGAAGGCTAGTTAGGGATTTGATAAATATTCAGTCTTCGAGGTTCCACAAGCTTTATTTCCCCTTGTAATAAGTATCTCAATCAAAACACAATGGAATTAAATCACTGTGATCTCTCACATGACTGCATTTTTAGAAATACACTCTAAAATTATACCTTCAACTCTTACCAAGGGTCAAGATCAAAAAACAGGAAACAAAAACAGACATGGAAAGAACATACAGGTTTTTATTAGATATACTTTTTGTAACACTGCTGTGAGCACACTGCACATTTAGCTCCTACTGTGTTTTCTGTGGAGAATCCTGTGATAGGCCCTCTAAATCTCTGGTTCAGGGGACAGTTTCTCTCTCCTCATTCCTGGTCTGCTTCCTGTATTGTACAGCGAAAGTCATACTGCTCGTCACATTTCTTCCTTAGCTCTGTCTACTAGAAGACTCTGGAATTACATTGGAATTTAACTTTTTGGTTTTCCTCAGCTGATATTTTTTTATATAACCCTTTACTTATCACTTTAACAACTTAGTTTTGACTCTTTTTGTTTGTTTTGTATTTTTATTGTTTTAGAAATACTTTATTTGCACGCTGCCTTATCTTTATAGAAAGGAGGAAGCATATCCTGCATTTATGGCTTTATGTTTTCAGATATGCTTTAAAGCTCTATTTGACTGAATAAGATTGATTATTAGGAGTTTATGTACTTTCCATGAAAAACAAAATATTAGTTAGCATAACCCAAATGAAGAATAGTATAATGGGATGCTAGATTGAAACCAACAACAGCAAAGTTCCTTGGGGGCATCTAATACCTAGTTATAAGCTTTACTTTTCCCCACACTTATGATATGGATCCCCTCTGGATATAGAAAAAAAAATTCTGGAAATAACATTTACAAGTGTGAATCTTATTGGCCCATCAATGTGGTTTCATTCGACTCCAAATTATAAGCATAGGCTCTCCTTAGAAAGAGTAAGTAAAGACTGTAATGCGACACCTGTTTTCAAGAGCAAAGGCTCACAAAGCAATGAAGTTAACACTTGAATGATGAGGCGTTCTCTGATACTAAACTGCTGTGTCTAATTTTCAATTCCAGTAAAACCACATCTCAAATTGGCATACAGAACGAAGGGGAATGTGAAACCAGCAATCCAGAGCAGGTGAGGACAAATGTCAGGTTGGCAGAAGCAGTGGGGGGCTGATTTCCAAGAGAAAGAGATGCTTGCTTCTTCTTTCTATAACGGGGTGGTTGGAAGGAAGTAATTTTTGCTGTACCTGAACCGGGATACTGCTTGTTTGATGGAAAACAGTGGATAGTTTCTGAAACTATTTGGTTGGCCAAAAAGTCCGTTTAATTTTCTTCATAAATAAAAAACACATTTTTCATTTTCACGAATAACTTTATTGATTTGGATATTTTGAACATGTCATCTATCTCCCACACAGTTAATGTTAATTGTTCTCAATGTCTCAATTTGAGCGCCATCAACTTCAACTGGTCTACTGACCATGGAGCATCGTCCAGTGAGAAATCTCCAGCATTAAACTTTGCAAACCACTTTTGACACATTTGATCAGTCACAGCACCTTCCACATGCACTGCACAAATCTCTTTTTGCATTACAGTTGCATTTTTACCTTTCTTGAAATAGTAAAGCATAATATGCCAGAATATGTTGCGTATTTTCTTCCATCTTCAATATTAAAATGGCTAGACAAAAATGCACCAATTTTGCTAAGTTTTTGAATTTTATTTTTTAAAAAGATTTTGTTAATTTTTTTTTGAGAGGTGAAGGGAGGGAGAAAGAGGGGGAGAGAAACATCAATGTATGCTTGCATCTCACGTGCCCCCTACTGGGGACCTGACCTGCAACCCAGAAATGTGCCCTACACTGGGAATCTAATCAGCAACCCTTTGGTTCGCAGGCTGGTGCTCAGTCCACTGCGCCACACCAGCTAGGGCAGCTTATTTTTTTTTTTAATGCATACTGGTATGATAACTGTCACAATACAGTCTAACAAAATTGTCTTGAATGAAGTTAAAGACATCTAAGTGCTACTAGCGCCTTCTTACAGAAAAAGCCAAACTAACTTTTTGGCCAGCCCAATAGACGAGATTACTTTGGTAGATAAACCTTTCAGCTCGATTTGAGTTTTCTATGCAAAGATGGGAGGGAGGGACGGAAGGGAGAGAGGGAAAATTAGTTAAAAGGGTTAAGTGACACTTGAGGAACTGAACCGAGGTTGAAACCCCAGCACTGTCACTTGCCGTCCGGAGACCTTGGGCACATTACTTAACCGTACAGTTCCCGTGTTTCCATGTCTAAAAACGAGATTTGAATTAAATAGCTCCTTTTTACACTAAAATTCTGTGAGCCTGTGATGTTAGCGGAGAGAAGCGAATGTCTCACTATGTCACACTTGACTTTTTGTCACTGAATGATTTTCCTAAGTCAAGGTTTAGTGCCCTCTTTGTATGAGCCTGAGGTCAGGTCCAAAACGTTTAGCCCATATTTTAAGTCTCTGTGTGTGTCACCCAGAAGATTGTGAGCAAGTGGAGGGCCAGGACAGTGTTCTTTCTGCCTTAATTCTAGCACACAGTAGGTTATCCGTGTTTACGAATAAATGAATCAATAAGTAAATGAGTTCTGTACTTAACCATATGAGTTACCCAATACTGGGCTACATTCGCACGTCTGAGACTGCTTGCCCCAGGTGGCCAGTGTGCGTTGGACCGAAAAGTAATGAGTTCTAAAAAACAGCTGAAAAGAGTGCTGTAAGAATTACAACCAAGGTGGCAAACGTCCAGTTTCTTTCTGTGTTCTAGGATATTTGTAGCGCTTTCCGGCCTTATGTGAGGGATGGCAGACTTGGATGCACCCGGGAAAACGATCCAGTCCTCGGTCCTGACGGAAAGACGCACGGCAACAAGTGCGCCATGTGTGCGGAGCTGTTGTGAGTAGCGTGGTCCCCAGGCAGGCCCTGCGGGCGGGCCTGACAAGGGTGCGCTGGTTGCTGTCCTAAGAACCGCTCCCCAGAGAGAGGGAGTGCTTTCTAGGAGGCATGAAATCCTTTGTCTCCATCAGGTGAAGACAGAGTGGCTTTTCTCTTTTTAATTCCTATCGTCTGCTAAGGTTTCTGAAGAGGAGAGAAGATAAGGTGCTTATGCTAGTTATTAAACTTAAGACTATAATTTGTTTCATTATAATGCCTTGAGAAGGCTCAATGTTTTGTAAGTCATGTTTTAGAATTTAAAAAGCACTTTCATTCATATGGAATAACCTAGATAAGTCAATTATTTGACACGCATTGCTTCATTTGGACATATATAGAGACTCTGACTAAAATGACAGTCTAATTTAAAATAGCAACAATAATAAGGCCACGTGGCTGAATTCATTATTAGTGTAAAAGGTGGAATTTATGAAAGGGAAGAACTGTTGGGTTAAATCTTTCCCTGGGTGTCTGAGAGTCAGGAACTGAGAACCAGACACTGAGGGCCAGGCATGGATACAGTCCAGTGAGTCTTTAATATTCTGGGTGTTAAACAACCTATAGACCCTCTAATCCCTACGCCAGCAAGCCTTAGAGTGCTCTGTGTACATCACTGGGATCTTTCACATCTGGACAGAGAAGATTGCAGATTAACATACTTCATACCCCCTTTAAAAATTACAGTACACTATTGTAGAATTTAAGGGCATGTCTTATCAGGTTTACAAAACATTGATTATCACTGGTTTCTAGATTGTATATCAGCCCAATTTCCACTTTTTGCAATCTGGAGGACTTGTGCTTTTAGTGTTCAAACCTGCACTAATCCTGTGACTTTCTGTTTCTTTTCATGCACTAGCTGAAAAAGAGATTTTGACTTCCTTAACCCCTGGCTTCTTTCTCTGTAGAACTAAGATAATAATGCAGGATGAGACTGAAATTGAATAATAGGTGATATGAAAGGATTTAAAAACTCAGCTTCTTGTGGTTTTTATTAACAATGATGCTTTTACGCTAAGGCAAACAAATACTTTACACGATATAGAAAACTATACCAAGGGTGTGGAAGACAGTATTTAAAATACTCAGTTTGGTTTCACCTCGTCCCAGCATTGTTCTAGAGCTCGTGGTTCCGCCTGCTAAAGGGAACTTTCCAGAGAATCTCCAGTTTGTCAATCAAGGAGCCACACCCACCCAGCTGTACAGAACAAAGCCTCTAATTGACTGTTGGTGACTCAGTTTTACACCCTTCCTTATCTTTAGCAACTTTCTGGCTCAGACATTCAAAACAGGGCAAAAAGGGCTTGTCTCACGTACATAGATCAGTTTAGCAAGGTAGAGCAAAGGATACGAAAGTGTTCAGCACAGAACCGGGACACTGAGAATATGACCCAGCCATAAACTGACCGACTGTTTTCTTTCTTAACAGCTTAAAGGAAGCTGAAGAAAACAGCAAGCTACACGATGAAACCAGAATTCGACGAAGTGCTGAAGAGGTAAATTACTCACCAACACAGTTTGGTTCTTGTGGCTACAAACATTAACAGACATACACTGGCATGTTTGATAATGTCTTTGTCCTTCATTATCACAGTGAACTCTTTCCCTTAATTTCACAATTCCCCAGGTTGACAATTCCTTGTGTATTAATCATTAAATTTATTTTTAAAACAGTATTCCCCATCTAAAGCTCAAAATATGAAATTTTCCTCTTTGCTAAAAAAAAAAAAAAAAAAAAAAAAGTAAATCAGAAAGTTTATGTAAATTAAATTCTGCTTAATTTTCACCAGACTCTTTCTGGCTTAGTGTAAATTAATCTTGCTTTGAGTAAATTATGGAAAATGCAACATAATAATATAATAATATAAATTAGACAGGAATAACTTTAAAAATAATTCTAGAGTCTTTTGAACACTACATCTGCTGGCATCTTGTACGTACAATCTCATTGACAGAAATCCGAATTATTCATTTTCTCTCTAAGGTCATTACGTTTAGTGAAGCCTGCATTTATCAAAGCCTTGCTTCTGTTAAATGAAAATCTCACATACATATTGAGATTGTGGTTTTAAAAATACGCTTAAAATTAGTTAAAAAAATTTTTTTAGATGATTTCACTCTTCCGTCCAGCATGAAAATAGTTATTTTGTGAATAGGATAGGCATGATAGGTGAGGCAGCTGGGCTTTCTTAAATCACCGAGGCTATTTTGAAAGCTACTTTCGGTAGCAGTGACAGCAGTGCCTTTGCTGAATGGCAGCTCTTTGTTGGGAAGGCAGGACACTTGGGTTTTAGCCTTGGCCCTGTCATGCCGGGCACGTGTGGAACTGAGCGAGTCATCTCTTCTCTCTGGGCCTCCCTTTTCTTCTCAGCACAATGAGGAGGCTGGCCAGATGATTTCAGTTCTGCTTTCCTGTCAGGTTGGGATTCTACGTCTTGCTCCCTTTTGTTTTAATACGAGGACACTATTTTTGTGGATCGTAGGGCGTATGTTTCCCTAAGGGAGACACAGGTCCAGTTTATGACAGTCAGGCCCTGACCTTGCCCTTCATAATGCTATTCCATGAAGCAGATTTCCCACCGTGTATGAGGTGTTGAGTGTTTTAGTTAAGAAACAGGAAGCATTCAGAGTTGTCGCCAATTTGTTCAACACTCACTGAAATTTGAAAAGCAGTTTTTTAGTGGTGGTTGTTATATTTCAGTCAAAAACCTTGGGTCATTCTTGAGATGCATTTTCTTACTCCACTAACACAGAGAGTTCTTCTCCCTTGTCTTTCATCACATCTCAGATGCTTTTCCCTTGTCCTTTCTGTGGCTGGTGTCATTGTTTTGGTGGGGTGATTGGACATGACTGTCTTAAATTGGACAGCTTTACAGGGATGGCTCAATATCTGCCCCATAATTAAACTGTCAATGGGTTGCTCACAAAAGTATTTCTTCAGAATTTCCTCGGATGAATCACAACTTATAAATTGAAATTATCATTGTTTCTCTATGGGAATCATTGAGCATTAATTTTACTACCGTGTTATGACTACCAGGTGACTGTCTTCTGTGCCTGTATTCCTAGATTGTTACAACCAGGAAGTTTGGAGCACACGCATTGCTCCTTCAAAACTAAATATCTTTGTATTGGGAGGAAATTATGATTCTCTTTTAAAGTGTCCTAATCAAACGTGGGGTTTTTTGTTTGTTTTTTTTTTAAGATCTAGAAAAGGTCCTAAAGAGTATATGTTCCAAAAACCTCTTTGTGTAGGTGGTCCGACCAGGACCTCAAAGGTGGCCGGGACTTTGCTGTGGTCTCCCAGTGAGTTTGAAGTACAACCTAGCTGCCCCAGGTTGCTTCTGACTCCAAACAATGCTCTTAATGCTCCTGTATTCTTGGCTGACATGGGAAGATGAAAGTCACACAGTTGAAGAGAAGGCTAAAGGGAAGCATTTGGGGGTAGATTATATTATAGTAATATATGTCATCACAAAATATGTTTATTGACATAGATATTCCCAAGTCTAGAGTAATTTGAGATATATGTATGTATGTGTGTGCTTGTAAATGGAGCCCACATCAAAGAGTAGAATTTTCAAAACACAAAGAAAAACCTGAAAGAACTGAACCAAGGCATCAGGAAATCTGGGAACAAACATCTCAGACTTTGGGGGGAAGTCACAGCCTTTTTATGGAAATATTCATCTTGATGTTCTACCTCTCTAAGTTGGGAGTGAATGAAAATTAGACCCATGCTCTCTGAGGTATCCATCTCTTTTATTAGACATCTATGAAGAAGGCAGAGTATACAAATATGATGCACAGGTCCATCGAAAAAACAAACTAAAGTGACCATAATGCTGTTGGATACCATCCTATTTTTCTTTTCTTTGGCAACTAGTTTGGATTGTTTCTGACTTGATCCACATTAAGGAGCATCTAAACATCTCATCTCACACATTCTATATTTTGCACATTGGCAACTTTGTTTTTTGTCTTGGCTGCTTCATTTTGTTAGAGCTCCATGAAAGATCTTTGGTGGTTGTTTTTGTTTTTTTTTTAAATTATCTTTTTTCATAGATTTGAAAGTTAATAAGAACTATCTAGGTTTAGAAAATACTTTTTCAACCTTAATCTTTCTAAGCCTCTTTTACCTTTTAGTAAATACACCACATTGCAGATACAGATACTGAGTAATATCACAATGTAATTACTATTTCTTACTAATTCTCATTAACATGTTACATGTGTTTACCAACACTTTTGGGACCTGGCATTCTTTGACTATGAACCCCTGGTGTACATATTCTGTAACAAAATGTAGAAAAGTGTTAAATATAATTACTTGTCTTTTTAAAAGGATCTCTGCAAGGAATATAAGAACCAAGTGAGGAATGGAAGACTTTTTTGCACACGGGAGAGCGACCCCGTCCGTGGCCCCGATGGCAGAATGCATGGCAACAAATGTGCCATGTGCGCCGAAATTTTGTGAGTAGAGACGTATTTTCTTTGGAGCGGCTCAGAAGGTGAAGTGGCGATCGATTGAAATGATGAGTGAGAACAGTGCTGAGGTGAAGAATTGTTGTTCAGAATTTTTGCAACAGTTTGATGTCCTCTGCAAATCATAACACCACCTAGCGAGCAGGTCCTTATGATGGGCGTCTGTCTGAGGGCAAAGGGATTCTATTTTCCAGTTGGAAGACTGGATTATAAAATGCTCCTTCACACTTCCTCTCATGACCTGTGTAGGCCTTTCCATGAGATAGTTACCATCCAGAATGAAGGGAGATGCAGGTACCAAGCCTTTGATGGTTTCCTTCAGTAGCTGTCCCATTGTGACAGTCACCCTTCTCTGAGATCCTTGCACTCTCTAAGTGCTTTCTTTATGCTCTCCCATGCCAGTGTGTCTCAGCCTTGGCCAGCTAAGGTCTTCTCTTCTGTGGCTTGCATTTCATCATTATCCTTCCTTGGATAAGGCCTCCTAAAATCCCTAACTGGAATCCAATCCTTACAACTCAGTGATTTTATTTTATGACGGTCATTGCAGTTGGTAACTGGATCACTATTTCTTGCTGACTATCAGTCTTCCCTCCTGGGCTGTAAGCTCTAAAAAGACAGGGAATGTGTTTGTTTTGTGTACTACTGTGCAATATGCCCAGGGCCCAGGGTAATGCTGGCCAAAAAATAGTTACTAACTCAGTGTGTGAATGAATGAATGAATGAATGAATGGAGATCCCTGTTATCAGGAAGCTTAAGGCTAAATAGCAGAAATAAGCTATGGCTGTATGCTCACATGTGTGCGCGCGCACGTACGTACACACACACACACACACACACAGTGCAAGACCAAATGAAAGCATCCCCTAAGGGGAGAATATTCAGGTATGAAAATATAGTGACAGATGTGGAACTCATTTCCCTTTGAGGTCTGAGATGTCCTCTTATAGAAGGGAGAATTTAAGCTGGAGAGATCTGAAAGAGAGGAAAAGACAAAAAAAAAAAAAAAGATCATTACAATGGGAGGAAATGGCATACATGAAGGCAAAATGAAAGAAAGGGGTACTTTGGGGAAATAGTGGGGATTTCAATGTGATAAGGGACTTTAGAGTGATTATAAAGCGTTTCTACAGGAACACAGGAATACTTAGCTGTTTTTCCACTTGTGCCTAAATTTCCACTTGTATAGATTGGAAGCATCTGTAGTTATTTATTTTTGTTCCTTTCTCCAGAAAACGGCGTTTTTCAGATGAAAACCTGAGGAAAGCTGAAGAAAAAGTTAAAGTTAAAAGAGAAATTGAGGTGAGGGTTAGTTTGATTTGTCTAGTTATGACTTCTGTGGTTTGTGCATGCCTTTTGCTCTACAATGCATTTTCAAGATTGGTTCCCTTTTCACCACCACTGATAGGTGTTCTGGAAACTCTAGTTCTTATTTTATAAGATTTATAAAAATAAAATAATAACCATGGCAGTACAATTTTAAAGCTCTACTTGGAGGAAATTAATCAAGTCATATTAGTAAAATACTTCCACATTCCTAAATGAAGGTATATATCAAAGCATTATGTGAGTTCAAAGTTTGATGTGCATTCTTCTTCAAATGTGTGGCGGTTGTTTTAGAGGTTTTCATTTTTGAAAGCAATATCAATGGAAAATTTTAATATGCTCTTAAAATCATTCTGCATCACACTTTTTAAACGTCTCAACCAGTCATCTGCCTTTTTGTATACTGTCACCTTATCTTAGATACCTAATAGCTTTCCTTTGTGTTGATGCATGAACGTCTTGCCTGAGGTCTCTACTTCCAGCTAACATCTTCCTCAGTCCTCAAGATTCAATTTCTTTTCCACATTGTTTTCATAGAGAAGGAAATATTTCCATGAGCCAGTGGCATTATGAAAGTACAACATTTGAAGGGATCCTAGAGTATATTTGGACCATTTCACTCCATGAAGAAATCCCATTTCACTTATTTCTTACACACAGAGTTATCCTACGTTCTTCTGTCTTCACATTTTTCCATCTTATTGCCCAGGTCTCATTTCCACCTGCTTTCTTCCTTTCAACCCTGGGTTATGAAGCCCCTTTAATTTTATTTCTCAAATGTCCGTCAACTGTTCTTTTATCTTTCCTTTCTAATTTCTTCCTTCTTTTCTTCCTCCCTCCTTCTCTCCTTCCCTTTCTTCCTTTCCTTCTTTTCTTCCTTCCTTCCCTTTCTTTCTTTCTTTTCTTCTCTAGTTTCCCTGACTTCAGTCTCTACTTACTCAAATCCTCTACACATCTGGCTGGATGGTCTTTCTAAAATAAAGATTTGATTATATTCTTTTTGCTATAAATAGTTATCATTTTCCCATTTCCTAAGAATAAAGTCCAAATGCCTTTCACACAACAGTGGCCTAGTTTTGACTTATCTTCGAAGTCTCCTTTTTGACCAATTCCCTAACTTTTCTCTCTCTGCCCACTAATTCTTTAGCCACTATGCTCATGGCTACAATACCTTGAAATAATATGTTTCTTTATGTTGCTATGCCTTTGCATATTTTAATTCTTCTTGGGGGACTTTTTTGCCACATTGTTTTTCTGGAAATTATCCTAAAGATACAAATCTGATATAATTTCTTTACTGAACTGCCATGAATCAGTCTTTCCTTTGTGCTTGTACGCATTTTAATTCAGACTTGTGCCATGTCTGAGCTTTTTATATTGTAATTCCTTATCCTTTTCACTTGAGTAATACAAGAGCTAAACCACATTTATATTTATATCCCCTTAACTTCATACATTTGCTGAAGATGTAAATAGATGAATATTACAGAGAGACAAATATCACAAAATTTTTGGATGATCCTAAATCCTGAAAGTTTTATTTTTCAATATTTTTGATAAAGAATACCTAAAGCTTATACACAGAGAACTGTATCTAAACTGTCTCATTTTCGTTATTCAGAAACTCTGCAGTGAATTTCAGGGCCGTGCAAAGAATGGAATGCTCTTCTGTACCAGAGAAAATGACCCTGTTCGTGGTCCGGATGGGAAAATGCACGGCAACTTGTGCTCCATGTGTCAAGCCTTCTAGTGAGTATCAAGTTTTAGATTGTCAAGGAGAGAACGGAGCTTACAGATCACCAGCTAGTTTCACAGATGGGGAAACTGTGGCTTGAAATAGGGAAGGGAGTTGAGCACAAAACACTGAAAATGTTAGTGACAGAACGGGGAGTAAGTGCCTAGCGCTATGTAGTACAGGGTGTCTCCTGGGTCCTGTCACTCATTCTCAGCACTGGGGCATCCTGAGCGGCATGAGCTTGTACAAAGGCCAAGTTCCTCCAGAGGCACAAGGGCCCAAAGTTAGCACTTAACGAAGAAATTGATTACGAGAGTTAAAATTGCCGATAAAACAACCATGAACCCTTATAGAATTACAGGAAATGCTACTTTATATAACATTTCTCAGTAAGTTAGGATTGACAGTTTGCTTTCAAAGTTTGGAACCGCTCTCAGTTTACTTGATTGAGCGTAGTTTAAGTAATTGATTTAGACTTAGAATCTATGGCCTTGTGAATGATACCCATGTACGGCCATGGTTACCATGCAAGTCTGTTGTTGAAAGCAAATTTAAGCTCATTTGGTTTCTCATTATATGGCCTTTTTCTGTGCACCCTACCTGTTGTCTTTAGATAACACAGCCATGAGTAAGCGACACAGTTAAGTTGAATGACTAAAGCATGCTGGGATAGATAGCTCATAGACTTGAAGGGAGAGACCTTGACTACTTGTAGTCATATCCTACAAGTGTAGCCACAGCCCTCCCTGCCTCACCCCCTGTCTGTGAAAGCGGGGGACCAGCCGATGTGCTTTGCTAAGGCCACTTTCAGCCTCCAGGTGTAACGTCACCATGGTATTAGTTTGGATAATCTCCTTTATGGATAATGGTATTTCTTTTCTGACCACAGGCAAGAAAGGTAATTTATAGAAAGCGAGTTTTCCAGACCCACAATTACTGTCTTTCTTCCCATGTTAAGCAGAAACTATGAAGAAGTTAGGGTACCTTACCATACTGGAAGCTGTTCTGCGGCTTCTAGTTGGGATGTAGAGACAAAAGGACAGAATTGCTCCTTCCTGCGGCGGGAGGAGAGGTTAGCGGTGCAGGCACGTGGAGAAACCCCTTCCTGCGTTTGGTCCCACGGCTGCTCTCCTTTTCTCTCACGCAGCCAAGCAGAAGCACAAGAAAAGAAAAATGCAGAAGCAAGAAATAAGAGACAACCTGGAAAAGCACCTTCATTTGCAGTGAGTGGAATCCATTCAATGAGCCCTACTTGGAACGATAATTTGAACATCCTTCCAAGAGCTTAAAGGCTGGAATGTTGCCCTTTCAAAATAACCAGAAACTCTCAACCCCTCGAGCTGGGGGTGCCATCGACACGGATACTACGGGGGGCTTGCTCCGTTCTCGCTGCTTCAGGGACTAACCATGCGCAATAAAAATAACCATCCGAAGCCTGAAAAACTGAGTTCTAGTTTCATCTCTCACACATTGTCCTGGCTTTTGCTTTTACCACTTTTCAGAGACTCTACTTATAGATTTTCTACAGAAGAATTTTTGAAATTTCACATCTGAGGTAGGATAAAAATATCTTGATCACACACACACACGGACACACACACACAAAGGCATGGCTTTTTACCTCTGAAATATCACAGTGTTCGTTTCCATAGCCCCATTAAGTTGTTATCACCTGTTGCTCAGAAGATGAAAGTCTCCTAATTTTTCATCAAGGTTCTGACCTCCCGCTTCCCCAACTGTCCTCCCTAACACAGCCAGAGTAAAGTTTCAAAATATTAATTAGGTCACAAAAGCACACTGCTTAAAATCCACAAATAGCTCGTTATGTATCTGATCAAGGCTCCATCTCAGCCTCCGCATCTCTCTTCTTCTTTGGCTTCTTACCTGCAATCAGAAACTGATGTTCTGCTATGTGTCGTGTATTAATGGTTTCCTGCTTGTGTCTCTCAGTTTATGTTAACAATCTAGAACGCATGTTCCCCAATCCATTAAATGAGAGTAAATCCTATTTCCTCTCCATGGTGTCACTCACATTATTCCTGTGCCCTCACGTTGCCCCTGGTTTCCACAATCAGATTTCATGGTCCCAGCCTCTAGAGCTCTTTGACTTTTTGTACCTATCTGTTTACACTTATTTTATTCTGTTTAGTTTATAGTGGAGTTTACTTGTCTCTTTCTTTTATTATACTGTGACATCCTCGTATGTCATTTTTATTTCCATCTCTTAGCAACTGATGGGTGTTGTTTGTGGAATTGCACTTTACATTTGAGAGAAGCCCCGCTAAAACCCTGGACTCGAAGAAGCATGACATTAGTTTCTGCTAATGCAGATGTTCCAGTCTGCAGCTTTGAGTAGGAATGAAGGAAGTGTATGTCCAACTTATTTCTCTACATTGACAGGAGCTGTGCAGTGAATACCGCCAATTTGTGAGGAATGGCAGGCTCCCTTGCACCAGGGAGAACGACCCCATCCAGGGCCCAGATGGGAGAGTGCATGGCAACACCTGCTCCATGTGCGAGGCCTTCTTGTGAGTGGCGCTGCAGCTAGAAAATGGGGGAGGGTTTTGTCCCTTCTGCTATGTTTATTTTTTTAGCTTTATCATATTTTATTTTTAAAAGTGGGTCTGTTTCTTGTCAGTGGTCATTTTATGCCACATTTTTGCACGCTGTCGTAATTATCAATGAACAATTCCTGCAGTTCAGTCACTGACTGGTTGAGTTTTTATGGAGGTGAAAAAATGTAGAACAAGGAGCTCACGTACACAGAGTGGGATATGAAGTCACCCGAAATCACACCACTGACCCCAAAGCAAACAACCCCATATGCAGAAACAGTGCCTCAGTTCACACACAAGACCCAGGGGAGCGATGTGGAAGAAGGAATGACTGGGATCTGGTGGCGTTAACTTGTCTCATGTGTCTTGTCAACTTAGAGAGCTTTGTTGAAGCCTAGTCTAAGCCCCCAACCCCTAAATTTCTCCAAGTAACCAGAAACTTTCCATCACAGTCAGCAATTGTAAATTTAAATGTGTGACTGTGTGCTTAACTTTTCTCTCTTCCACTAGATAATTGTTATTATTATGAAGGGGATTAAGCCCCAAATTCAGATTGATCCTGTGCTTCCTTTCTATTTTCAGTTATGAGAGGGCTACTTCAACAGGAAGATAAAAACATATTTAGAGGAAATGGAGAAATGTATAAAAACCATGGCCACTGAGGATTTTGAGGGTTTGGCACACTCAGCCAGAGGAAAGTCACAGCCTGAAATGTCCAAGTCATTTTTGCCCTTAAATGTGCAAACAGTGCTGGTTCTAGGTTGTCCCATGGGTGAAGGCGGGCCAGTGAGCGAAAGCTCTGGAAGACAGGAGGAACTTTCCACTGGATTGAGGGCTTCAAGGATGAAGGACCTACTGTGGGATTTCAAGGATATGTAGGTAGAGAATTGGCCGGCAGATTAAAGCAAAGCTACACAGTAATCAGAGACACAGTTGTGAGTGTTGGAAGTTTAAAAAATCACCCCTGGCCTAGGGCTGACAGCCTTAGTCTGCTTTTATAGCTCTGTGTCCTTGGGAAAATGATACATTCTGTCTGCCAGGCTGCTTATCTGTAAATTATGGCTGGAAGGGTACTTTTGCTCCATGCAGTTGTGAAGGCTTCATTAGTATGAACACAAGGTTGGGCACATAGAGTTTGCTAAACATCAACTGTAGCAATTAAGTCATATTTGAGATCAGTTGCAATCTGGAGATTTTATGATTCTTACTCATTTCTTTCTTAATCACTCGCTTTTAGCCAAGCAGAAGAAGAAGAAAGGAAAAAGAAGGAAGCTGAATTGAGAAATAAAAGGCAATCTGAGAACACAGCTTCCTTTGAGGTGAGGGGACCTTCTCCCGGTCAGAGGCATGTGGCCTCAGGATCCACAGATGATGTTCATGAAACCCATAAACTCCCCAAAACTATTGGGGACATTCAGGCAGTTTCTGTTTGTGTGTGTTTGCATGTGTGCATAGACATGTGTGCACATGACTCTTTTTTGTCTGAAGAGCCATTACTTTTAACTCTTGAAAATATTCATATCTTCTAAGAACTATTTTTAAAATGAGCCCATTGCTGATTCCCATTTAAGAAAATGTCCAAATATCAGCAGTTTTTGCAGTATGATGCCGCCTGTGTTTAACACCTCAACCTTCCCTCCTCGATTTCACAGGAGCTGTGCAGTGAATACCGTAAGTATGTGAGGAACGGCCGACTTCCCTGCACCAGGGAGAACGACCCCATCCAGGGCCCAGATGGGAGAGTGCACGGCAACACCTGCGCCATGTGCGAGGTCTTCTTGTGAGTGGAGCTCAATGCTTCTGATGGAGTTCGGGGGGGTGGGACTAAGAAATCTTCAAACAATTGTGAATAATGCATTTTCCTTTTCAGTGTAGTTATTCAACTTTGGGCGTCACATTTAAGTACATGAAAACACAGACACGCAAAACCAAATTAGCACGTAGAGAGCTGTCAGATGATAATTATTGTGATGTAAAGAGATATAGAATAATTTCTTTTTGGATATTTCAGAAAGAACTCAATCTTTTATTCAGGGTAGAAAGCACTCTATGATAACGTTACTCATTGCTTTTAGTTTTCTAAAGGACTAACAGCTGAAATAAATGGATGCGATCACATGTAAATACCATGGTACACAGCAAATTTTAAAAGACTTTATTTTAGTTCACTACCTCTCTACTCATTTTGTGTGACCTCAAAGAATAGGATTAGGCTGGATGAGAGCTATGGGGAGACAGGTTTGCGCAACATGGAGGTGGACTTCGCAGCAGTTAGAGAAGGAAAGGCTACGTCAGGGATGGTGATTCTCTCGTGTAGATTTACAGGGGACTAACATATAACCGTAGAATAAAAATGACATGACATGCTATGTCTTCTGAAACAAGCCTGTGGCGTTCTTTAAGTCTTTTGGTCATTGTCCAAAGGGGTACTCCAATTTATTTTCCTATGCGCCAGAATCTCTTATTTAGGACTTAGTCTTTCGGTCTTTCCTGGTTGAAAGCAATGTGGCCAAGCAGATTGATCCTATAGTGTCTGGGCCATGGAAAATCGATTAGGTGGAAGTCAAGATGACGACCACGTAACTATGTAATCAACACTTATTGAATGCATACAATCCTCACACATTTCCTAAGGGCTTTGCTACCTAATCTCATTTAATCTTCACAACAAAGATATGAAATAGGTTCTGTATTATTACAAGTTTTAGATGGAAAGATAAAGACCCAGAGAAGTTGAGGATGATAGAAATATCAGCACTGGAAAAATGAAGAAAATGATAATGTTTTTCACTGTGTGGTGTAGACAGGATATAATCTTTCAGCAAAGCCGTAATCAACTTCCAGTAGTTATATTTGTCTGTATTTGAGCTTGTTTAAGTCTGTTTTTCTTTTACCTCTACATTAATCTTCTGGTGACAAGGAAGTACTTCTGCCATCTAGTGGTCTGCTACTTCCTGGTAACTTCCCAGTATGGAAAGGAAATGCTTCTTGAATTTTCTAGTCAACTTAGACTCATGATAAAGTTCAGATCAGTTTCCCTTTTAAAGAAGTATGAGAATCATCACAATTTTGGAGCTATTGTAATAATTTTCTCTCATCACTAGAAGATACCATATCAAAAAAATAAAATTTTATCACCTCATATTTTATAGATATGTTAGCCAAGAGTGTTGCCTTTCTTGAGAATCATTCTTCCTTCTATAGTCTTTTCCTGCACACTTTCAAACCATATGCAAACATTTTTTTCAACTTTTTAAATGTTTTAATTTGAAAAATGAGCAAGTCTTAATGTTGATTGGAACATATTAAAACATTTTCACAAATTATGTGATTTTTCTCTGTCTATATAACATGACTGAATAATTGTGTTATAGATTCAAATATTTTATAGATCCATTCACGAAACTCAGCTTGCAATACTGTTAGTTATGGTCAAGGACTATAACTCTCACTTCATTTCCATCATATGCTTGTTTTTGGAGAATTCAACTTTTAATAATGATTACAGTGATGATATACTAATCTCTTATATCACTTTTGTCAATCTTTTTATTATTGACCAGATACTTATTCTAATTGTTTTACATGTATCAACTCATCCCATGCTCAGAACAGTCTTACGAGAAAAGTACTCTTCTTGTCTCTTCTGTCCTTCTCTACCCTTCCCATGTAGAGACGAGAAAGCCACAAATATGTTAGGATAGTTTTTGTGTTTTTTATGCAACCTGGTTCCAGAGTTTTTCCTCTTAACTACTGTGCTGTATTGACTCTCAGCAGCCAAATATCACCACCTTTATATAAAGAGTTGTTGCAGATGCAAAAGAAATCAGGCAATGAGAAATTCTTATCGCAGTATATTTGCTGGGAAGCTAAATAGATTTACTGATTAAGGGACTTTTTCTTGCACCCCATTCTTTTGAGGAGAGGTGAATCATTCTAATTTATTACCCAATAAAATTACAAACTACTGTGATTGGATCTTTGGGGTTACTTGAGAATAGTCAAAGCAATGAATGTTCAACTTGTAAATGTTAAGGATCTATTCTACTGTATTAAGATCCATTTTTTCTCTTCCTCTCCCCCTGTTATGTACAGTAAACAAGAAGAAAAAGCAAGAGCAAAGGCTAAAAGGGAAGCTGCAAAGGTAATTTGCTCAGGAATGCTAATGCTACACTATGCCTTGGCATTTTTTCCCTCTATAATAGCATTCTAGATATCTCATTAACAATAATATTTTTCTGTTCAATTTTTATGCCTGAAATGAACAAAGAAAACCTTTGACCTGAGGGCAAATTAGGTCTTGATTAAAAGTTTCCAGAGTACCAATTTTATTGCATAATAATTCAAATTTTGAGTTTGATTTCATAAAAATTGAGTGCTGATTTACTTTTTTAGTGATATTCTCCATGTTTGGCTTTTCTTAGATTTCTGCTGTCAGGCACAGAGTATTAATATCCATCTTTACAATTTACTAATTTCAATTAATGTCATTCAAACTTCTATTATTTCTAATAGAGTACAAGATCTGTGTCATTCACATTAGTCCAATTTACAAAACAAAGTGCACAAATATTTATCATATTTGTTCTTTGTCACCTCCCAAATATGGAGGAATACTATTATTCTCATCTCCAACTTAATGATTACTTTGTAATTTTTTTGACTTTCTAATTATCCTTTATAATTCTATATTTCTACAAGTAGCAGAACAAAGTCTGTCTGTAGGTAGATAGAGACTTGCTCTCCTATTAAAGCCATATACAGGATTTACCTTTATGTATTTTGTCCCCTAACAATAGCTGCAAAGTATAAGCCTAATAATTTATTTGCAGAAAGCTGACACAGTTTAAAAGTTTGCCATTAAACCAACACACTTTCTCAGTAACTTACTTTCTGTCTGCTGGAACCATCATTTGTTGGCACTTTAGAATTGAAAATTCGTTTTATCCATCATAGCCGATCAGTTGCTTAGTTGTCTTAGATTTTTCAAATGATTCTGTCAGGTTGCTTTTTCTCTCCTCCCCTGTTGTTACTCTCCTGTTTTAAACCCACATCCCCCGCTTAGCAAGGAGCCCCCAGAAAGGCGCCAGCTTCTCCAGATGTCATGCTTATTTTCTCCTCTTTATATTTCAGATACTTCTTTATTTCTTAGTTTGAACATGTTTTTGTTTCTGTTTTTCTCAGCCTTCTAAGGACAAGTCAAGGCTCAGCAATATTTTTTGCATATTGTTTTATTTTTTCAACTTTATTAAGATATAATTGACATATAACATTGTGTACTTTTAAGGCGTGTAGTGTGTTGATTTCAAAATGATTACCACTGTAGTTATAACTAACTCCTCCATCACATCACAGAATTACAATTTGTGTGTGTGTGGGATAAGAACATTTAAGATCTACTCTTAGCAACTTTCAGGTGTGTAATATGGGATTGTTAACTGTAATTACCATATTCTATGTTAGGCCCCCAGAGCTTATTTGTCTTATAACTGGAAGTTTGTACCCATTGGCCCCCTTCGACCATCGTCTCTTCATTTGTCCCGCCCTCCCCATCCCTTGGCAACCACCACTCTTCTGTTTCTATGAGTTCAGCCTTTTTTTTTTTTTTTTTTTTGGTTCCACATATAAGTGAGATCACACAGTATTTGTCTTTCTCTGTCTCACTTACTTTACTCAGTATAGTGCCCTCAAGTTTCATCCCAGCTGTTGCAATGGAAGGATCTCCTTTCTTTCTCATCAAGGCTCAGCAAATATTCTCAGTTCCATTCCTTCTGGGCCTATTGACTCTTCTCACCTGCGATCTTTCATTGTTCTCATGGACTGTGACCTGCAACACAACACACACATATATTGGCCTTTATCAATGTATCAGCCTTCTTCTACAACTAGATGATAAGCCCCCTCAGGAGAATGATGAAGATGTTTACAGATCCATTTTGGTTCCAGTACAGTTCTGAGTCTATGATGGGAGCTTTGAAAAAACTTACTGTTTTACTGCTACATGTAATGACTTTAATTTTTCCTCCTTACTCTGTGTTACATACTTATCGCTTATTCTTCATGATAGACAAAGGTGCAGGAAGGGTGGGAAACTGCTCTGAGGAAATATTTTCTTCATTTTCCAGGAACTCTGCAGTGAGTTTCGGAACCAGGTGAGGAACGGGATGCTCATATGCACCCGGGAGAATGACCCCGTCCGCGGCCCGGATGGCAGAATGCACGGGAACAAGTGTGCCATGTGCGCAAGTCTGTTGTGAGTACCGCCCTCCTCTCTCCCACTGCTTTTCTTCATCATCCGTCATTCCCAAGTCTCAGTTTGTTCGGAAATGTGTAGAACACATACAGGGGGTTGTATGCCAGGCAATTTTAAAAGCATATGGACAAGACATTAAGTGATGTTGAGTCACATAGTGACAATGTTTACTCAGTAATCCTTCTACCTTCTAGCTAAGCCTTGAGGAAAAGTCTTAATTTGGTGCGAAAATCCCTATAACACTTGATAATCGCTGTTCATGACGAAAAGAGGGCAGAATCTTGACAATCTAGATGAAAGGATGTCTTTGATCTCTCTCCCACCCCACCCCTAACATTTTACAATTCAGATAAGGGAAAACCATTTGGACAGAGGTCTATGAGGCCAGTATGTAAAGACTGTTAAAATAATCTGAACAACAAATGGTCTAGAGGGAATTATATGTATCCTGTCAGGGACATTACTATACACAGGTGAAATAAATACTTTGGTAAGTGGTTTTGCGTAGGGAGTTAAACTCCTAAGAGGTAAGCCCATATCTTAGATGTTTATTAAAATGTCATCTTGGAAGCCCAGTTTAGAGCCTAATAGGCCATTGTGCTGCTGAATGGGACCGGAGCTCCATTATGCGGGACAATATAGGAGAAGCTGATGATATATTAGCACCTCTGGTTCTTCTCCTTCTTAGACTCCTAATCCCCTACCAAGCATCTAAAATAAATGTTGAGAAAAGTATCTGAATAATACCTGCTGAAAGAGATGCAAAGTTATTGTCACATATCTTGGTTCAGTCTTAAGTATAAGATTTAATCTCCTTAAAGGAGAGATTGACAGGATAGGCCAGTAAATGGTGGCCTGAGATTCAAAAAATCAAGGCTCTTCTCTCACCTGCTGGAATTTCTCATGATGTGGTGATGACTAGGTTAGACGTGATGAATGCTACAGACTTTTTCCAGCCTTAGTTTGCTCCCTGCCAGTAGAAAATGACACAAATGCCTGCATCTTAGGCTCATGATCAACCTCAAAATATTAGCTGTTGAACCTTCTTGAGCTAGAATCATTAGTGCAGTCTAAAAGTTGAATTTCAATTTGAATATTAATACCATTAAAATAATACTTAAAAATTTTTATATTGCAGTGAAATATGGTTGATTTTGATTTTGAGCCCATTATCTGACTTGGTTTCATCCCTTGCTTTCATCATGAATGTGGTTATTATTTAAAATAAATAGGAAAATTTTCACAATTTAAAAAAGTCAAGGCAATTGAGGCTTTTTTCAGGTTATTGGTTGAAGTTACTGACTGATTAAAAAAAGCCCACTTGAAGTTCACAAACTGATAAAAAAAATGCTAATTTTATTTTTTTTAAAGGGCATTGGGCACTACTGAATCTATCTGCATTAGTGGGCAAAGTAGTAGCACCTCTTGGACTGGATAAATTTGTACTGAAGATTGAATCTGACCTTTGGTCTGGAAGATCCTCATTCCTTCTGCAAATATATGACCAAAGATAATGAGGAATTGTAGTTAGCTCGTATCTTGTTTTGTTTTATTGCAGCAAACTTGAAGAAGAAGAGAAGAAACATGATAGCACGGAAGGAAAGGAGAAAGGTGCCTCTGAGAAAGTGAAGAGAGAAGCAGTACAGGTAGTTCCTTCAGGTCACCAGAGCCTTGTCCCTTCTCAGTAGGCAAGGCCTCGCCCCTCCTCCCAGTCCCAGGGTCGGTAGTGACTTTGCAAACTGAGAAAATGTACTTGGATTCTCATGTATAAGAAGATCCCTTCTTCCTGACTCCCTTTATTCACACCCAATTTGATCTGGTTGCCTGTGCATTTGAGAAGAAGTCAATCACCCTTTTCTCTACTGACCATGTGAACTGCATCATGCCAAGGAAGAAGTATATGCAGATTGTTTTGTTGCCTAAATGCAAACTGGTAGAGGCAGATTTTAGACTTGTCCCCATACCTTGTTGTATAAAGGTGTTTAATTAAAAAAGTAAACAAACAGATTTTCATCCCAATTAATTCTCTGTGATATTTTGGGAAATTATTCAATAGCATCTTTGAGCCTTGGGTTTGAACCTGTAACATCTCACATGATGATGATGATGGAATGGCTATTAATTACTTAATTGCTACTGTATGTAGTGTGTCCTTACAACTTCATTACTGATGTTTGTGGTAATCATTGGGGATTTGTATTATTACCTATATTTTAAAGAAGAGGATTCAGAGGCTAAGATAAGAAGATAGGAAATATAATTAGTAATCTGAGAGCAAGCAATGAGACCATAAATTCTGGCTTTAATGCCCATGGTGTACTTTAGATTTACACACTCTTCCAATTTGTAATTTTCCTGTAGTCTGTGCCTCAGATCTTTATTACTTCTTTCCTTTATCCTTTTCTAACTGGGAAGATCTCATTTCTTCTCCCTGCCCCCGTGTTTGCTTCCTGCAATCTACTGTGAACTCTAAAGCCAAAGTAATTATTTAAAAACATAAGATAAGTAATGTCGCCTTATCAGTGTCTTCTCAGCTCACTCAGAATAAGAACCGAGGTCTTTCTAGTGGCTGACAGTGACATGCATGATCTGACACCTCTCAGACCTCACTTCCTACCGTTCTGTTCCTTGCTGCCCTTGTCCAGCCTTCCTGGTTACCTTGCTGCCTCTTGGACATGCCAGTCACTCACTCAAGGCTCCCCATCTTGTGGAATCAGTAGCATGGTGGTTAAACACCTGGACTCTGGACTCAGACTGGATTCATGTTCTGGCTTCATCTTCCTGCTGGTGGTCAGACAGTTCATATTTTTGCGCCTTAGTTTTCTCTTTAATAAAATAAGGATATTATTAAGGATTTATTATTGCTGTTGTGATGAAGTCCTAAGAACATATCCGTGTGTAACAGCTCAGTCTCTCACATATGTAAAGTCCTCAGCATTGTACATTCAATGAATTTTGCCTCCTACATAGTCTTGCTCATAGTCAGTCATGAATGTCCCTTCCCTCTATCTGTCAAAATTCTGGCCACTTTTTATGGCTCAGAATAAGTATTAGCTGCTTCCTAAAGATCTTCTCCATTTATACAATATGCCTAAAAGCTCTATCATCTATTATGTCAATAATTTTTCCTTATTCCTCAATTATATCATTTGCTTTATTTTAACTGATAGATGCTTCTATGTATTTCTTCAAAAGAAACAAAAAACTCTGTATTGGTTTTCTATGGCTGCTCTAACAAATTTCCACAAACTTGGTAGCTTAAAAACAGCACAAACATTATCTTACGGTCCTTTAGGTTAGAAACCTGACACATATCTCACTGGGCTAAATCAAAGCATCGGTAGGGCTCTGCTTCCAGAATCAGTCTCCAGGGGACAATTTGTCCCTTTGCTTTTTCTAGCTTCTAGAGGCCATTCATGTTGCTCAGCGCTTGGACCCCTTTTGTCATCTGCACAGCTGACAACATTGCATCACGGACTGTACTTCTGTAGTCACCTCTCCCTCTTTCTGTCTCGTCTGTCTCGTCTCGCTCTTCCAGCTTTAGGGGCTGACCCTTTGTGTTTACATTGGGCTCACTAGGACCATCTCGGGTCATCTCCCCAGCTCAGTCTCCCCGTCTTTAATCACATCAGCAAAGCCCCTCTGCCCTGTGAGATGATATACTCATATTTGCAGGTCCTTGGTATTAGGGCTTATACAAATCTGGAGTTGGGAGCTATTAACCTGCCTACCCCAAATTTCCTTTAAAAAGGAACAAACAATTATTCTTCTTTATATCTCATAGTGCCAAGCAGAGAATAATACTTGCATTAAATTGAAGTTTTTCTAATGAGATAAGTCACCGCAGGTTGAGAAGCGTCTTGGCTAATATCAAGCTCTTGCCATGCCTCCATTGTGTTTCGGGGCATTGTTGCATTGTTTTCAGAGGGGTAACACGGGGGGAGCTTTCCAATATTTATTAACCCGATTCTTAAATCCTCCCTCCTTTGGCAGGAGCTGTGCAGTGAATACCGTAATTATATGAGGAACGGCCGACTTCCCTGCACCAGGGAGAACGACCCCATCGAGGGCCTAGATGGGAAAATGCACGGCAACACCTGCTCCATGTGTGAGGCCTTCTTGTAAGTAGCGCCGTAGCCACTGCCACTGCCGAGTGGAGAAGATACTTTCTTCTGGGGCAGACAACAGAGATGATAGTGAAGGTTTTCTGTAGGAGGTAGAACTTGAAGGCTATCTTGGCACTGAGTTCTGGGATTTCCTCTTAGAAAGCCATAGAGCTCGCACATTTCTTTATAGTGTTCTCAGTGTTCTGGAAGGGACTTGACTCCCCTCAAGGGAGGACCGTGTGCTCAGAAGAAATTCCCCGGAGTGAATCGCATACAAGGCTGCGATTTCTGTTCTCTGCATACACGTGGTCATGAATAATCAAAAGATGTAATCATCGGGCCTAACAAATTGAAAATTTGTTAACACCTAGTCACTATTTTTAAGTATCCTAGCTGTATTCCAGGAAGAAGGAGAGTATCTTTATTTTCTAAAAGGAATATTGTAGTGAAAATTATTTAGTGGCTTGCTGTGGCACGTGTCTTATTTTTTAAGTAACACTTATAGCAAGAAGAATAATATGGAGGGTGTGCATTTAACTTTCTACTTTGAGCTGTGGAAGGAGTGAATATTTCTATCTGAAGAGATTTCCCCTTTAGGATAGCACACACTGGGTGCTAGGAATGATTCTTCTCCTCTCTCTTACAGCCAGCAAGAAGCAAAAGAAAAAGAAGAAGCTGAATCCAGAACAAAAGTGAGGAGAGAAACTAAAAAGGTAATTGTCCTGGAATGTTCATGCCAAAAGGAAAGGATGAGGTTTCGTAGTTTTTCTTTAAAAAGAATTTATGAAAACACTGAAGGCCTGTGTAAGAGAAATCAAGGTTCTTTTAGTCCAGGGGTTGGCAAAATTTTCTTAAAGGGCCAGATAGTAGATATTTGACGTTGTGGCTATTCAGTCTCTGTCACAAATACTCTAGTCTGCTGTTGTGGCTCTAAAGCAACCATAAATAACATGCAAACAAATGGATATGGATGTGTTCCAATAAAACTTTATTTACAAAAAAAGGCAGTGGGCCAGATTTTCCTCACAGGCTATAGTTTTACTTGCAGATTCCTAATTTACTTCATCCGCAATTTGGAAAAAAAAAAAGAATGATTGATTTGAGAGAGCGAAAGTCTGGGAGGGGGGCATCGATTTATTGTTCTACTTATTTATGCATTCTTCATTGGTTGATTCTTGTATGTGCCTTGACCAGGGATCGAACCCTCATCTGTGGTTTATCTGGACAACGCTCTAACAAACTTAGATACCCAGCCAAGGTCCTTTCCCATATTTTTAAATGAAGATTTAAAACAAAGAGAAAAAAAGGATTTGCTTAGAAAGGTAGTGAGAGTATTGATTTCAGAATCCATTTCTTCATATTTCACAATCGAAGAAGGGAAACAGTGGGATTCAAGCCCAGACTTGCTGACTCCAGTCCAGCCTTACTTCTGACACACCGCGTAGTTTTATGGTCACATTTGCTCAGACCCGGTGTGCTTCTTGCTTTACCGTTAAATATTTCTGGTGCAAGCATTTTGGGGAAAAACAGAAAAGCAACTTTCCAAAATAATATTTTCTCGATTTCAAAAATAGTGATTCCAGGTAGATTTTTCCAAGTTTGTGGTCATTTCCTTGCCCCCCTCAAAAACTATTGGTACTAAAAATCTAAACAAAAGCATCATGCTTAGAATTTTATGATTGGTTTTATATACACTTTTATTTCGCACAATTGTGAGTCTGAATTTAAAAATATGAGTAGCTCATATGATTCACTTTTTAACATCTGCAAGAGAAGTTTCTTCAGAATGAGACGATTTCTGATTTCACATTAGCTACTACCAACAAACTATCCTCTCATGTCCTATTTCTTTTGCTGAGCATGACCAGTTAGGGAACCGGGCAGTGAGCTAGAAGGAAAACGCACTTTTCTCTTCATTGACTTTCACCTTGAACTGAAATATAGAAACAAACAAAACCCCATAAATTCAATCCTAATTGCTACCAGTAATTAACTATCATCTTAGGTGATTTGCTTATCCTCTATCAATTCCTCAGAGGACTCTGGAGCTAGCACTTACTGAATACTTCCTATATGTCAGTCATTGTAGGCCTACATATATGTATTATCTCCCATTATTTCTGTAACAGTCCAGGACGTATAGTGAGTACCTAGTGCATATTAGCCTTTACTATTTTAGCCAAGTGGAATATACTACTCTTACTCCCACTTGATAGATGAGGTGACTGAGGCATAGAGAGGAACCCCGCTCCCCCAATCTGAGATCTCTTAATGGCGGGTTGCAATTATAATTAACAATGAGATATAGCTGTCAGCACGTTAGTGCTTATCTAGACACACCTGGGACAGTATGTTAAATTCTTTAGGAAAGGAGAAGAATTCAGAATGAGAAATTGTGCAGATTGAAACAGAATGACTGAGGTATCTGATGGTTAGCTCTTGGCAGAGAACTTAAGGACTATGGGAGAAGGACAAGAAAGCTTCCTCCAACTATCTGAAAGACTCTCGTGTGGAAGAAGCAAAGGATACTCGGTTCTGAGGGAAATGAAGTACTTTGACTTGCCTTACTGGTCTGAAGGAACATACTCATCCTGATTGCAGTGACATCTTAGAAAAACCAAACCTTACGAGTAGGGATCCCGTAGACTGCATTGTTTTCTAAGAGCCCCCAAAATAGCACCCCGCTAATTTGCGGGAACTATCTAGTAGAAATTTTGAAATGAACTGTATGGAGGGTAACGGACTTCTTTTACGGCAGGGGTTCCTTTGCAAATTAGATAACTTCTGGGCAGGCATGATGTAAAGGGGATTGAGATACAGTGAGGATGGTTGTACCAGATAAACTTTGAAGTTCTATCTAAGCCTGATTTTTTTTACTCTATGACTGTTCTGTTTTTTTTCCCCTATTATGACAGAGATGGACAATAAAACACTGCATAAGAAACGTGACCAGTCCTTAGAGAACCCACTTTATTAAAAGACTATTGCTTGCTTGTGATTGCAGGTTTGGTCTCAATTTAGGGGCTAAATCTCAAGGAAAAAGAAAGATAAACCCTATTTTAAATCCCATGTGCTTAGGAGAAATTGAAAGAAACAAGTGCCAGAAAAAAAAGTCCTTAGGTCCCTTTCTCTTTCTTCCGGGAAGCACTTAGTAGGAATCCAACAAAGTCATGTCCAGGAAAATACCCACGCTCTTGCCTTTTCTCCTCCATGTAGGATATGTGCAGTGAATTTCGGAGCCTTTTGCAAAATGGAAATCTTTTCTGCACACGAGAAAACGATCCCGTGCGTGGTCCGGATGGCAAGACCCATGGCAACAAGTGTGCCATGTGTAAAGCCGTCTTGTGAGTGCCCCAAGGACGTCCTTGCGGGGGTCAGCAGAGCGGGGGCGGCAAAGAGCCAGGGAGACAATAAATGTTGTGTTTGTCCTTTCCTTACATACGAAAGCAACTAATGATTATCTGTAAAGCAAATAAGATTTAAAAAAAAATTTTTTTTTACATAAAGAAATATGTTCTCTTAAGAATATTCATTTGTGGGCAGTGAAAAGGAGAATAAGAGAAGGGAGGGACAAAAATTAAGAATGCTACAGGTGACAGTAGGGAGTGGCAGTGACCCAGTGTGAAGCACCTAGAGCAGGGGAAGTGGGGGGAGGAGAGTGGGTCAACACGGGAGACACCGTGAAGGGGAAATCACATTATATGGCAACAGCTGTCTGAGCGGAAGGAGAGGAGCATTTAGAGGTGACTCCGGGGATTCGTTCTTCCCAAGAGGTAGAGAATCCAGGAGGGAGAACACATTTGGTGGAGAAGGTAGTTATTTTTGAACCGCATAAATATGAAGTATTTGAGAGTACTACCTGGAGAGTCACCCTGAGGCTTCATGAAATGCTAGTTAATTGCTCACCTGCTCTTGCTTGTGACTTGTAAATATTGGTTTTCTTCTACTGCCATGTGGACTCTTCCAGGCAAAAGGACTCCACGTATTTCTTTCTTTTTTTTAAATTTTTTTTTTAATTTTCAAAAAGGGCCTGCAACGTAGTAGATGTTCAATAAGTGCTGGTGAATTCTATACCAATCTAACTTGGTCAAGTGATGACAAACTTAGAGACATGCATTCTGCTCTCTGTAATCTATTATTCCCTGCCTCCCACTTTCTAATTTCCAGCCAGGAAGAAGATGAAGAAAGAAAGAGAAAAGAACAGGAAAGTCAAAGAAATGCCAAAGAGCATGGTCCCAACGGTGGTGGTGGAGGAGGGAAAGCTCAGGTGAGAGAACCTCTAACTTGATCACCAGAGCAGGCTCACCTCATTGACAGTCAGACCCCAGCATAGCCTTCGATAGTACCAGGTGAACGTGTGTAGCGCTGAGTCTCTCTAGGGCTCATTTTGACTTCTTTCAACCTGGAAAAATTAGCACGATGACCCTATCCCAATGTCCTGGCTCCTCTTTCTATGGTCTGCCTCTCACGTCAGTCGTCGATGACAGGACGGTTAGTGGTATAAATGTGGAGATGTTCCATATCAGCATCACATGTTCTTCATTTTTTTTTCTTATTTTCTCTTGCCCTGAATGCAGTCACTTTGCTGAGGTATACTATTGATTCAAGGTAGCATAATATGGTAAAAGAGCATAGGTTTTGTGGTTTTTTTTTTTTAAGATTTATTTATTTTTAGAGAGATGAGAAGGGAGGGAGAAAGAGGGGGAGAGAAACATCAGTGTGTTGTCGCCTCTCATGCACCCCCTACTGGGGACCTGACCTGCAACCCAGGCATGTGCCCTGACTGGGAATCGAACTGGCAACCCTTTGGTTCACAGGCTGGCACTCAATCCACTGAGCCACACCAGCCAGGGGAAGAGCATAGGTTTTGGAGTCAGATAATTTGGGGTATGACACTGCTGCCCCCTTTCACTCAGGACTTGTGAAGCATTAAATGAGTCAGTCTATCTCACTGAATTCTAGTGTCCCTGATTTAGCGGTGCTCTTACAGAGATAATGTAAAATAACTGAGGCAAGTGTGTAACACATTTCCTGAGATACTTTTCAGTGTCAGCATGACAGTGCATGCAAGCTCACTCCTTGAGTGTGTGAACACAGTCTAATAAGATTACAGCCACCTTATTGCTCTTACGGTCTTGGGCTATTAAGACCATTTCTTTGCTCCAGATACAACTCAGGCCCAGTATTTGCCTTTGATAAATTTTGGCCTTCCTGTTTTTCTGTCTTTTCTCCTTTAGAAGGCTGAGTTCTCATTTTCAAGCAATAGACATGTTAAAGACCCTTTGTCTGTTTTCTACATAATTTTCTTAAACCTGTCTTTCTTGGCATTTTGCATAACTTTGCTTTCTCCCAGCATTTCTTTCTCCTTTCTATCTGAACAGAGGTCAGCAATCTTTTTTTGGTGAAATCCAGATGGCAAATATTTTGGGCATTGTGGATCCTGTGGTCTCTGTTCTAACTATCCACCTCTGCAATTGTTGTGGGAAAGCAGCTATATATAATGTCTACATGAATGAATGAATAAGTGAGGATAGTTCAAATTTTATATGTAAAACTTTATATAAAAACAGGCAACAGGACAGATTAGTCCTTTAGGCTGTGTAGTTGGCTGACCCTTGATCTATGCTATTAAATTTCAGCAACTTTTTCATTCCCCTGTATAGAACCTTAAAAGTAGCATTATTAGGCAGGGTAACTAACCTCGTAGAATACGGGTGATTCCAGCCCCCTTTTGCCTGTGGATAGCAATCCTAGTTACACCCCTTGTAAAAGAAAGCAGACAAGAACTTTTCTTACTCAAATTATTAGCAAACTTAGTAACAACACAGCAGACCAAGTGATCCAGAAGGCCTGCTCTCATCTTCCCTTTCAGGACCAATGTGCTGAGTTTCGGGAAAATATGAAAAACGGGAAACTCAGCTGTACGCGGGAGAGCGATCCTGTTCGTGACGCTAATGGCAAAATGTACAACAATAAGTGTTCCATGTGTAAAGCGATACTGTAAGTGTTTCTCTCAGCAGGCTTGCCTAAGAGATAGCCACATAGTCCTCCTGAATGAATGGCTATTTCTCCTTTATTGAGGGCTCCCTCCCTAAAGATTATTCTTTTTGTTAATTCCCACATATTATCTCTTTCTCCTGCTTCCCCTAAGGAATGGTAAGAAGCTAAAAAACACATGCTCTAAGGTCACTTTCCAGATCACTTTCTCTCTTGGGCTCCATACTTTAAGAAATAATATTATAATATTGTTGACCTACAAATCAAGGAAGTAGAATGGTGAGTTAGTGGGAAATTAAAAACTCTAGCTCATCATGAAAAGGTGAAATAATTGAGGAAGCGGGACTTGCTTTAAGTATCTGAAGGGTACCTTCAGGAAGATGGAAGGAATTCAGCAGCTTCTTCTCTGTTGCCCTGAGAATGTGAAATAAGACTAAAGGATGGAAGTTAGAGGGAGATACTCTGGACACAAACTAAGAACACTTTGAAATTACTTGAGTTGCTCTACCTAGAATATCTACCTGGGATGAAGGAACTTCTTAGTAACTGAGTCAACTGTCCATCATGGGGGATATGCAGAGATTCTCTGTGAAAGAACAGGTTTAGGACACGTGAACTCTAAGGGTCCTTTGAAACCCGAGGACATGTTAACAAGATAACTATTGACTCTTTTCTCTTCCAGGGAAAGAGAAGCAAGTGGAACAAACAACTACTCTGGCTACAGAGCAAATGATACTGAATCAGCATCAGGGAAGGTGAGGCATTAACTAGGTTTCAGAAAGAATGGTCTTCCTGTAAGTCAACACTTGGCTGTCAAAAATATGGAAAGGGGGTGTCAATGTTGCCAGCCAGGATCTTGTCCTTAGATCAGGAACCATCATTAATGCAAATATCACTGGTAGCTTGTTCACTGTGGAAACTGAACACCAAGTGGAAATCTTTCAGTCTTATACTTTACAAAGCACTTTTATAAATAGTAGTTTATTTAATTCTTTAAACACCCTGTCAAATATGATTTTGTAAATATTATTTTATGGATGCGAAAAGGAGGTTCAGTTGCTGTAACAAGTTACTATCAAGAGCAGTTTACAACAGAAATTTATTATCATATATATCTGGAGTTCAGAAGTCCAAACTGGGTCCCCTTCTAAAAACAAGGTGTGAGCAGGGCTGCGTTCTTTTGTGGAGGTACTGCTTCTTTGCCCTTCCCAACTTCTAGAGGCTGCCTGCATTCCCTGGTTTGTGGCCCTCTAAACTCAGCAATGACCATTTGAAGCTTTTTCAAGCCATATGCCTGTGAAACTGGCTCTCCTGGTTTCCCTCTTGCATTTCTAAGAGCCTTTGTGATTGCATTGGGTTCACACTGATAATGCAGAATCATCTCTCCATTTTAAGATCAGTCAGCTGATTAGCAACCTTAATCCCATCTTTGATCTTAATTCCTTCCTGCTGTGTAAGCCAACAATTTTACAGGTTCCCGAAATTAGGCTGTGGAAGTCTTCGATATACCGCCTCCCACAGCAAGGTTAAGTGGCTGCCTGACTGACTCTTAAGTCAAAATCTTCAGATTTTCTTTCCTTTCTTTTTTTTAAATACAAGTGAATGTTTATTTAGAAAGTTACAGAGATAAAGGAAGTGAGCCAGCTGAGCTGCATTGGCTCAGGAAACAAGTTACAGAAGTGAAAAAACAAACAAACAAACAAACAGAAAAACTCACAACCAACCCTTGGAGCTTAGGAGAGAGAGGCAGGGAAAACACACCTGGGGGAAGACAGTGGGGAAAGGCTCAGGCAAACACCAGAGAGAGAGCCGCCAAAACCTTCAGATTTTTCAAGCACAGTCAAATTCTGTGTGAAAACAGCCATTCCCAATATGATCTTTCCTTCTTTTCAGGACACGTGTGATGAGTTTAGAAGCCAAATGAAAGATGGAAAACTTATCTGCACCCGAGAAAATGACCCTGTCCGTGGTCCCGATGGCAAGACCCATGGCAATAAGTGTGATATGTGTAAGGAAAAACTGTGAGTACTTTTCAAAAATGAGTCTCTGATTGTGCATCTTGAAGTATAACGATCATTTTTTGAGATCAGTTTGAGAAAATGACATGTTTCTAAGACAGCTGTAGTAATTAATGAGGTGTTTGTTCACTTGGGTTGAAACATTTCTTTCCATTTTTTCCCCCCAGGGAAAAGGAAGCAGCTGAAAAAAATAAGAAAGAGGAGAATGGCAGGCAAAACACAGGAGAAAGGAGCAATGAAAACCAGGTACTGTGTTAAAAGTCAAATTTGGATGGTTGTTTGTATGGTTAATTTATCCAACAAATATTGATGAAGTAATGCCTAATTTGTTGTAGTCATTTGGATCTAATAATGGCAGACAAGAAAGACATGGCCAGACCTTGCACAGAAATAGCACCTAACCAAAGCCCCCGAGGGCAACTCAAATGCAATTACCAGACATTTGTAAGGCCAGTGACAATTGTCAAATTATAGGTGTTATCAAGTGAATTTCCTTTCTGAAGTTTTAAAACAAAAGCAAAAATTAAGTAACTGAGCAAATAGATACAATTACAAACATTACCTCCCCTGAGCACAGGATGATAAATTCTTGACTTGGCATTACAGTGCCATCTTGTGTTCAATTTTGGGCTTTAACCTATGATGTTCAATGCTTTCCAACACCAACACATAGAATATGTCACAGCTCAATCTCTTCTAATCCGTCGATGAACTCCAATTAGAAAAGTAAAATAGTGAAATTTCCCCAGGAAGGTTTTCCCATCAATGAGGTGACTTTTCATTAGGTCTATACAGACTAAACAAAAACAAAACACTAATAGTAATTATCATTTAAAAATATGTTAGAGATAGCTGTTATGCATTTTGGTAGATGAATGAGTCTGTGAAAACTCTTTATTGTACAACTTCAAATACTATCTACTGGCTATTCTATTTATAATCTTGCTCAGTTTTTTCATTATTTACTATCTACTTTAAGAATGAATAGCGAATGAAACATGCTCTCTATAAATGTATACATAAAAAATATTCAGATACTGTGTGTATGTGGCAAAAAAAAAAAAAAGCAAACTGTGCTCTTATCTACATGTGCAAAATGAAATAAGCTTTACAAAGCATTTGCATTACCATATTTAAACCTCCCCAAAATCTACGCAGTGGATGGTGGTGTTTTAATGTTACAGTTCAGGAAAACTCACAGAAGTTAACTATAGACAGGTAATAAATAAAAGAGCCTAGCATTTCACCCGTAAAGCAAAGGTTGCAATACAGGAAGATGGATGCTCTTATAAACATACACACATTGAAATGTTGGGCACCTGGAAAAGAAATCACTCTAGTAACTTCTAAATACGATAGCTGTGAGACTTTTAATATGTGAATTCCAGAGAATTTTTAAAATGTTTAGAAAAAGTAGGTCTAGAGTTGTTTGGGGGCATCACAATGTAAAGATAGAAGGATAACTATAATCTAAATTACTATTTTTAAGGTAATCAATCTTCCCACATCTCTATTTGACTCTTTGGGTTAACGGATGTTCAAGACAAACTTCTGTAGATGTCCCAAGCTCTCAGTATAGGCCAGATCCTGGGGACTCAATTCCACTGGCTTCTTTTTAAGGTTCTTATTTTTCAATGAACCAAAAAGACAGCTCTATCTTCTCACAAATGCATAGGAATTTTTATTCCCCGCCAGGTAAAAGCAATGAAAAACAGAAGAATAGCCTGGTCGTACGGGGGTTTCTGATCACAAATCCAACATTGACTTTCGTTACTGAATTTCTGTGAGCGTTATGCTTCTTATCTGTAAAATGATGACAATGGATATTTATCCTGCAGGAGTTTTATAACAACTAAAGGAAATCTGTTAGAGCAGCCAAAAAGTGCCTGGCATATGATACAGATTTGATTTCCATTTTTAAAAATCGTTATTGAGGAAAAAAGCTAAAAGTTGACAGATTAGTATGTTTTGCCCATGTAGCATCTTGTAGTTCATTCCAGGGCTTTTTCTGCAATGAGTGACGAGTACAGTTGTAGAGAGGTTTGGGGTTCAGCCCACTAGAAAACTGTAGAAAAACGGCATGGGCTGCCTTAGGAGGCAGTTACCTTGCACTGGGGCAAGACAGTTACTTGAGAGGGATGCTGTGGAAAGGGTTCCGAGAAGATACCGAATACAGTGCCTTGGAAGTACGTTCCATCTGCTAAGTTTCCTTTGCTGTAGGCTGTCTTCCCCTCACACGTTTTGAGTTTAGGTCTTACCCACCAACCCTGTGTGCAGTTCCTCAGATCAGACTCTCGCGTTGACGCGCTCCTTTGCTCCTTGTCGCAGGATCAGTGCCATGAATTCCGGACCATGGTGAGAGACGGGATGCTCCCCTGCACCATGGAAAACAACCCAGTGAGAGGCCCAGACGGCAAGATGCACGTCAACAAGTGTGCCATGTGTCAGAGCATCTTGTACGTGATGGGGGTCGTTGATCAGTTTGCTGTATGGGGCCTGTTGGCCTAAAAAGAGTTCCTCTTAATTTAGAACGTCAGGCACTTGGCATCACACGTTACAAATGTAATAATAGCTCCTCACTTGACAAGAGGGTAGTAAGTTTTTAAAGCACTTTCACAAGAAATTTTTATTTTGATGTGGAGCAGCATGACTATACCCAGAGCATGTGGGATAGGGGGATAGCTATTGGATGTGCCCAAATTACTGACTGGCAAAGAGGAAGCTCATCAGCTAAGCAGTGTAGGACAGGCCAGTTCATGCTACAGGGACTCAGCTCCTCCTCTATGTGAAGGGAATGATCATTTCACAATAGTTTGTATAGGGATTTGAGGAGATAATATGAAAAAAAAGTTTATAAGCTTTAAAGCACAAAAACTATATAGTGAACAATCAATACTGGAGACTTTAGTTGTACTTTTATAAAAATGAGAAATGAAGCAACTCTCCATGTGAAACCCATAAATAGACTCTGCTAGAGGACCGTATCATTCTGAAAGCAAAGTAACTGAATTTAGGAAGGCTGATAGCATTGCCAAAAATAGGAAATTGCCAACAAACAGGACTTATATTAGTTAAAAAACTTATTTTAGATATTTTTTAAATATGAGAATACAGTGTTAGATTTGTTAATGTTTAGAACTGGAGAAATATTTGATTAAAAAATTTTCAATACTAACTGGAAAAACTACCCTATCTGTTTTTATTCTACAGTGAGCGAGAAGCTAGTGATAGAAAAAGGAATGAAGAAAAATCACACAACAAGCCTTCAAGTGATACAAAGGTTATTTCTTAAAAGATATGAAGAAAGCTATTTTACTTTTCACCCTCAGATCTTGAATTCTGAGGGTATCTCCAGTTTTGGGATAATGAAAATGCCAATCTTTCGCCCTAAAGGAAATTGATCTTGCCCATATTGTCATTTTGGGTATAAAAAGGCTTTTTTTTTCTGGCATTGAGGTTTAATGTTTTTCTGATTTTTGTAGAGAATTCTCTTACAGTGTTCAATGATTGCTTTCATGTCTCCTCTGGGGAGAAATGTGGCTTGAAAAATAGAAGGTAAAATCCTTTACCACCTCAACTCATGCCTGTGTCTGGCACTAAATGTGAAGTGAGGGTTCAGGTGGCTTGTTGACATTGATTTTAACAATTCAGTTAATAAACATTAATCTCAAAGCCTCCCCTGTAGCTTCCCCCTTGATGTATTTTTTCTGCTTCCTTCAGATGATTTTTCTCAGCATCAACAAATCAATAGTGTGCATGCATAATACTGCCTTTTCTGTTTGCTTTTCAAGACTACAAAGACGACGTTGTCATTCACTCCTTTCACAGTGATAATCCCATTTGTAGAGTTAGATCCCTTTGAGAGTGTCCTTTGGCTGAGGAAAATGGGGGATGGGAAGGATGAGAGGAAAGGGCGAGGGACACAGGATGTTTTATCACGTGTTGTTTTATGTTTCCCTGCATTTCCAGGACCAGTGCAAAGAGGTTCCGAAAGGAACGGAGAATGGAAATGTTGGGCAGTCTGGGCATTCCTTGGCCTCTGTTGACCAGATAAGCGAAGTGAGTCTGAGCCCAAAGCCAAGACAGAATCTCCTGAAACCAAGTTTGAGAAAACCACCAAGCCAAGAAGGGAAACAGCCACGTTCACTTTTCTCATTTTCTAGGATGAGTGCGGTAACTTTCGGCAGAACCTGAGGAATGACGAGCTCATATGCACTCGAGAGAATGACCCTGTGCGTGGTGCTGATGGAAAGTTATATAAAAACAAGTGTTACATGTGCAGAACTATCTTGTGAGTAAGAGGATCCTGTTACCCTTTCCATTTGTAGGGGACTGCAGTTTTAGAAACCGCTGCCTTTCAATAAATGTGTGCTCATGAACCATGGGGTCTTTAAAATAAATTTTTAGAGTCAAGGTCCTTAATTTGATGATGCCTGATATAGGTGAAAGAATGCTTGGATTTGGAGACAGGAAATCCAGATGTAAGATCTAACCATGATATTTACTAGCTATGACTTAAAAAGAATTGTTTTTCAGCTCTCAAGATTATAAGAAATTATTTCAGATTTTTGTTCCACACTGGATCAGACTCAACAGAGAAGTCTTTTTTTTTTTAATGTGGATTTTTACACCGCAAAATATAGGAAGTCAACCTCCAGGCCTAAGGAATTTGTTCCCGAGAAAGGGTTTCTAGGTTATTCTGGTGAACAGCTATATTTGGGGACCTATGGGCACGATAGATAAGGATGACGACAATAATCACAGTCATCATCATCCTCACCCCCAGGATTCATTTAGTTCTTCACAGAACGTTCTTTGAGGAGGAAATTACCAATACTGCCCTTTTGTATGTTCTAGAAAAATCTAAGCTCAAGGATTTTAAGCAGCTTATCTAAGATCACACACCTATTAAGATATGAGAGCTCCACACCTGAGCCCAGCTGTATATGTTTCTTAATGTGTTACCCTGGTCACTCTGCGTTCTTTTTTGAACATAGAATGTCCTTTTGTTCCATTGCATTTTATTAGAATTGTTTAACTTCCCATGGGAAGTTATAGGAGCTTTCTTTGTCGATATAACTTTAAATTACTTTTCATTTTCTTCTTTAGTCAAAAAGAAGCTTTGGAAAGGGCAAGACTCCAAGAAAAGCCATCTCAACCTCGATCTTCTGAAGAAGAAGACAGTCTGGTAAGACTGACTTTTTCTGAAAAGCTACTTATTAATTTAGCGTGTTGATTGTGGGAGGTGAGGGGCCGTAGCCTCTGTAAATTGCATTTCCATAGAAAGGGCTGGGAAAGGCTGATTCAGTACAGCTGCAAGTCCTTTGAGGATTAAGTGTAGTTCATGTTCGGTGAGAGTTCCGGGGTTACTCACCAGTGCCTTATCCTGTGCTCTTGGAGATTTTTAGTCACAGTCCAAACCAACTTGGTACCTTTTTGACATTTTAAACAGTGGATGTGTAATGAATGTCACTTATCTCACATGTGGTCGGATAAGTTGTCGGGAGGCTCAATTCCGTAATTTCAGCAGACCAAAAAGAGTCCTCACCCGGCTTCCTCGACTCCCCATCCCAAACCAAATCCCTTCCCCAGAAGCCTGGCATGCTGTGCTGAGCACATTCATGCTGCTGGAATTCACAGTAGGTAATACTGTTTATTTAAATTATAGCCCAGGGGCCATCAGTAGTGTATACCTTAATGTAAATTAGCCTAACTGGATTGCTTTTTTAGAGCTTTGCCAAGGTCAGGAGCAAAAGGGAGGAACGGGGACATGAAAGGATGAACTATATGTGCAAAGTGGAATCTCAGATTGGGCCCTAAAAGGGAGATTTTTCCATCTTGTCAGAAAAGAGAAAGGTATTAAATATGAATGTCACTTAATTATATGCCCAGTTCGCATAGGATAATAGATGAGCTGTACTAGTGAAATATATACTAATTACATATGTCTACTAAATTAGGCACTACACTAGGGATCCCTAAACAAGGAGAAGAGTTATTCACAAAATCAGTTCTTTTTCCCCAGCTTTACAGAGATATGACATACAACATTGTGTGAGTTTAAGATGTACAATGTGTCAATTTGATACTCATATTTTGCAAAAATGGTCACCACCATAGCATTAGCTAACACCATCACCTCACCTAATTGCCATTTCTTTTTTTGAGGTAAAACATTTACGATCTACTTACTTAGCAACTTCCAAGTATATAATGCAGTATTATTAGCTGTAATCACCCTGCTCTATATCACATCACCAGAACTTGTTTATCTTACAACTGAAAGTTTGTAGTCTTTGACCAACATCTCCCCGTTTCCTCCTATCTCAGCTTTTGGTAACCGTCTCTGGCTTTTTGAGATTCCCCATATAAGGGATAACATACGGCATTTGCCTTTCTTTGTGCGACTTATTTCACTTAGCCTAATGCCCTCAGGGTTCATCCAAGCTTTCTTAATTCCAGGATATCCTTCTTTATCTGAAATGAATAATATTTCATTTTACACACACATACACGCACACACCACATTTTCTTTACCTATTTATTGGTTGATGAACACTTAGGTTTTTTCCATATCTTGACCATTGTAAGTAATAAATTCTGTTCTTTAAAAAAACATTTTACTGAAGTATAATAGTCCTATAGAAAAAGTGCACACATCGTAAGACCTGTGGTATTAGCACCTTAGATCGAGAAATAAATCACTGAGAGACCAGAAGCCCCATCATGCATGCTTCTTCCTAATGCACAATCTGGTTTCGAACTGAAATTTCTCTTGGAGAAGAGAACCACATTTATTACTTTTCATCTATTTAATCATTCCTTTGTTCGTTCTCCAAATATTTATTGAGCATCTATTTTTCCAAGCATTATTTATGTGTTTAAGCACAATAGCGTCTGTCTGTAAGTAGACAGACAGAACTCTCCAGACTCATGGAGTTAATTTTGGAAGAACATAGATAATAGATAATGTGAATAAATAAAATAGAAAAAAGACGTGGTAAATTCTGGGTTACAATTTTAAGCATGCGACGCAGGAGGAAGCTCTCTGGGAAGGGGACATTTGTCCCGGGGCCTGAGGAGATTGACTGCACTTATGTAGGGGAGCAGGGAGCATTCCAAGAAGAGGAACAGCACAGCCCCGAGGACAGCAGTGAGGCCAGAGTAGTTGAAAGAGAGTGACCTCAGGGAGAGAGGTAAGGGAGGGAGTCATTAAAGTAACAGGAGGCCAGGTTATATGGGATTTTGTAGAGCATTTTGAACATGGTGGCTACCCTTCTGAATGAAAATTTTGAAGAGGGGTGATGTGATCTGATTCGTATTTTAAAAGAATAACTGTCTCTTCTATTGAAAATGCACTGCAGCGAGACAAGAGCGAAAGCTAGACAGTTTGTTAGCCATAGCAGTAATCCACAGAGAAGATGATGCTGGTATGTGGAGGTAGCAGTGACGGCGAAGGTCAGGAGAGGTGGCTGGATCCTGGGTCTCTTTGAAGGTGGAGTCAGAATTCATTCAGAGTTGATATGCTATGTAAGAAAAACAAAAGCATCCTGTCCTTGCTGCTTCTTTGTAAGGCTTTATCTTCATAATTTTGAACTCTGTAGCAGCAGGTACCTAAAAAATGTTTAAAATATACATGGGTTAGTCCTGCCTTTGTCAGTGATTCATAGAAGGGGCTCATCTAAATTCTCCTTAAATATTTCTATCAATTTGGAACCTACACGTAATCCAAAAAGAATTCCATTTAAATGTTTGAATTATTTATTGAAAACAAAAATTCTTATGCCTCTGAAATGAATGTCAACAGAGTCAGTACTATGAAATTTTCTGTTTCTTCTCTGTGTCGGTGTCAGAAAGTGGTTGTCAAGGAATTTGTTAATTTCATCTCTTGTCAAGTTTATTAGCATGTAACTGTTCATAACATTGCCACATTATTCTTTTAACATCTATATTTATATAGTAATACTCTTTTTATATTTAATATAATAATTTGCATTTTACAAATGGTTTATTAATTTATTAATCTTTTCAAACAATTAACAGTTGACTTTGTTCTGTTTTATATTTCATAAATTCCTCTTCTTGATTAAGTAGTTTCTGTTTTCTATGAGCTTAATTTGCTACCTTGAGAAGAAAGTTTAGATCATTGCTTTTAAAACTTTATTCTTTTTTAATTATGTAGTTACAACTTTATCTCAAGTTACTGTATTAACTGCTTCAGTTTGAAAGCTTAAACTTTCATTATTATTCAGTTAAAGCATTTCTATATTCTGATTACTTTGAGTCATAAGTAATTTAGAAATATATTGCTTAATTTCTGAAGACCTAGGAACCTTATCACTATATTTATTACCAGTATTATCCCACTGTGATCATAAAACTTACATTTTATGACTAATTCTTTGGGTTTTATTGACACTTGTTTAATGGCCCAGAACAAGGTATAGTTGGTATTATTTCATGTGTACTTGAAAAGAACTCGTATTCGGCAGTTGTTAGGTATGAAGGTTTATAAATATCATTTAAGTCAAACTGGGTAATTTTGTTTTTCACATATTCTATATCTTTTTTTGTCTGTGCTATCGATTACTGAAAGAAGTATGTTAATATTTCCATTTATGTTTGCCAAGTTGCCTATTTCTACTTTCAGTCAGTGAGTTTTTGCCCCGTATATTTTGAGACTATAAATACATGAGCGTTTGGGATTGTTATTAATGAACATATTATTTTATCATTAGAAATTCTCTTCTTTATCTCTGCTAACAATTTTTATCCTAAATTCTACTTTATGTGATATTAATATAGATATCTATCTAGCTTTTGTATGGTGAATGTTTGCACGTATATATGTTCTATCCCTTTAATTCCAACCTGTTGGTTGAAATAGAAAGGTATATTTAAAGTATACTTATAATCAATATATAGTTGATTCTTTTTGTTTTTCCAGTCTGATAATTTCTGTTCTTTAATTGGAGTACTTAGTCTTCTTATTATTTAATGTAATTACTGACACAATTGTATTTAAGTCTTCTATAATTTTGTTTTTTAAGTTTCTCTGTCTTTTTTTCCTTTGATCCTATTTTTCTTGAGTTAATAAAGTTATATTGGAATCACACTTCTAAAACTCTACCAAAAAAACAAGTATGTTTCCTCTTCTACATAAAAAAAAAATTGTTTTATCTTGGGAAACGTACTGAAAATGTATCCTGAGCCCTTAGTATGTACCAAAGTGTGTTACACATGCATTTAAATGCATTATCAGAGTTAATCCCTTAAAACACAAACTGAGACAAGAGCTTTATTATTCATGCTTTTCAGATGAGAAACTAAGGCTCAGAGAAGTTAGGTCAATCATTTCTCTAGTTTAGTGGCAGAGCTGGGACTCAATGGCCCATGCCGTTCACTAGTGTTTACCTCTGAGTCTTTCCTTTTTAGACTGCATATAACCAACACCTTCATTTAAGAAAACAACAGTATTATTTTTTGCATGATTATCGTCCTAGTCTTCTTCCTATGGGCAGGCCTCAGTTTATCTGTGCCCAATATCATATAGAATTTCTGCTTTCTTATTGCTTTGTTCTTTCTTGTTTCTTGGTTTAGCTACTTATCTTCCCTTGTATAAAGAAGCCAAATTCAGGATATAAATATGTGAAGTTGTTGACCTGCATGACAGCTTCTTTACTAACCAGTTATTCAAAGGTGCTGGAGGAAACCCACAGGATCCCCCCTAGCTCATCCCTCGGGAGCACCATCGAGCCATCTGACCTGTGTTTTGTTTGTTCAGAATGCTGAGATGTGCCAACACTACCGAGTACTGCCCAGGATGGGTTACCTCTGCCCAAAGAATTTACAGCCTGTGTGCGGTGACGATGGCCAGACATACAACAATCCGTGCATGCTCTGTCATGAAAACCTGTAAGTGTACAAGTCGCACCATCATGTCTTCCAGTGTGGGGGCTCCTGCCAATGGCGTTTGCCCACGGTAGTGAAGTGATAGCGGTTTGAGGGGTGCTGCAACCCGTGTACTAATCATAGCGGTTCAAAATGCAGATTTTGTGGTTGTCATCATTATATCCAATAGAGGAAATTTGATGTTACCCCTTTAATAAAATTGCTTAGATACATTACTGAGTGGAAGAGAAAGGAAAAAGTAGTGGGGTTACAGCAGTTAGAGAAAATCTCTGTAAGCTCACGTACACTCACGGGAGTCCGAACATCATCTACCCTTTGACTAACAGAAAAATGTTGAGAATCATTGTTATATTGAGTCAGCCTAGCCTATAATCACTAACGGACCTTATGCCTACCTGGTAGTCACAGATTTCCCATCCTCCCTAAGTCCTCTTCTTGAAGCAGGAAGTGGTATCATGTAAAGGAAAGCACACTAGGGCAAATGGCAGACCTAGCGTCTGCTTTCAAATTTGTTACTTTCTGCGCATCTGTGGGCCTATTATCTCATCATTCCGAGACTCAGTTTCTTCTTTGGAGAAGTGGAGGCAGTTCTCTGAACCAACTGACTTCCCCAGGGTTACTAAGAATTGTTCTTTTAAATTAAGTACAAAGGATTTGTTTTAAGACTTGTGTTGTTGGTGATAGCTTTGTAGTTGCTTTTCTGCTCAAATGCTACCCTCACCTCCAGTCGCGTTCCTCCCCTCTTCCCAGCCTCCATTTGACTATCTTTAAATGGGAGCATGGTGGCAAATCTTGACTTTCCCACCGCACCCCACCGCATACTTCCGTGGCAATCCACGTGTGTTCTAGCCTTCGTAGGACAGTGTAAGCAAGGCCCAGAATGTGAGGAGAGGCCTGATACCCTACTTTTAAATCCTGGAAAAATATTTTAATTTACATTTATTTCCTTTGAAGTCAAGGAACTCGTAGAAGAGAAAAAAAAGCCACTCTACAGTTCATATACTTGGAATAAAATCTGAATATGAGAGCTTTATGTGTCTCCCATCTGTAGGCGAGGCAGGCACTTTCAGAGTCACCCCTCCCCGAAGCCCCGCTACCTGCTATGGAGGGGCTTTGCTGTCATTGAACAGAGGGGGAATCTGAGGCTCAGAGAGTGCAGGTAGTTTGTTTCAAGTCAGGAAGCTAGGAAGTAGATCAGACAGGATTTTAACCTGTTGCTGTGGGGATGATGGAGTCTTCCTTTCTCTCCACTATGTTACTGTTGTATGCAAAGCAGGAGTTCCTTAGAAAATTGAGGATCAGAGAGTCCTTTGATAATATGAAGAAAGTTAACATCTTTCCAGAAAAGAGAAAAGAAAAGAAAAGAAGAAAAAAGAAGAAAAGAAGAAAAGGAAAAAGAAAAGGAGAGAAAATGATGGAACATTAACAATTTATATTCATAATATCTGTGGACACATTCATCTTTTGATGTCTATCCATGGATCTTACAGAGTTTTAAGTATTAAGAAATCCCTGTTTAAGGAAGGAGTACAGCCATTCAGCAGTTTGTTACTATACAATGCCTCACCTTTTCCCCAGAAATCCTTTAACATCTCTTTATTGTAAATGCCACCCGGTGTTCTTCAAGCATTATATTAATTATATAAACCTGTAACAAATGAACATGTACTTCAAGGGAACTTTACAGCAGGAAATCCCCAAAATAAGAATATTAATAAGAGCATATGCCAGCGTGGATTATTTATCTAATGATAAAGAAACTGGGAGTATATATTATGAAGAGAAAATTCAGGCTATCCCAGGCAAAAGGAAACAGTCCTGGTTTCTGCTGACTCAGAGGAAGCTATAGGGGAACTATTTCGGCCTGAGCAATGCCCAAAGACAAAGTGAACTGCCTTGTTAATCAGTGAATTTCCCATCACTGGATCAAACAAGTTGATGTTTAATATATAATATTTCTTAAGTAAGAGGCATTAACGGTCATACCTTTTGAGCCTTTCCAGTTATAAAATTCAGACTATATGATTGTATCTTGTTATGAAATATACCTATATATGCAACCTCTATTCCATATATATTTTGTTTATATAAATGTATTTATGCGAAATATATTTTATAATCCCCACGTTACATTATATGTACTCAGTAAAGCCCAGTTTCTCTCTGGGCTCCCATTTCCCCATCTGTAAAATAATGGCTTTTGGACTACATGATCTCCAAGTTTCCTTCCACCATTCCACAGTTCTGTGAGCACAGAGGCGCATGAAATGCGACAGAATAGATCCAGGGCTGGGAAGCAAATCCGGAGCCAGATCGGAAGGGAGAGACTCACCGTGCGCGGTGCCCACTAGGAAAAAGTTGAATGCAGATCCCTGGCCCGACCCCTAATTTCAGTTCTGGTTTAATGCCCAGGTATCTCCCACATAATCCTTGTTTTTTTATTTTCCCCCTCTTTGAAAATGACTCTCTTCTGTTTTAGAATACGCCAGACTAACACGCGCATACGCAGCCAGGGGCGGTGCGAGGAGAGCGGCATCCCAGAAACGCCGCTCAGCGCGCAAGCGTCTGTAAGTACCTTGGAGCCCCTGATGGCCGCTTTAGAACCAATTGGTGGGAATAATTCCGTAATTACTGAAATATGTGGGAGGAATAATATAGTATTTAACATTTTAAAGTGTGTACTGGGATGCTTACTAGGTTCTTTAGTAACAGTGTCCCTGACGTCATCTCCCCGAGTACGTTTTCTTTTCTGTGCGCACAATAGTAAATGAGACAGAGACCAAGAGAGGCCAGAGAGCAACAGCACTAGATTTTAAACCAGTTCTGTTTAGCTCTCATATCCTTGCGTTTTACATTGCATTAAATTACCTCCCGATATGAAAAGTTGACTTTTCATTTAAATTCCTACAAGGACGTTTTGACACGCGTTACTGAGTTTGACGGTCTCCCTGGTGATTGCATGTGAGGAGTCTCTTCCTTTAGCAAGATGATATGTAACTTGGGGGGGAAAACTGGGAATATTCAAATAAAAGAAAATCCTTTGTAACCAGATAAATATGGGTTCACATTCTAGCTTTGGATGTTCTTCATATGTGAGAACTTTGGCAAATTCACATAAATATCTAAACTAAAGATCTTATTGAGGTATTGAAAGTATTCAAGAAATGCTGACTTCTAAGCATTTGGTACAATGTCTAATAATGGTGCTTATTATTATTACCACTATTATTATTATGCCTAAGAGACCAAAGTATGAACTTAGAGAAACAGACCCTGCTATAGTGCTTATGTTTAATAATTTTAATGAATTCTATTTTACTAAATTCATATTTGATAATCACAAATATATTTATATTTAAGTAAAGCAAACAAAATTTAATGAATATAATAAATAGTTATTTATTATTATCCACATTATTATTTTACTCCCTTCCACTGCCACAAACAGCTTTGGCAGTAGTGGAATTGGAAACTGTTCTGCCAGATTTGAGGATCGTAAATAACACTACAAAGACCATATTCAAAACAACTACTGAGTGAGCCTCCTATGGGAAACCAGAACACCAAGGGCTATACGCCAGCTGTGCCTGGTTTCACACTAGCAGCTGGAGGGCAGGCAGAGCATGGGATGAAATCAGGTGATCTTTCTTTGTTTCTCATGTCGGCCTGACAAAGTCATCTCTCTACCCTGCATCTTTACATGTCCATAAAGAGAGGGCTGCAGTTTTTGCTTTAGTCCCTGTATTGTGTTTGCTCTCTTATTACACATAAACTTAGTGGTTTTCCCCTTGTTTTATTAGCCAGAACACACTGTCCCCTCATCTCACAAACACACCTGGCCACATTAGTCACAGAACAGGAAGGTAAAAATAATCTTTTTACAAGTCCTATGGACCAGGTCTTAGAGCACACCTTGGTGCAAACTCCTTTAGGAAACTTGACAAAAAAACGCTGGAGGAGGAAGTTGCCAAAGGACAATATTGATACGACGTATTTATTCAAATAATGAAGAGCCGTGCCAGGGCTAAGCACAGAAGGTTTGCCAGGGAGTTCCATCCTTTCATATTTGGGGGTTTTCTTTCCACTAGAATTATGTAACAGTCATTATTAACGATAGGAATTATTTCTGATGTTAGCAGACAGAATCAATCATTAGGACAGAAGGTGTCCTGCCACGCTTTCAGTTCCCTCTGCGTGATTCAGTTCTCTGATTTGGGAATCACCGAGGTGGGACGGGTGGGCCGTGGCCCAGCATTGCTCCGATAACTGCTACAGACTCGCACGCTGGGGGTCGGATCCTACTGCCTGGCCATTTTCCGGGATAGAAGTTTCCCTAGGAGGGTCTGGACTCCCAAGTAAAGAATAAAAATCCAGGAAGTCACAACTTGCCTAGAAAAATAGACCGAGGATCCTGGAACCTATACTTTTGCTTACTATCTAAGAAGGACTTTCTGTTATACAGTAAATGCTAAGGTTAATATAACCCTGCTAGGGTGTCGTGCGCTTTTTCCTTTTGCACCCTTACCAGGGCGGCATCATTATCTTCCCCATTTTACAGGAAACCCTCTTGGAAGAAACCCTGCAACTTACCAGTTGTTCAGTGTTATATCTTAGGTCAATGTAGACCTTCTGACTTGATTTCTTATGTTCTGCCACTGTTGCGTAGGGGTCAGGGGGCCCTGAATACCTGGGGCTCTGGAGAAGGCGTGACCTCAATTAAAGAAAGATTAGCTTTGTCAGGAAATGGCTGTATTGCCAATATTGTTTTGTGAGACAAATAAGTGACAATCCTCAATTCAATGACAAAGATTTCCAGGGCTTTAACCAGACCATAGCTTATCACTCTCAAACCAAAGGAAGTCTCACAATTTTAGTTTCAACGTGAACGCAGAAGTAGAGGTTTGAATTTGCAGTGACCTGTTACTAGGACTCTGGGTGATAATGTGTAGTTATATGGAAGAAAACTTTCCAAGACCTTTGTCCCCTTTTAAAAAAAGTTGTATTGATTTAATGTTTTAAATGTTGATTTAAATAGTATATAAACATTGGGTGAGTCAGGCAAGGAAGAGAGCCGATTATATTCTCATGGTCTAAGACAAACTGTGAGCCTAAAGTATTAGTGTTAGAGGGATTGGATATAAGCCCCGACCAAATGTGAGACCGTAGCACGTCACTAACCGGCTCTGAAGCTCAGCTTCCGCCTCTGTGAAGTGACGTTCATAACACCTCTCTCTCTGCATGAGGGCCACATGTAATCGAGAGCAGGGGTCATTTTTGTACCTACCTCAACAGGTAGTACATACTAGATGTTTCATAAAGGATTGTTGACACACCTGAATGAAATGTGAAAGTGATTTTAAATTGTGAGCTCTCGGCAACGTGCAGGAGTCTATAGATTTCTTTCACTATGGTGCAGCTACAAATGTGTAGCCCACATCTGCACAACGTCTATGAATTTCTACCATCTAACCTGCCCAACTTCTCTTCCAGAACAAAGGATGCGAGAATTGGTGAAAGCCATGAGGGCAGATGTGTACCCCAATCCTGGATTGCCTACCTTCACCACCTGTATATACAGAGAATTCTTCAGAGCTCATCTTATTCGCTGTAGAAAACAATAGAGAGCTGTTGGGGGAATGGACTCACTGACTTTCAGTCTTCTCCATCTCTTTCGTCCTAGATCCTGTGATCAGAGGGCACAGAGACGTCTCCACCCAGCCTGTGCTCTGACCACAATGCTGTCTCTGCCATTATTGTTCAATAAACGTAAACACAGCACACACCCTTTCTGGGATTTCTTTGCCACTGCCTGACTAATAGGACATTTTTTTTTTATGAAAGTTGAATAAAGTCTACCCTTTTGTCTTGCTAAGCCCATTGGTGGACAGAAATTGCTCGCTTTTTTTTCTGATTCAAGTTGTTGTCATCATTGGGAACAGACGTAGGGAGATATGGGACCCCAGGTAGCCAACAGCTGTATAAAGCTGTATGAAGCAGGGTCTCCTTCACTCTCGGTCTCCTTACCTGCTCTTCAATCTAGCACCTCTATTTCCGTGGACAGGATAACTAACCTCTCAGTTACATAAGCCCCATCCAATGACACAAACCAGTAATTTCCCACATCTAATCATGTTGCCTCTTGACAATATCTGTATCAGGGCCTTGGTTTCATAGCCTGGGAGAAGACTGAGGGAATGAGAGTTCTCAATGTGTGTAAGTCTCTATAGGCAGCACTGTCCGATATAAATGTAATTTGAGTCACATATGTATTTTTAAATTTTCTCACAGCTAAAAAAAATGGGTAAAATTAATTTTAATGTATTTTATTTAACCCAATATATTAAAACTATTATTTCCAAATATAATCAATATCAACTTTTTTTTTTTACTAAATATATGATATTGATACGTATTTTATACTTTCAGCACATCGCAATTCAGACCAGTCGCATTTCAAGTGTTCAGTAGCTGCATGGGGCTGGAGGTTATTAATCTAGACCTACTAAGCTAATACACGTGAGAAATAAGCCCGCTGGTGACAGACATCATATGGTCTCACCTATAAGAGGAAACTAATGAACAGAATAAACTAATGAGCAAAATAGAACCAGAGGCATGGAAATATGGAACAGAGACTGGCAGTGACCGGAGGCGAGGGGGGCAGGGGATACGGCTGCAAAGAAGGAGGAGGGACTAGTCAAGGAGCGCGTGTGAAGGACCCAAGGACGTGGACAACAGGGTGGGGGTGACTGGAGGAGCAGGGGGTCGGCTGGGTGGGAGGAGGGCAAAGGGGGGAAAATTGGGACAGCTGTAATAACAAAAGATTTTAAAAATAAAATGACATATTGGTTCTGAGGGGGAAAAAATAAAGCACATGAGACATCTATCAGGAAATACAAACTTTAAATGAGGGTGGATGGAATACCAGTAACTCTGTCATGCTCAGAACCTTGCTACTGGCATCCAGTGACAGCACCAAGATATGTTCACATTTACGTTCTGGGCCGGGCCTGAACGCTCCCTAAGTGAGAAAGCCTGTGGAGAACCCATTGAAGTGCCAGTTTTCTCAGCTACAGAGGAGCCGTTGGATTTGGGAAACTAATTTTACATTTTTTCTTCTGCTCCATTTAGTTTAGATCTGTTGTCGCTAGGCTAATTATAGAAGGATCTGGTGATCCATGTCCTTTAGAAATTCGTAAAAATAAATCAGTTTCTATACTCCCCCCCCCCCACTATTTTACCATTAAGCAAAAAGAAAAATGGCATGTAAGTCATTTTTCAAGCATGACAATTTCAGGAGGGGAAACGTGAGGAAACAATATTGCTATTTGGCAATTCCAAGATGTACAGGATGGGTTTAGAATTTCAACAACATGTGAAACTGTATCTCATTCCTGGTTATTCATAGGAAATCCAGAAACTCTGTCTTCATGGTCAAGACATCCTATTTTTCGAGATGTAGTTGCTTTGTTATGCCATTTTGAACATGTTATTGAGATATAAACAACAAACTCCCTATACTTCTTTCATCATTTTTATTACAATTATGAACATTAGGTAATATGTACAAAGACATTGTTATGCCACCCTTAAGACTTAATCAATCCTGATAATCACTCTGAGCAGCAGGGAAAGACTGTTGGTTGGATGAAAGGCGGGTGGCGGACAGGGCGGTCTGGAATGAGATGAGATAAGGGGATGGAGCAGGGCCGAGGGACCCAGTCAAGGTCGGGCTGAAGTCGGGGTAAGGGTGGCAAATGAGATGAGGACCAGGGAAAGCAGAGAATGGGCTGAGGGTCAAGGATCAGTTACAAGTGCGACTGTGTTGAATGCATTACTTCGGATTTTTTTAAAAGCTGAAAGTTGATTTTCTTTTGAGTCACCAGTTAGATGTGTCAAAATGGTCACAACAAAATGACTACATTAAATATCAAGTACACCCCAAGTCAAGTCTCCTTCCATCACCATTTTTTCTCCTTGTGCCTTCTTCTACCTCCCCCCATCCCCTTTCCTCTCTCTGGCAATCACCATACTGTTGTCTGTGTCCTTTTTCACCTGTGCTTAATCCCTTCTCACCCAGCCCCCAGCCCCCGCCCCTCTGACAGGTGTCATCCTCTGAATCCATGTGCCTGTCTTTACTTGGTTTGTTAGTTTATTTTGTTCATTAGATTTCCCATGTAGGTGAAATCATATGGTGTTTGTCTTTCTCTGACTGGCTTATTTCACTTAGCATAATGCTCCCCAGGTCCATCCATGCTGGCACAAGATGCAACGCACAATACAATATACAAATGATGTACTGTAGGATTGTATACCTGAAACCTATATCATTTTATTACCACCACACCCCAATAAGTTCAGTTTAAAAAGGAACAGCATAAACAAGATTTTAAAAAACAAACAAGAAGCAGTCTTTCAGATGGTCATCTTTTCTTATCACACCTTTTCCATATAAATTATTAATGTGCCAAAATTCAAAATAGAAACTGTTGGAGAAAACATAAAATAGCTAGAAGGCAGTGGAAATAAAGTTCAGGAGAGATAAATAAATAAACAAACAAATAAACAAACTTCTGATTTGCTTCTTGAGTTACATCCTGATGGAGAGGAGGCAAATAAAAACCAGACCCCTCTGACTGAGGTTTCCAAAACCAGCCCTAACGTCTAAACCAGGCAGTCACAAATGATCCTGAGATGGAACTAAAGCAAGCAAAGCTATTTCTCTCCTGGTCACTACCACAGATTATACAGTTCTGTATAATATTTCATAACCCTTGTTTAGCATATGGGTTTTCATAGATTCCCCCAACCCCCAGGTCAAACTCCTTATTTTCTCATGGAAGGAACTCCCCTGAAGTCTTCCTCTTTCTTGCACTTGTCTAGACTATGGGCAAGTGAACATTTTCTGTAAAGAGCCAAAATAAACAATGTTTTAGGCTTAGTGGTGGGACATTTAGTCTCTGTCACAACCACTCAGTGCTGGTCTTGTGTAAAGAAGTTAATTCACATTATGTAAATACATATACACAGATGTGTTCAATGCAAGTATACTGACAAAAAGAGGCGGCGGGCGCAGTTGGCCCTGTGGGCTGTGAACCAGTAAGGGGCAGGAATCTGTCTCCCTCCTTCTTTGTATGTCAGTTGTCTTCTTTTTGCTCCCCTCTGTACTGCTAGTTGCCAACCACATCTCTCATTCTATGACAATGATAATGGAAATGATAAATGTTGACATTTCTAAATATTTAATGTGTGTGTGAGACTGAGAAGCACAATTCAATACTCTTTTCTGATGTTCTTGGTTGACTTTGACCAAGGCCAATCTCATATTTTACACACATAGATACGTGAATGAAGGGAATGTGTTCCCAGCTGACGCTTGCTGTGGCCTTTACCAGTGACCGGTTGATGGCTGTATCCCTCACAGGAAAAAGCATAACAGGACATTTTGTTTTTTTTCCCCTGACACCATTTTGGCACACAGATGGATCTCTTTTCCTTTCCAGTATTGAAATTACAGTTCCATCTCAATATGTGACTGTAAATCATTCTTCAAGCATGAAGAGAGAACAGAGACACAGCTTTGTCCATTGAAGATCAGTCCCAGGAAAATAAATCACAATATTTGTTATCCTTGATAGAATTTTTATTTGTCCATAAAGGTCCTTCTGGTTTTTTCTGAGGAACTGCTTTCCTCCAGGCCAAACTGTTTCAGTACTTGTAAATATCTTTCAAGTGCATGGATATCTTACATTTACCTTATTTTTCTTTGTTTATGAATTTTAGACCCTTTTTCTCTTCAGTAGCCTAAACAGACTTGATTGCCTCCATCCTTTATAGCTCTTTTTTTCTTGTTTCATCTCCAAATGACCTCTTCAAAACAAAGATCCTTTCATGCCCCGGGTTAGATCTCTGGGAAACTCCTTCTAAACAGCCGCACTGCACTAGGGCAAAGCGTGATGAGACAAACCAGAAACCTAGACATGGTCTTCCCCTGCCCTCTTTATCCTCCGCAGAGGTCATCACCAAGTGCGATACACCTTTGCCTCAAGCCATCGCCACCCTTTTCATAACTGACCACAGCAGCCTTACAGATGACCTTCCTGCTTCAGTCTTGGCCCTTTCATTCCGCTCTCCACTCTGAGTCGAGTAATGATCTGAAATCCAAATCTGACGGCATTATGCGTAAAACCCTTAAGTGGCTTCCCTAGCTTCCAAGATGAACTCCAAATTCCCCCTAACATGCAAGGCTTCTGTTCACCCCTTTAGCTTCAACTGTTGCGTTGCCTTCCTTACCTTGAACGATTATCTTGAACTTGTTCTTATATGTCTCCTCTTCCTAACATATCCTTCTCATCCATCACTGGTCCTTCTCCCATTTTTCCTTCTATTTCACGAGGTCCATCTCTCCGAACTCTAGGCTAATTTGTCCTCCTCTTAGTCAAGGTGCAGCTCACTTTCGGAATCCTTCCGTGACCTCTTTTTTTCCCCCCTCAGAATGTGAATTAGTTATTTCTTTGTTTTGGTCCCATAACATCCTGTCCTTACACCTATAGTACCAGCTGTCACTGTTTTGTACTTACTTATTTACAAGTCCATCTCTCTCACTGGACTATGACTCCTTTAAGTAAAGAGGTAGTTTAATGTTCTGGTTTATATCCTTGGGGCCTAGTACTATGCTTGGTATGGAACAATTGCTCATTCAGTGTTGTTCAGTGAACTTAGACACTTAAGGATTTTAAAGGGAAATTTAGGATGGACATTCTCAGTGTTGGCCTATGACATAAGCCTACAAGAATAGGGGAGGACCACTATTTTTCAAAGAGTTTTCAAAGAGTTTCAAAGAGATTTTTGCCTTCCTTTCGTAGTACCAATTAAAAATTGCTGGCACCAACGGTTAGAAACAAGCTAGTTACAAGCACATATGCACTTATGAGATGAGCTTCCCCGCTCTCAGGAAGACTAGATTCGTGAAGTGTTTATCAGAAATATGAGCAAAAGCTGCCGCTACAAGAGAATGCAAAGAACAGCATGAGGCCAGAAAAATATGTTGTGAGGTGTCTTGTTGAAATTAACAGTGTGCTTCCAACTAATTGATTGTTTTTTATCAGCTAAAATGTGCTATGTAGTAGTAAACAATATCAATTAAGAAAAGGTTATTATTTTTAGAATGATAAAATCCTTGATTGACAGAACTACAAGAAAATTAGAGATGATTTATTCAGCATATTTAAAATAAGGGAATCCTGAAGCAAGGGAGGGAAAGTAATTTTTTCAGCTTACCCAAAGGAGTGTAAATCAGAAATACAAATTCAAGTACATGGCTTTTAAGCACATGTTCCTTATACCACTTCCTCTGGTCTTATGAACCCTAGTTCTATGCTCTTCATGCAAATAATATTATCTACCTGATTATGTTTTTGGACAAAAGGAATGGATTTCTTATTCAGTGATCCTCAAAAATTGTTCATTATCCACAGAAATGATCACTTCTGGAATACTTCAGTTCCAAACCCATGGAACTGATGTCAGAGGTTTTTAGCATAGAGTAATGGGAATGAGAAGTGAACTCCAACGGTGTGACTTACATGAAAGAAGCAATGATGAAATGAAAAGTTGCCAGTTTACTATATTCTTATCTTTCACTCCACTTTGCTCCTGAAATGTTAAGTGAGAAAGTTGCCGGAACTGTTGCCAAGATCTCAAAACAAGAGTTATTGACAAGTCATGTCCACAGACGTTATTTGCTTATATCCCAGCCTCTGGCCCCAGGACAAACACTAATGAATCATGCTGGAAATGCCACATCCTTCCTTACCCAGAGGCTAAGGCTGTTCCTGTGCACCCGGGAGAGGTGTAGGCAGCTGGATGAGTCCAGTGTTCAGTGCCCGTGAAAGGATTTCTGGTGGCGCTGCTTAACACCAGATTAGCACCGACCCAGACACACAGAAGATTCTGAAGAAGGATGAAATGTTGATAGTCATTTTCATGTCAATATATCAAATGAGAAATAATAACGCGGCATCAACAATGAAAGCAGAATTTAAAAGCTATTATCTAGCTCCCCTTGTACCTTTCTTTCCCTCCACCACAAACTAGCAGGAAAAGATGTGTAGGACGTTGAAGGTCAACCGAACAAAACCATACAAATGTTATAGGCAAGCAATTACACTTTGTGGCTTGAATACTTGAGAAAGTAGACAAAATGGAAGGAATAAAATTTTCAAGAACAATGAAAGGGGCTGCTGCATGGCTGCATCCTGAAAAGGCACAAGACTCCTGAGTGTGTGACTAAAACAAGTGTCTCACACACCCTAGATTCAGGCTCAAAAATACCCTTGTCTCACGTGTGGCATAGAATCAGGGAGCACCCTCAGTGAAGGGAACCATCAGTGGCCGGCTGGGACCGTCATGATGCAGGCAGCAACCAAGAGTGTCCAGGCCAGAGGGCCTGCTCTCTCTTTCTGAGCGCTACCTCAGCATCTTAGATCCTCATAAACTCCAGCGATGAACGGGACCAGATCTCCCCAGATCCGGGCAGAGTAGGGGAGGGGGACTCAGAATAAAATGTAATTCTATTTAGAGACAAAGAAGGACTAGATACTTTTGTACACCTGCATTTACTGATCAAAACTCGCACCCACTCTGTGTGAGACCATATTGGGGATTATTAAGGAGTCACGCCAGCACATGCTCAGGTCAAGGGCTGGCTGCCCTAGAGTCACAGCTAATCAATTAGTTTGGAAGCAAAACCCTTGAGCCTGTTAAGCAACTGGTAATAAAAATAGGTGTGGATCTTTTGAAATGGCTTTCAATGTGGACAATGTATTGTGATGATGCTGAGTTCACATAATTCTCTATACTGTTTTTAAATTCTTAGGTAATTACTGAGTAGGTGGCAAGATGAAGAAAGAAAAATTCAGTCTTGCTTGAATTTGTCGATGGGATTAATTTCTTTGTCCTGCCTATGGGAATTTCCAAAACGGGAGGAACACGGGAGGTATGTTTTTAGACCATATTCTTGAACTGTGAATTAAAGAAGAGAACAAAATATAAAAGACATGTTTTTCCTGGAGAAGAAGGCACACACAAATTAAAACCTGGTTGGGGAAGAATAGATATGAAAGTGAAAATGAGAGAGGAAATGAAGACTCCTAAATTTTCCTGATTGAGTTATTGCTGACAAATCTTAGCAGAGTGGAACTGGAGAGAAGCCATTAAAAATGGGATTTGGTATCAAGGTTTTGGGGGAACATGTTGACCTTGAAGGTACTATGGGGTGCCTAGAAGGTCATGTCCGGTAAGAAGTGGAGAACTCAGTCTAGGACCCAGGTAACAGGTCCACCCTTACCTTCTTTGGGAAAGTAAGTAGAGGCAGAAATCTCATGTTGACACAGGGCTGGGTGGTGGTATGAGAACGGATGACAAAGCAGAAAATATCTTGTACCATTTCCAGGGGATCTGAGTCACTGAGAGGCCTCACTCCCTTTTTTTCCTATTTTTTTTTTTTAAATTTAAGTTTTGATTGGAAGCTCTCAAAAGGATTGACATGGAACCTTGAGGTTTGTGGTGAAAATGCAGGTGTTCTTAAGTCCTGTCTTGTTTCTATTTAAATTACTACCTTTAAAAATATGTTTCATTTATTACTGGCCTCATAAAATGGCATTTAGGAGGAAAAAATATGCTTCCATTTCTTAATTAAAAAGCAACAATGAAAAGTTTGCAAACTACAGACCCAGATGCTTGTTTAGGGCACCACCGACTCTAATATCCTCTCAGCCATTGTTCTTATTTCTAGCCCCTTAGAAATGGTCAGTCTAGTGAGATGCTCCACTGTAACTTGGGAAGATCATCCCCTTCAGGAAAGCTTCTGAAGAACATTTCTTGTATTGTGCCTATTTCAAACATTGATGGAGCCTTGAAATATGGGTGAGGTATAAGTATTCAAATTGCACAATGGCGTAAACTAAAATTGTGCAATTCTACCTGAGGGAAAGAGGTAGTATCAGAAAATGGAAAGTATGAATGAGAGAAAGACTCCTTTAAAAATTAGAAACAAGTGCAGTAAGTTAATGCAAGGTGATAGGATCTGAAATTAGAAGATCTAGTTTTGGTCAAGATTCTATCAGTCAGTCGCTGTCTGCCTTGGGGAATTTGCTTAACTTCTCCAGTCTTTGAGTTTGTCCTTTGTGAATTAACTCTATCTTAACTCTATCTTCTGGAAAGGTGATGTAAGGACCACATGCGATAATAGGGATGAAAGTGTTAAGTAATTGGAAGTCACTGGGCCTGTATTATTGAAAAGAATATTGGTTATTTTGGATAGACAGGGGATTGCGTTGAACAGAATAGCATTGGTATAGTCTTGAGAAGTATGAGGCAGTATGCTGAAACCAGAGTTTTCATTATAAATATCCATTTTATTTATTAAAGTAATATATCTTAATAAAGGGGGAACAAGTATTTTAGGAGAGAAAGAAAGGGCTAGAATTTTGTAAAACTAGCTGTCCCTACTATGAACTATGTGACTAAATAGAATTCATGGAATCTTTTTGAGTGTTTTGTTCCATCTGCTAAATAGCAATAATACTGGTCTACATAATTTACCAGTTTCATCATTTAACAAGCCTTCACTGAAGTAGCTTCATGCTCTAGAAAAGCAAGGTGTTACAGTGCTAACTATTCATGTTGTCTACTGCTGTACATTTAAAAGAAATGTCCCCATTGCTTTTACTTTTGGTTCACAAGCTGGCACTCAATCCACTGAGCCACACCAGCCAAGGCTGCTTTTACTTTTTATATTTCAACTTTCCTACATTTACTCTAACCTTTTAAAGATTTTATTTAAGTATAATTAGTATATAGTATTATATTAGTTATATTAATTTCAGGTATATAACATAGTGATTCAACATTTTCATACCTTACAGTGTGATCACTCCATTAATTCCAATAATTATCTGTCACCTTGCAAACTTATACCCTTTACACATATCATTTTATGGAGTGTCTCTTGTTTTTCTGAAAATGTCGGTGATGAATCAGGGGGCGGAACTGAGGGATCTCACTGCTAACTCTACACATATCATTTTAATTTTATTTCTCCTTCCTGCACCTATGATTTATTTGTCCTCAAATATAGCGATGCCATTGTATTTGCTAAGCAATCAAAGGATTATTACACAAAACAACTTTTGGTAGATGAGTTACAGGGCGTAAATGTTCCAACACTCTATAAATCAAGATAATAAGGAAGCTTTCCTTGAAAAAAAATGCCCTAGCTTGGGAAAACAGCCAATCATTGAAAGGTCAACTTTTAATGAGGGCGGGACCTTGCCCTCATGTATGCACTATATATCTGTATGCATCAGGCAGACTGTTCTCTCCCTGTTTCTCCCTCCTGACTTATTGCTCAGAGCAGCGTATCCCTAGCACTCATTCATCACCATGATGAAGACCATCACCGTTTTTGCCATTCTCGCTTTAGCAGCCACCACATGGGCTGACTCTCCAACTGGTGAGTTAAGATCCCTTTTAAATACTCATGCCTTTATGTTAGCTGCAATATATTTAGCTCTTAGTAATTACAGAATGCTGAAGTCAAAGGGAAATGTAGAAGGCATTTACTTGGATTGATTCTGACTGACAAAGTGAGGGTGGTCCAACTTTCAGGAAGAGGAAGATAGATGGAGAAGAATGAAAGGACTGTAGGCTCTTCACTCCGTTCTTGGTCGGAATCCTTCAGGGTTCTGACTTGCCCTTTCAGAGACCTCTTATGCAACTGTGGGATCATCACCCAACTCTACCCTAGGCATGCCCGCAGGAACTCTTGGATGCCTGTGACAGCCCTTCCTTCCAAGACCAGAGACATCCCCACGTATTTCCCCCCCGAGATCACGTCTCTGTCTTCACCCTGAGTTGGCCTTGAATAAAGACGTGACCTCTCCTAGGTCAGGCCTGGGCAAGGGACGTTGGGAAACGGTTTTAGGTACTGTGAACAATGAATTCAGCTTTGCGTGTCTAACCGTGGAATTTGCTCTTTCTCCAATTCCTTCTCTCCAATTGCATCTCATTCCACTCTCTTCCGGATATCAAGCAAGAGGAACACAGGTGAGCGCCCCCTCCTCTGTGTGGTCTTTGTGAAAATGGAATCAGAGTTAATGTGCCAATGGAGCTGGGGGAGTAGTTAAACTGGCTCATGTTGGACTGAAGTAATTCCTCAGGGGTCATACTCTTCCTACTTTTCTTCTCCTGGTGGCGCTTCTGTCTTTTAAAGGTTGCAAAAGGAATCTCCTTGCAAAAGGAAAGCAACAGACAAAGGAATTTTACTTTTGGGTAGCATTTTAAACTTTTCTGATTATTTTTCACATTCATTGTTCCTTTGGACTTGCATTATAACCCTAAAAAGGGAGACTGATATTTCCTTCATAAACAGCCAATTCTTATTTTCTTAAGGAATGTTCTAGGTCTGATTAATTTTTGTAACACAACACCCAGTCCATAGAAAATCTGCTAGACATGTTTGCAGAAAAGTTGAAGAGGCTAGTATTCTTTCCACTCTTTCTCTCTCCTTACCATTTCGTTATGAGAATGACTACGGAATTGAAGAAAGAGAACATAGGGCATTAATTTTTCTTCCAATTACAGGTGGACTGCTCCAAATACATGGGAAAAGGCACCAAGATTCCATGCTCAAGGATATTCAAACCAATATGTGGCTCCGATGAGAAAGTTTACAGTAATGAATGCATGTTCTGCATGGTACAACAGTAAGTATGGCATTCGGTTTGGAGACTCTCCCTTCTTTTTAAAGATCACAAGGTCCACATTGGCCAAAATCTGCTTGGTTTTTAAAAATGTAGTTTGATAAATCCTACCTTTTGTCAATATTCTCTGGGCATTGCTTTGTTAAAATAAAAAAAAAATTAGTTATATCTCTAAGGATAGCGATCCAGTCAAATTCTCATTCATATTATACAGTATCCCTTGGGCACTAGCTGCTACAGATACACATTTTTATTCCCACATTACATTTAAGGAGACTGGTCCCAGGCAGAACATGTATCTTGGTCAAAGTTATATGAATCTCCTGTGTTACATTATTCTTACTGCATAATAGGAACTCAGAAGACAGCTGTCTCTATTTAGACTGTTAGCCATGGACGTTATTATGAGACTTTGAGCTTTCCTTCGTACTCCAAGAAAATTCATATTGCTTCCTGTGGTTGCCTGAAAAAGTCTGGGGGAGAGAATGAGTGAACAAATGGGTAGTTGGAACCAACTAGAATCCCCACTGCCACACAGCCCTGCAAATAAATATTAACTCCTCACTGGAAACAACGTCTCAGCTTCTGGGAGAATGAAAGAATGGTTATTACCACCTGTTGAATTCACTATTTTATGATTAGTGGTTAAAATCATTGGCTTGGGTGTCAGACACCTGGATTAGCATCCAAACCGCCCTTAGGAGAACTGAGACCAAAGGCAAATACCCAGTCCACTACCCACTTCGGCGTTCTCATCTGTGAGAGAGAAATTAGAGCAGCGCTTAGAATCCACTGTGATGAAACATAGCAAACCTTAGCTAAGCAGCAGCCACAGAACGAAGGTCCATAGAGATGAGCTCGTCTTTCTTCTCATCATTTTCCTCCCTCTTTTCTCTTATTTTCTAGCCCTTCTGAAATTTACAGTCAAGTGTAATATCAATTGTTATTCAGAATAAAGTCTCTAGGCTATGCAAATACTTACAGTACTAAAACCATAGGAGTTTAAAGGCTGATGGGATCTTATTGATTGTATTTTCTTATATCCTCTTTTTAGAGGTCAGGGATCTAATACTCTCAGAAAGGAGAAGTAACTCTAACAAAGTTACTTACATTGTTAATGCCAGAGATGGATTTGAGCTCATTTTCTTTTTTTTTTTAACTGCAAAAATGTTTTCACATTATTCCTTTTTTATCTGAATAGTCATGGGCTATTTTCTAAAATGCCCTGTCTCCTTTTAGTGTTGATCTATTTTCTTATGCTTTTATTTGTTTGCAAAATGGTCATTTATCAAATATATTAATGGTGAATATTGGTCAACTGGAGTAGAATATTAACCAGAACTCCCCATTCTTAGTCCTGGTCAGACAATACAGAATGACATGTGACTGCATTATATTCCGTAGTTCATGAAGGAGCAAGAAACGGCATTACCCATTCAATAAAATTTTCTCTTCCAGAGAAAGGGGGCTTGAACTCAGAAAACTTCATGATGGGCGATGTGTAAGTACATGCAGAAACTTTATTAATTCTTAATATAAAAGGTTACACTAATTCCTCATTTTGATACAGAAAAACTACTTTAGAATATGTAATTTAAAATTATCCATGACTATGTATAAAGACATCTGGTCAGCCTAAACAGATGACCTGAAGTGTAATTAAGTTACTGACCTGGAGGAAGATTTCAGAAACTTTACTCAGAGCCCTTAACTGGGGCAGGTGGATGTACATATGGTTATTTTCTAACACTGCAACTAATTAGCAGGCTAAGAAGAGGATTTCAAGGGAATTAGAGGCTCAAGGTCAATCCCATAACAGTAAAGGAAGTTATTTCTTTAAAGGCTCATGCAAAAAAATTCAAGAACAAAAGTAGAAACAATTCAAATGTAAAGAGCTATGTGAGTGGATGCCAATTATTAGAATAAAGTTTGAAACAATATAAGACTGTACACATGTAAAAGACAGTTCCTTTTAAGGACGGGCGCCTAACCCAGTTGGATGGGCGAGAGAGAGAAATGTCATCATGAAACTGTTATAAAAGTAGCTGAGCCAACTATTAAGGAGAAATAGGAGTTGGTTTGATGGACAAAGTGGGTAAGGCCACGTAAACTCGGAAAAACACCATCAGCCAAGGCGCAGGGACGGTGAGGGGCAGGAAGCATGCGTGGAACTCAGTCCTGAAACTGCCTAGCATGAGAGGCAGAGCAGAGAGCCTGGGGGACAAGCACGGGCCACGAGGCGACTTTCTGTTGGTGGAGAATGAGTTAAGTGAAGAACAAGATTGAATTTGGTTTGTAAAAGGAAAAATCGCTCTGGCCCCAGTGTGGAGGGTGATTGAAATGCCAGGTAATGCGTGGAGGCTGGGCAATAAATTGGCAGATAATTGCAAATATGTAGGCAGGACCTATTTAGGCCTGAATAAGGTGAACGACAATATGGTGAGCAGAGGACTGATTTGGAAATGAAGTGCAAGGTAGAATCCACAGGATGTATTTGTCCCTCAGTTGGAGAGAATGAGTGAGAGAGGGAAGCCCTGAACTTGAGCGGAGCTATGCCTTGCTGTGATGGGGGTCCTACCATCGGCGGATGAGATGACGTCAATTGCAGAGAATCTGTGTTTTTGCGTATGGGATTTTGGACTAAATGATCCCTCGAGGTCTTTAAAAAGTTTGATTTTCTGTGATTTAATGATCTGAAATTGTTTTCTTTTCTTTTTAATTCATTTATTTTATTTTTTGGACATGGACAGGTTGCGTGCACCGGTTATTCCCCTATGTGCACCATGGAATACAAACCCCACTGTGGATCTGATGGTACAGTGTATGCCAACAGATGTATGTTTTGCAACGGTGTTGCGTAAGTGCTGAATTCAATGTATTATTTGCATAAATAGCCTTTCTCACAGAGCCAGAACCCATCTAGGCTACCGAGTAAGCTGTGTGCTGTTATGAAGCATAAGAGAGATGGTTCACTGATTATCATAATATTTTACAAGAAGTGAGAAGAGGGAAAGAGAGAGAGGAAAATAGAAAGGATGTGGAGAAAAGGAAGAAATGGAAGTTAGAAAAACAAGAGACTTGTTACAATATTTTCTAGTGACAGATAAAAGAGAAATTTACAGACTTTTTTTTTTTTGACTCCTGACACTGGTTTTTATGAGCACATTGATTTTTTATTTTTTAACTCACCTTGCTGAAGCTTTGTGCTTAATCACTCACCTTTCATGCTGTGTATTCATTGGACTGGTTTGACCTAAACATATGAAACTTATTTAAGTTCTCCAAATGATTTCTCTTGTAGGAAGAGCCGCGGTGAGCTCTATTTGGCAAATTACGGACAATGCTGAGTTTCCCTGACGCTCACGGACACCGACTTTCCTTTAGCAGATTCCACGTAGAGAGCTAGTTTCCCTGAGATGGCTGTGGGGACATGCACAAGGATTTGATTCCTCAATAAAAGAATCTCAGCAGAAAACTGTTTGGCTCATCTCTGTGTATATGATTCTTGTCTTAAGGGGCATATCTATGGTCATTTTCCTGAACTATAAGTCACACAGAAAGAGTTCCTCTACTCCCACTGAAGTGGGTACTGGAGAGATTATACACATACTGGTGAGTGAAGAATATGCTCATAGCCTCCCATTTTAAAATGACTCAAATTTTTCAAGTAAGCATGTGTCAAAGGGTGGACCTGACCATTAGTCTTATATTTTTTGCTACATTAATGAAAAGGGGAAAATTCAGGTTTGGCAAAAGATAGAGAATTCACAAGTACTATAACCTAATCAGAACAGACCAGAAATAAGATATATGTTTTAGGTGCTCCCAGTTAAAGGGGACTGAGTTGCATATGGGCATCAGCAAAAGAAGATCTTGTTGATCATGTTGGGAAAGAAATTAAAAACAACATGATCTGTTTAAGTGTCGAAGTCACTACAAAGACCCGAGAGAAATTCAAGGTAGTTGAGACGAACGAGGGTACAGACATCATTTCTCTGGGGCCCCCTCTGGCCGGGAGAAGGCTCCCTTCCGCAGCTTCACATAGATTTTCCTCTGTGCTTGTCTGGTTCCTAGTCTCCCCTTCTTATAAGATACCAGTTGTAGAGGATGGAGGCCCAATCAATGACCCCAGTTAACCTTCATTACCTCTTTAAAGATCCTATCTTGAAACACAGTCAACTTCTGCGGTACTAGAAGTTTAGGCAGCATACGCACGTTGGAGCCTAATTCAATCTGTAACAACCACCAAAACAAAACTGACAAGTAACGTGAAACCTGGTGCTGGTAGTAGACTAAAAATATCAAACATGACATTTAATTCTATTTTTTATTTAATCAAGTCTTGCTATTCATCTTGTTTGATTTAATAATATGCATATGGCGTCAATAAAATAATGTATAATCTGCCCTGGCTGGTGTGGCTCAGTGGATTGAGCATTAGCCTGTGAACCAAAGGGAGACTGGTTTAACTCCCAGTCAGGGCACAGGCCTGGGTTGTGGGCCGGCTCCCCAGTGCGGGGCTCATGAGAGGAAGCTCGCACTGATGTTTCTGTCCCTCTCTTTCTCCCTCCCTTTCCCCTCTGTCTAAAAACAGATAAATAAAATCTTTAAAAAAATGTATAATCACAGAATACTTTTTGTGGGCTTTAAGAAGGTAGAGATTTAAGGTTAATATAAAGTAAAATGCTTTCCAAGTCAAAAACAGCAAAATAAAGATAGTGATTATATGTTGATAAAAATAATAATATAGATGTGGTGTTATTAACTGAATAGAATGGCTACTGTATTTTTTTAAAAAATTGTTTTAAATACTTAGAAAAATGTCTTTAGACAAAAACAGAGCTTATGTAAGTAAACTGTCTTTTTCAATTTATGGATTAAAAAAGGAAGTTATGTAATTATTGCATAATTATATATATAAAACATAATTTATATAAGTAAATCTACTCTATAATATATAATATAAATTAATATATTTTAGATATATTAATATATAAATATAGTGTATTTAAATATAATATATATAAATTACAATTGCAAACATTCATCTGCTGAGATAACAAATCTCAAGAGGAAGAAAAGACAAAGTTTAGGCACATTATTAAAATATGAAGCCATATAAGCATAAATCAGAATTTAAAAATTAAGACTTCTCCACACTTTGAGCCTAGATTTTAGGTTTGTACTGTTTTTTAAGAAAACACATGTGTGTAAAATGTATCCAAGTATTTTCTTCTTGCAAAAACATCCTCTAAATTGTTGAAATATACTTACTAACAAGGTCTGAAATCAACTTTTATTGGGTTAACCTTCAGCACATTAGTAAACTCTACTGGCCTAATCTTTAATATGCCAACACACCCATTAGTAACCTGCCATGGGCCAGCACTGGCCAGAGTCAAGGGCCCCCTCTGGGGGTGCTGTGGCCTTCCATACTCTTCACGGATCTATGAACCTCCTGTGGCCATACACACATTAGCTACTATTTTGCAGGGGGTGAGTGAGCGGGAAATTGTGCTTGCTGATTGGCTTTATCTCTGTCTGTGCAAAGAACAGGCTAGTAATTCTGTTACCCAAGTCAAAGCTCAAGAATAGGGCAGGACTTATCTGAAGTATCCTTTGCAAATATCTTGCCTATTTGATTGGTTGCCTTCATGTTTTGTTGATGGTTCCTTTTGCCTTGCAGAAGCTTTCTTAATTTGGTGTAATCTTGCTTATTTGCTTATTTATTTTTACTTTTGTTTCCCTTGCCTTGGGGTCAAGTTCATGAAAACACCTTTGAGACCAACGTTCATCAGTAAGTGGGTAAAGGGAGTCAAATATATGGTAACAGAAAGAAACTAGACTTTGAGTGGTGAGCCTGCAGATGTCTAACTATCATGGTGTAACCTGTATAAACTATGTAATGTTACCCCAGTAAAGTTATAAAATAAAAGAACAGAGCAAGAGACTATGTAGGTATGACTAATGCTGCCCTATGGCTTCTATATGATCCCCGAGAAGGGAAAGACTTTATTCCACAGCCTGGGGCGGGACTGATAATTGTGGGGTGGCTCTCCTGTGATGGAGAAATAGCTGCTGGGGCTTAAAAGGGGGGCTGCTCAGGACTGGGGTGGAGATGGTGAAAGAAAGGGCTGGACTGTAAAAGTTCTGTAGGTGGGTAGTGGAGGCGAGACTTTCCTGTCTGCAGGAGGACAGTGGAAACTTAGCTTAAATCCTTTGAAAGATTTTGGTGTCCCTGGACGGCGATAAGAACCTGCTTGAGACTATAGAGCAAGGAGCTGGTTTTTGAAAACGTTGGTTTGATGTGACATTGTAACATATCAATTTTATATATATATATATATATATATATAATTATTATTATTATTATCTTTGTAGCTAGGGATAGGAGCCTGACATCTGGGGACGAAGCCCCAAGATGGAGCTTTTGGAATGAAGCCATGGTTGTAATCGATAGACCAACAGTTCTCTGAGGGACATGTAACCCCCTAATTTTACTTTTTCTCTCATCCCAATATTAGTTCAACGGCAATTTGGGAGAGTTTGGAAATGCTAAAGATGTGTTAACCTCATTTCTTTCCTATGATGTTTATAGACATGTCTGTTATCTTATTTTTTTCACCTATTAAATAGAGCTACATGGTGATAATATGCAATTCCTTTTATAGTAAGACGTTTTGCTTCACTTTTGCCTATACTGAACTTGTAGAATTTATTGTTTGACTTTTCCTTTTTAAAATTCATTCATTCATTCATTCATTCATTTATAGAGGAAGGGAAGGAGGAAGAGAGGGAGAGAAACATCAATGTGAGAGAGAAACACCAATCAATTGCTTCTCGTACAACTCCCCGACCTGGGAACAAACCAGCAACTGAGATATGTGCCCTGACTGAGAATCAGATCTGTGACCCTTTGTCTTGCTGAACAATGCCCAACCTACTGAGCCATGCTGGTCTGGGCTATTGTTTGACTTTTCAATGCTGAGGTGGACGAGAAACACAGCATCCTTGATTAATATGTGAATGCCGGAAGATTCAGAAAACTTAAATATTGGCAATTCTTTCCTCAAGTCTTTCCTCAAGTCATGGGCACTTACTTGTTTAATGATTTCCTCCCGCCCTGGTATAACCCCTGTGACGGTAAGGAAGGGCGGGTCCTTTTCCCTGCTGTATTTCCAGTGTGGCACATGACTCCCAGCAAATCAGAATGCCAGACAATGGAAGGCCTATGGGAACACGCTTAACCAGTGATGCTCTGCTAATAAAACCTGTGACAAAGCAAAGCAAAAAGATAAATAAATAAACAAGTAATTTTTTCTCAGGTGGGAAGTAATTTCATACTCATTCCCTTTTGAATATTCATGTCATGTCTTGAATCTGGGGCTCTGAGCCAAGAACGCCCATGTCAGCTGCTATAGCAAAGAAAGAGCAAAAATAAAGAGCATTTATTGGTGAGTAATCTGGGTCAGGCAGTTTCCCAAGCTGTTTCAATATGAGCCCTGGCCAGGTAGTACAGTTGGTTGTAGCGTGGTCCTGATATGCCCCGGTTGTGGGTCCGATCCCCGGTCAGGGCACATACAAGGAAAAACCAATGAATGCGCAAATATGTAATCAATAAAAAATATTAAATGTTACCTTCATTAAACCTCCAAAGAGACCTTTAAAGAAGGTTTGGTTACCCCATCATGCAAATTGGGTAATTCTATCCAGAGAAAAAAGAAAATACTTTCCAGGTTGACATGATCTGTTTTTATTCTGCACAGGATTCTTTCTAAACCATGGGCGCCTCTACCGTCTTTCTGGAGAGGAATGGTTCATTTAGAAGGTGACAGGGTGCATTCAAAATGCCCCATGTTACATTGCAAGCACAGAGCCCACAGGCTAGATGAAAAAACACCTCTTTGATATTCTAGATGACCTTTTCTGGAAGCTTTTAGTAGGCTTGATTTTAGACATTTATTAAAATGAAATAATAAGAGCTCAATTAACTGAGGTAAATAAAAATTGGTTGATTCCAGCATTGTTAAAAATAATGAAAATTGGAATCAACCTAACTGAGCAACAACGGAAGAATATTAATATAATCCATACATGTGATGAAACATGACATGAGGCATCTAAATTCATGTTTGATATGACTACATTTAAAAATCAAGAGAATGTTACATTACATTTCTAAGTGTAAAAAACAGAAAACAATGTACTACAAAAATGTGATTGAGTAGGACAATAACAACATGTATGCGTGTTCATGAATGTGCATAGATATACATTTCTTTTAAACTGGAATTATATAATTCAATATATGTTTAACAGTTGTCTCTGGGTTTTGAGATTTCACATCTTCATATTGCGTTTGTTTTTCTATTTTCTAAAGCAAACATGTATTTCCTCGGTGTAAGAACAACTGTGCTTTACAGACAGAAAGATAGAGGCAGGAAGTGCAAGCAACAGGAGGGAACTCAGCTATGACAACACCTTGTCCCTGGTGCACAGCTGCCAAGGCTCTGGGCGGATACAGGGACGAAGCTGGACCCACTGCCAGTGGCATTCATCACCTCACCCATCACTGCGACCTCCTCTCTTTCTCGGTTGTTCCCACATTCTGCATTCTGGCTGACTAATTACCATTGAGGAACATACTATGCTTTTTCAGCTATGCTCTTGCCTGCTGTGGTATGTTTCCTCATGCTGTTGCCTCTTCAGAATGCCCGCCACAGGCCACCCTGTGCACCCCCGAGACGTCCGGGCAGCTCTGTGCTTTCTTCCCCACGGCCTCCTGCTGAGGTTGCTGTGCATGGGATCTGAGTGTCGGGCCTCCCAGGGTCTGCTCAGTCCAGCACGTAATGCCTCAGTGCCTTCCTCCCACGCAGCTACTCTGTCCCCTCCCAAGTCGCTAACATGTGCTCCTTAAATGCGATTCACCAGCCACAAAAGCCACAAACGCATGCCACATCTCTCTTCCCTTTCTTTCTGAGGTGCGTCACCTGGGGCATACGTGAGCGGGGGTGGTGGGGGCCTGGCACTGTGTGTCAGTGCAGTCGGATCTCCCACTGTGGCTGCTCCACTCCTGGAGGGATCCAGGGAAGGTGCCAGGAAGAGATGCGGGGGTGGGGCCCAACAAAAACGTGGGGTCCTACATTGTCTCAGGAGCAGGCAGGGTAGGCAGCTCTGGAGGTTGTGCCGGGGGCCTCCGTCCATCCTGGGGAGTGGAATACGAAGGAGACATTGCGGCATAGTAGCAAAGCGTTGATGTAAATTCTCTGTCGCCAGATGCCACAGAGCAGGGGTAAAGGCCTAAAGGACACAGGGAGGACCAGGCCACTTCTGCAGGATGAGGGAGACAGGAGAGTTCGATGTGGTCCTAGATCAAGCTCGGGAACCTGCAGACACCGTTCTCTAGGGTTGCAAAGGCTGCGACAGGAAAAGCGATCCCACCAGAGGATCTGCTTGCTGACGTCTCTCTCCCTTTCTGTGCCTGGGGGAAAATAGCTTTGGGGCCCTCCTGAGATGGTTTTTCCGGGAATGCCCCAAGAGAGTCCGGCATTCCTAGTCAGAAGATCCTCAGCATAGCCAAGCATGCCTGGAATATTATTAGAAATCTTTGTCCTAATCCAAAGAGATAGTCGCTGTTCCATGAACAAGTACAGACTTGCGTCCTCAGTTGAGAAGCCCTTGTTGTCTGTCTAGAAGCCTCTAGTAGCCTCATCATTTTCTCTGTAGCTTCTTAAAGAAAAAAAGAAAAAATCGGTGAGTCTTCGGGTAAGGAGTTGCCTTTTCACGACAGCAATCTAAAATACCTCCATACTAAAAGAATACAACTCTGCCCAAAGAGTGACCGCTGATTTACTTCTGTCTTCTGGGTAGTCACAGGTCTGTCACTGAGGTCTCTGCTTTGATGTATGACTGACCAAGGTTTAACTTTTCCCGGGCATTTGTTCTGGGGGGAGGGGGGAATGAGTCGTTCCCAGTGCGGCATGCAGAATTCCCAGTGGGCAGACTAGAGAGGGAGCTTCACCTCAGAGGTGGTTTTCATCGGCTAATGATCTCTGCTTTGGTGACTGTACTAGAGGGCAATGTCCTGAGACGACACCTCGGAGCGTCGTTGTAAGAACACACCAGGCGGACCCATGGCCACATCCCTCCTGGTACACCGCTCATTTTTGTTCTTCCTCCTGATCCACTGGGTGTCGTACTCTGGTGAGTGACTCGGCTGGTTCTGGCAGGCGTGTAAAGTGGACCTGTGGGCTCTGACATTGTGACCTGACATAGAACGCCTCGATATTTGTATTTATTTATTTAAGGGGGCTATTTTACTGTGTCTACAATGTGCATCTGTGTCTAGAGAGAAAGGTAATGGAGTGTGGTAAAAAAAAAAAAAAGCTCTGGGCCAATGGGCAGGGGCTTTGGTTTTTCCCTCTATTAATGCAGATTATGGACTATGGACTTAACTCACGGGGAACAGGCGGCTTAGGTGATTCAGTGAAGAGACACGTGAAAGTGATCAGCAACCCGCCTGCACCGTAGTGCCTCTCAGAGACTCAGAACTTTGGGCAACACTTTGCCATATATTTGAAGGGGTCATTATCTTTTGTGTCCTCTTTGGTTTTTCACATATCTGCCATGAATTTCTGGGCATTTCATAAGCAAGGGTCTTTCCCCTCTCTGGGAATTAGGGGGATTGGGCTAAAAGGTCTCTTTAAAGTTCTAGCCTTTCTTCATTTCTTTCACGTATGGACTGCCAATTCCGAGTCCACTGAAGCCCAGGCTAATTACTGTTCTTCAGAAAGTAGTTGGTATACTGGATTGGCAGTTCGTGTGAGCACAGATAGATCGCCACAGTCCTCTGCAGATTATCCGTCAGGAGAAGAAGGGTTGTTCAGCATGTTGGAAAAAACAACAACAACAACAATGAAACAATGTTTCAAATGATTGCATGTCTCCTTGGTAATAGTTTAGAATTTTTCTATTCCAGATTAAGAATTCTTACTCAGCCAAAAGAATATGCGATGATTTATCAGACGTTAGCTCCTGTAACTATCTTCAGTTCTGTTTTAGTTTCAGGGCCTCAACAATGGTGGCCACCATATGGAAAATTTAAGGTAATGTTCTACGAGGTTTGCCAGGACCGAGGTCCTAATCTGAGTTTCCTCTGGAAGTGCTATTTTAGAGCCTTACTCCAGCCAGACCATCTGCAATGCTCTTCGAGGGCCGTGCGTAGGAATGTGACAGGAACCCTGCAGGAATAGGAGCCCAGAGGAGAGGGATCCCAACGGGGGCCCCGGCTGAGATGTGCTCGCAGACACACACCAAGATGCCTCCACGGCACCTGGAAACTGTTTCTGAGCACCAATGACCGCCGGAGGCGGGCAGAGTCTTAAGAGCCCACAGACAAGGGCAGAGCGCAGTGTTTGCTCTCCAGGAGCTCACGGTTTGGGGAAGGAGTTTTCCCGAACGCTGAGACGCGCAAGAGCACCTTTGTGAGTTGTGAATAGGGAATATCTAAGCTGTGGGCTAAGGAAAATGTGAAGGAATAGAAACTCCCTGAACAGAGCCTCAAACTCTGTTTGCAAGCCCCTCTGAGGATTAAATATATTGTGAAACCAACAAGCGTTTGATAAGTGAGGACAAAGGGTGATGAGAGATTATTTTTTTTCTTATAGATTTGTAGATTAAGCTGCAAAAACTCCTTCACTTTAGGAAGGACACACTGATTAGAGATACAAAAAGAAAGGATGAAGGGTTGGGACTGTGTTTTAAGAAATATCTCTAAGATAGTAGGTTAGAACCTGAGTTCCGAGGGTAGAATGAGTTTAGGTTCAGAGAAAAAAAAATAGGTTTCATAGGTTGTGGTCAGGACAAACCATAAGCCTCTAGATGGAGGAAACATGGAGCATTTGGGGGGAATAAAAACTCAAAAGGCAAAGAGCAAGGCAGTGTAAGGCAGGGTGGGAATGGGTGGGGGAGTCCATGTCACATGGGGTCTTCCATCCCGTACTAAGAACAGTTTTTAAAAATGTGAAATGAAGTGCAATTAAAGGATCATAATCAACAGAATAGGATGATTCCATTGACGTTTAAATTATGGAAACTAGAAGAGAGCAGAAAAGAGGAAGTGGAGGAATTAGCTGGGGGACAGATACAGGAGGCAGATGGCGTGGCCCGGCTGGCGTGGCGGCAGCGGATAGATAAGGGAAGAAGGAAGAAGAGTTTCTCAGCTCCAATATGATTTCTCTTTCTCTAAATGCTAAGCCAGAATTCCCTCCCGCCTTGTACCAGAGGCACTTCATCTATCGCATGGCTTTCGTAGAGCCCGAGACCACCGGCCTCAAGCCATTGTCCCAGGGTCACTGCTTCAGGCCACCACTGACTCCAGCCTTGCAAGTAGACAGGGGTCCTGATCCCTGATGACACGTGTCCCTTCCCTTGTTTTCAGTTTTCCCTACAAAACCAGGGAGTTATTCTCAACGATCCCCACATTTCACAACTTTAAGAATTGGCTTGGGGGTTTTGAGAGTGAATAAAAAGTGTGATAACTCTTTAAAGTCAAGGCATATAGATTTCAGGGGAGCCTCTTTTCCAATGATGGGCTTCAGTTCCCTTAGCTGAGTTGGCATAGAACATCTCTAGGAATATATTCCCAAATCTCGTCATCTGGGAACAAAGGATATTGAGAGAGAAGCTGAATGTCCCAGATACATTTTATTTATCCGCTCTTCCTTTTCCCTCTGTAGCAGAGCAGGCCTCTGTTCTCTCTCGCTGCCAGGAGGTACCCTAATGCTATTGGAGGGGCTATACATAGGTTCTGGTTCTGTTGCTTTGTGGAGGGGGAGACCTGAGAGCTTCTGGGAGACTTGGGTAGGGTCCTGGCTGCCTTTAGTCCAGACTAATACAGTCCAGAGAGGAATTACCTGTCCATGAGCATGACTCTAGTCATACCATTCTTTCCAACTGAATTTCAGGTGAAATGTCCATATAAGAAAAACGGTTTCAACTGGTTCAGAGGAACGATGAACCCCTGCATTGGTATATATCAACCGATCTGTGGCACTGACATGGTAACTTATGACAACCCCTGCATCTTGTGCATTGAGAGCTTGTGAGTACTATTGGGATGGGGGAGGGGGGAAGAGAACAACAGAAAAGCTCAGCCCGTAGAAACTACTCCACCTCTTCTACCAAGTACATCAGCCCCGAGGCCAGGAATTGGCTCCAGTTTGCACAGATAACAATCAGCCCCCACTGAGAAGAGCCTGTGGTCATATCAAGTCCACTGGGGTACAAAGCAGACTCATTGTGCTCAGTGGTGCTCTTCAAAGCCTTCCTTCCCTCCGAGCCCTCCCATTCCCCGGTGCCAGTTGATGGATTTTCACCTGAAGTTTCCATTATCCCTCCAGTCCTGAAATTCTTTGGTTTTTAAGACAAATTGTGGTTTTGGACTCAGCTCTATTCAACCTCTCTGGCGGCAGAATGAGCTTGAAACGGAGCTTTCTTTGACGTGGTGCTCAGCGGTCAGATACGCAGATCACAGGGAACCATGGCGTCAAGTGTGATCTCTGTAGAAGCCAGTACAGTTCACAGGGAGAGAAATTATCCCCGTGGCATCAGACCGGAGCCCTTCGCCCAACAATTATTTTGTGATTTTGTGCACAGAAAAATGACAGGAGTGTGTAAACCTCAGGTTGTCCCCACGAATAAGTAATTCAGCCGAAGTGTGAGAGTACCGACAGATTAGAAGGGGATTAACATAGCTCCTATATCACAAACTCAGGAGTGACTCTGGAGCCTGCTTTCAGAGAGATGGTAGCATAGGTCATAATATCTTCGGTAATGCCTTAGGATCGTGAAAGGAAAACTAGGTAGGGAATCCACTAACCTGGCTTTTATCTTTAGTCCATTCCCCCATTTGTTCTGGCTCTAAGTTTCCTCAAGTATAAAATAAGGACAATAGATAATTCTCAAGAATATGTGTAGGTCTGTTATTCTACTGTTTAATGAAATATTTATTCTTACTCTTTCTGTAGGAAAACTAATGGGAGAGTTAGGTTTCAATATGATGGACCATGCTAGCCAAGCAGACACGGATGAGAAAGAAGAGACCTCCTCCTCTTGTACCTGGACTGTCCTCCTTTTCTCCTTGCATGTGTTCTTAGTGACAGAGAGCTGTTCCTCTTGAGCTTGTATCAAATAACTAAAGCTTCTTTCTTTGGGCCTCTTCCCTCACTGCCTTGCATGTGCTCCCTCAAAAATAAACTTTTCTGAAAGTCTGACTTCACTTGGGTTTTATATCTGTGTCTCAAGCCTCAGGAACAGAACAAATTAAGCATTTGAGCCCAGGGTCCAAGACAAACAGTGGGATTAATCAGCTCTCTGGTACTGAGAACTGCAGGGTCTTCTCTGTAAAGGCTCCAGGTAGTCTTCCAAGAAACATGACAGAATTTTCTTCCATATTCCTTTGCCATTTAAAAGACCAAGTAGTAGGAATTCTGGAGCATGGTGCAGTTCCTGGCCAAGGTTTTGCCCACGTTCTGCATCCTCCTCATTGAACAACCTCTGTTTCAGACTCGGCCCTGAGACAGGTGCTTACACATGTCTGGCTTAGGTCAGCAGAGCCCAACACCTGCCCTGCTCTACGCTTCTTCATAGCGGGAGGCCTGTAGCGATGGTATCCATGACTGTTCCTTTGGGTCTTGGTCTTTTTCTTAAATTCTTCTGAAAACTTTCTTCAGAAAATTTTCTTCTGAAAATTTTAACCTCTGAAACACAGGGACATGTTTTTGTTTGGGTTATATGTATATGTGTGTGTGTGTGTGTGTTTTCTAATATGGAGAGACGACCAATACACACTAACATGCTCTCTTCCCCTCAGCAGCTGGCTGCCTGCTGGCTTGGGGAACAGCCACTCCTGCTTCTCAATGTCCAGCAAGCCTATGGGTGGAGAGTTTAGGTGTCCTCTTAGCTCTTTGACCTTCATTACCATGCTGATAACATAGTGGACACATGGTTCCACTGAAAATTAAACATCTGTTAGTCTATCATTTTTAACATATGAAAAGCAAAAAGCTCTGCAGAAAATTAAATATTCTCTCTATTTACAGCGAGTCCTTTCTCCAAATCCTGGCCCGACAGGAACCCCAACAACGCCAGAGAGGACTGTTGTCCAACATGATTGCTTGGACTTCCTGGTCCCACAAATCCTTTCTTCTGCAATCATTAATCTGCCATCAATGCCATTCAGTAGATTTATTTTTTTCATTTCAAACCTTTTAATTTCACCTCTACAAGTTTGATTTATATCTTCCATATTTCTAACTTTTAAAAAAAGTTGCAACTGGAACATAGTTTTAATAATTATTTTATGACTTTTTCGGCTAATTCTAATACCTGTCCATTCTAGGTTGGTTGGGGTTGTTTGATTTTCTTCTCATTATGGATTATATATTAGGATACCAGACAGTATGAATTTGGTCTTGTTTGGTTCCAATATTTTTGTATTTCTAGAAGTTCTCGAGCTTTGTTCTGAGACACATGGAAATCGTCGGATCCTCTGGAGGATTGTTTTTAAGAGTTGTCAGGTCAGACCAGCACAGTGTTCACCAGGTGGGCCAATTGTTCCTCATGACCGAGGCAAGACCCTCTGAGTACCTCACTCAGCACTCCGTGAATTATAGTGTTTTCTAGACTGGCTGATAGGAGACTGGCCTTACATGAGATCAGGGCTCTGTTGTGTCTTACCCCCTCCTGCGGTTCTTTCCTGTCTTTGGGTAGCTTCCTCATGCACAGGCACTGATCTGTAAGCTGCTGAGCTTCCTGTCCAGCTCTCTCCAGTGCTGCGGTCCTACAAACTAGAGACACTTGGATCTCTCTCCTCTGAGCACTGTCTCTTCGATTCAGGGAGCCCACTTGCTCCATCTGAATTCCTCTTTCCTATTTCTGAAATCTCTCACAATGCAGGCACCAAGGCCAATCATAGGTCTCACCATATTTATCTCTAATTATTCATTGGTCTTCCGTTGCCAGATACCTAGTGCCAGGGTCTCATATGTTTTTATCTGATTTTTTGTTGTCTTTTCAGGTAGGAGGCATATCTGGTTTCTCTTACTCCATATTATCTGAACGTAAAAGTCAACTTTATGTTTATCCTGTCATTGTACAGTTGGCCTTCTCTATCCCCAGGGATCCCCAGCAGTAGTTGAATCACTATTCAGGATTCCATCAACTGCACATCAGACATATTTGAAAAAAATGTTATATTGTTGCTGATGTGTATAATATGTAATTGGGCCTACGATGGTTGCCTCTGCACCGAACGTGTACAGACGTTTTTTTCTTGTCATGATTCCCTAAGTAATACAGTATAACAACCATTGACATGGTATTTACCTTGTGTTCGATGTTACAAGTAATTTAGGAATGATTTAAAGCACACGGGATGATGTGCGGAGATTAAACACAAATGCAAGCCACTTCACACAGGGGACTTGAGCATCCGTGGGTTTTGGTATCCGAAGCGGGTCCTGGAACCAATCGCCCGTAGATACCCCCGCAGCCGTGTTTTCCTCTCACGCCTGCTGAAGTCTAGGCTAGATTACAATGTTACTCTTCTAACTTCCTAAAGATTCCAGATGACAGACTTGTGCTCTGGAATAATACATTTTATTTTTTTTCCAGTAGATAATATTTACTTAAATTTGCTATCCACAATAATAAGAAGGACTTTCATACTAATATTTTTTTCTGTCATTTGATAGTATACATTTGGTAAGAGAATGGAGGTCAGCCTATGTAGGTGCATGCAAGACTTCCCTCCTTCCAGGGCGACCCCCTAAAAGCTGATGGTTCCTGCACGTGTCTGACCACAGCCGTCGTCAGGGGAGCTTCCTCCTGGGCGTCAGGGTCTGTCCGCCACAGGTGCGCGCTCTCCCTCGCGCTCTCTTTCTCTTTCTCTCTTTCTCTCTCTCTCTCTCCCTGCCCCCCACCTCTTTGGAAGGTGTTTTGAGTTTCAGATTCCCCTGTCTGCTTCCCCTTATTTCTTATTCCTTAATTATTGATTAGTCACCTTTTTTTTTAAATTTTTACCATCTCTTTCCCCATCCTACTTTCTCTGTTTGAGAATCCTGCTCACATCTTTAATTACGCTATTGCCTGTATATGTGTAACACATGTGTCCCCGTGATAAGACTGTGCCCACCTTATAGTATCAGATGTGAGACACCTTAATTTCATTGGTTCACAGAATCATTAAAATCAACCTACCAAAGTTCTTATTTTATCTTAAATATAAATTAACTCATTAACATGTATTTAATCCGAGTCTTTATCATGTTTTAATGGGTGAGTATTCTGCTCAAGTAGTCAGCCTCCATTTTATTCCTCCAACCATAATCTTATCCTTATTATAGTATCATTAAAATATGATCTGTTTAAAAAATCCATTAGTGCTATCCTTTGTGAGTTATAATGCAAACATCTTAGTATGATTTATAAGACATTTTATTTCATTTGCTCTAGGTGCTCCCAAAAGCCCAACTTCAACCGTGGTGAACTCTTATAGAACTTGTAACAAACCCCATTTGCCCACAAGATGGCAGCAAAGCACAGCTGTTTAAACCAAAATCTTGAACCAGACCTAGGACCTATTTCCCCTATACCAACAATGTAATCCTGATTTCTCATCACTTAAAATGATGATGAGAATTGCACATACATGATTTTAAAGAAGTGAGGCTCCAAAAAAGTTCAAATAGGAATGCCCAGGTGAGTAACAAAGGGGGCAAAACCTTAAATAGAAGCCAGAGGGCCCTCTTTTGTTGCCTACTATGAATTCCCACTTCTGAAACCAAAAGGGGAAGATTCTGAGATGGAGAGAGATTTCAGCACTTCCTGGTTTTATTTTTCTTCTTCTCAGAGAGGTAGAATCTCCTAATATCCTCCACAATGAGCTCTTGTCTAGGTTTCACATTGAATGAGAGTTGTGAAATGTTTCCCTCTGGCTAATGGGCAAAGCATTACTGTTATAATTCTATGAAGTTCTTTTGTTTTCCTTTTTATTTTTTTAGGTGTTTTCCACCCAAAGAAAGTTAATCAATTCAAAGAGACAGACTGAGTAAATTGTTTATCATAAATTTTCCAAATAAAAATTCGATATAGGCAGCCAAAAAGATTCATTGAAATAACATGCATATAATCAGACAAAACTACACTGTGGTTCATTTTTTAAATTTAATTTGTATTTTAATATTATTTTACTTTGAAAAAGTAATATATACTCTTTAAGAATAATTTTAAAAAACAGAAAAAATTTTAATTAAAAATAAAATTATACAAAACATTAAAACCAAGACATATTGTCATTAAATTTAGATGAAAATCTATCCTGAACAATTTCACTTCCTCTCCATCTCTCTCAATAGTAAGTACATAGATTAAAAATGCAATAGAAATGATATCATAAAAACAGGATTATACTGTATATGCTACATTTGAAATGAGAGCTTATGGAATATAAGGTCAATATGCAAATTAAGAAGAAATTATATTCTGAATGTGTGCAATAAATAAATTAAAATCAAACTCATTTAAAAATTTTTATTTCCCAGACATCAAAATATAAAATATATATAGAAAATCAATTCTAACAAAAAGTATGTATAATCTCTACCTTGAATGTTACAAAATATTAATCAGGATTTTTAAAAAATCCTAAAACATGGAAATGTGTACCCATGCATTAATTTAAAAATTCAATATTGCAAAGAGGTACATATACTCTAAATTGTTTTATATATTCAGTAAAATCACACTCAGATAACTAATAGCTTTTAGAGAAACTAACAATATAACTTTCAAATTTGTATGGAACTCTAATAGGGATAAGAACAGACGAGATAATCTTGAGGAAGAACATAGGTGGAGGACTTATACTACCAGGTAACAAGACTCATTCTTAAACAATAACAATAAAAAAAAATATTGGTGCAAAGATAAGTAGACCAGTGGAATGGCATTTAACAGTTAAGAAACAGACCCACACATACATGGTCAGTTGATGTATAACAAAAGACATGGTA